TGTTGTTGTTGTTGTCGTGTCGTGTCGTGTCGTGTGGTGTGTTGTTGTTGTTGTTGTTGTTGTTGTTGTTGTTGTTGTTGTTGTTGTTGTTGTTGTTGTTGTTGTTGTTGTTGTTGTTGTTGTTGTTGTTGTTGTTGTTGTTGTTGTTGTTGTTGTTGACCGTCATCGTCATCTTCGGCGTCGTCATCGTCATTGGACTCGTCCGAGTCTTCGTAAATTTCGGTCCGCTCGTGGGGAGAGCTGACCAGACTCTTGTGCGAACGGTGCGAGGCGATTGAGGGGGAGGGTTTGGCGCTGCTGCTCGTGGCGCGCGGACGGGCCGACTTGCCCGTGTCTACCATGACCGAGGAGGGATGCTGGACGGTCGGATATTCTGCATCACCTCTACCCAGGAAGCCGCGAAATCGACTGGGAGACGATGTTATTGTATAGTCGTTGGTCGTACTTGGGGCGAGCGTATTGTTTGAATCAGTGCCCGCCCCGCGACGTTTGCTGTCAGGAGGGAGGGTGGGGGAGCTTGCAGCTTATGACGAGTTCATAACTGCCCTCGCCGGCGCCATGCTACGCACAATGACAATGGCTACCTAATTAGTTGCTACTTTGAACCGTGTTAATTTTCGAGTCCACTTAATCGGGGACTTATTGAATAGGTAGTTTGTTAAAAGCTATTTCACAAACCGGGGCTCTCCGAGAATTAATCATAGTACGGTAGCCATAACGACCAAATGGCCGCGGATAGTGAACTTGACGCCGTTGTCTCTAGAGATTCGATAGAGAGATTGATTTGAAACGCAATGTCTCACTGCATGGTGTCCATATCCTGAATAGTCTGTCAGGTATTCTCGTTGAACATTGGACGGCTCAACAGACACTGTGTAAGCCTATTGGCTGCGCTAGTTATTAGCGGCAGTGGCTTCCCCCAGCCCGCCAGTGAAATTTTATCGCCAGCAAATTCTCAAAGGCCTGTTCAACAACGCCACCTCGTCGCTGCAATCTGCATTTTAACGCCAACTCTGTATAACATTAGCAACACCTCACACGCATCGTGTCTAAGATACTATCAATTGGTGTTTCAAAGTCTCGAGGTGCTTGCTGGCGCTACCCAAACTCAATCTCAGCCACGCGCCTTACTGAGAGACTCGGCTGTTTGCTCACAGCCCTAGCAAACACTCATCATGACGGATCAAACCTCGCAAAACGGCAGTTCTGAAAAGGTCGCCAATGGTCGCCCAGCCTCGCCGATTGAAGAGCCTGCTGCTAAAAGACAGAGGGTTGAAGAGTCGGCTGCGGCTGAAGCTTCTGCCGACCCAATCGCCACTACTCAGACTAGCAGTAGCACACAAGAGAATGGCTCAGCCAACAAGGTGGATGATAGAGATAACAGAGAAAAGGGCTTTGCTCCCATCAAGAAAGAGTAAGCGAATGAGCTTTGCTGAGATACTGTCCATGGCGGCTGACCGTGCACTCCTTAGGTATCTGATTGACGTTTCTGAACTTCGCGCTGAGGCCGGCGCGCAAGCAGAAGACGCCAATGCTGACGATGACGCTGCAGAGGGCCGTGTGCAAGGTGATGACAGAGACGGCGACGGCAAGCGCGGCAAGAAGAAGAAGGCCAAGGGCCAAAACACGGAGCGCTCCTTTGGCAAGTTTGACGATGCCCTGCCCCTCTGCAACAGCCGCGCATTCTACCCCGAATTCTCACCCCGCGACTGTCGCTTCGGCGATCGCTGCCGCCTGTGTCACGATATACGCAAGTATCTCGCCGAGGGCCGCCGCGCCGATGCCAAGACCTTTGAGGGCAAGTGCCCCGTATTTGTCAAGTACGGATGGTGCCCTTCTGGCTGGAAGTGCCGCTTCGTGCGCAGCCACATGAAAGAGGTCGAGCACGAGGACGGCCGTAAGGAGCTGATTCTCGTCGACAACTCAGGTCAGGACTATGGAAACCCGAACAAGGACACTGGTGTCGATGCCGCCGAAGGCGCTGAGACGGAAGACTCGCGACGCGGCATCGTCAACGTCGTGCCCATGTCGATCAAGATTGACATGAACCGCAAGCGTCTCGACTTTAGCGACGCCGACAAGTACATTGCCTGGCTAGACAGCGTGGCCAAGACCAACAACAAAAATCACCACCGCAAAAAGGACCAAGCAGAAGGTGACGCTGCCGCTGCCGAGACCACCACCACCACCACGCCCGCCGAGGACAACCGCGCACAGTTTGTCGACCCGCCGTTCAAGCCGGCCGAGAAGCGGCGTCTGTACTTTGGCCCCGAGACGCCGACACTCGCGCCGCTGACGACGCAGGGCAACCTACCCTTTCGCCGGCTCTGCGTCGAGATGGGCTGCCAGCTGACGTACTCGGAGATGGCGCTGGGCATGCCGCTGCTGCAGGGTGTCAAGGCGGACTGGACGCTCATGAAGGCGCACGAGTCCGAGATTGCGCCGCCCGCCTACAGCGGCAAGGTACCGCTCTATGACAACACGCGGGACCTGCGCTTCGGCGCGCAAATCTCGGGCAGCGCGCACTGGGTGACCACCAAGGCTGCCAGCGCGCTCTCGCGCTTCTGCCCACACCTGCGCCTCATCGACCTCAACTGCGGGTGCCCCATCGACATGGTGTACAAGTCTGGCGGCGGCTCGGCGCTGCTCGAGGCCCACGGCAAGCTCGAGCGCATGATTCGCGGCATGAACGCCGTCTCGGGCGAGGTGCCCATCACGGCCAAGATCCGCATGGGCGTCCGCAGCTCGCGGCCCACCGCGCCCGCCGTCATTGAGCGCCTCGCGTTCGGCTCCAAAGAGCACCGCGAGCGTCTCGGCGCGCCTGGCTGCGCCGCCATCACGCTCCACGGACGCAGCCGCGAGCAGCGCTACACCAAGCTCGCCGACTGGGGCTACATTGCCGACTGCGCCGCCCTCATCCGCGGCTACAACGAGCAGCGCGACGCGCTCGCCGACACGGCCGCCGACCCGGACCCCAGCACGCTACCCGCCGGCGGCAGGCTCTTCTTCCTCGGCAACGGCGACTGCTACTCGCACGTCGACTACCAGCGCCACATTGAGCAGGCCCGCGTCGACACCGTCATGATTGGCCGCGGCGCCCTCATCAAGCCCTGGCTCTTTGAGGAGATTGAAAAGGGCCAGTACCTCGACAAGTCGGCCTCGGAGCGCCTCACCTACATTGAAAAGTTTGTCCGCTACGGCCTCGAGGCCTGGGGCTCCGACGAGCTCGGCCTCGGCTTCACCCGCCGCTTCCTGCTCGAGTGGCTGAGCTTTGCGCACCGCTACGTGCCCATCGGCCTGCTCGAGAGGCTGCCCCCGAGCATCAACGAGCGCCCGCCCGCGTATCGCGGCCGCAACGACCTCGAGACGCTCATGGCGTCGCCGAATTATAAAGACTGGATCAAGATTTCGTAAGTTTTGAGATCCTCCCTACACTCTTGCAGATTTACATGGACTAATAATAAATAATGTGTAGGGAAATGTTCTTGGGTCCTTGCCATCCTGGGTTCCAGTTTATGCCCAAGCACAAGTCCAACTCCTACGAGGCCGAAGGTTGTAAGTTTTTTTTTTTTTTTTTTTTTTTTTTTTTTCACAAATGTCATTATGCAGTGCAAAGGAGAATCATAGGAGAGCAGACTTGCATCGAAGTGGAGTTTGGTTTGTTTACATGTCCAGGCGCAAGAAAAAAACAATTGATTTGGAAACGGATGTACTTGACTTGATTTGATGTTTTGAACATGGCAAAATACATACTCATCGCTCATCAGGATGTATTGAGTAAGATGATGCAGACAAGACAGCGTAGGAAAAGTGTGCCATATGTCAATGGCAAAATTTGATAATGAGAAAAAAAAGATTCTCCTATATAGAGCATTCCGTAAATAAAGTCCTAAACGCCAGTCGCCGAACCCAAGGTGCCATTTTTTTGAAATAGACAATAAAAATTACAACGTCATCATACGAGGCCAAAAGTTAACCAACTGTATTTCCATCCTCGATTTATGCGCAAACTTTGGCGATCAAGAGTAAAAGTGGCCTCTTTGCATGCCGCCAGCAGAGACATACTCCTTCTTGCCCTCTTCCGAGGCGCTGGTCAGGGAGTTTGTGCGGGTGCTGTCGGCGACGGCCTTGATCTGCTTGACGTCCTGGCCTGGACGCTTGAGGACCTCGAGGTAGGTGGAAGGGAGATAGCCCTGACGGCCGTCACGGGAGCGGCACTGCCACCACTCGCTGGGCTGGCCGGTCGGGTCGTTTTTGGTGAGGACAGCAACGAGGTCGCCCTTTTTGGCGTCGAGCTCCATGCCATTGTTGTTCTGGGGGGCAAAGTCGAAGAGGAGGCGGCAGAACTCAAGCTTGGAGGGGTCAATGGGCTGCTGGGCGGCCAGAGCTTGCTCGTGCATACGGCGCTCCTCTTCCTCGGCGTTGGCGGCAACAGAGCGAATCATCTTGGACATGAGGAATGGCAGGCCAAAGGCGGCAAGCAGGAAGAAGAGGAGGGGCTTCTTGCTGGCGCGTGGAGCACCACCGGGGGCGCCGTCGGGACCAGGACGACCTTCGAATCGAGCAAAGGCGGCAGGGGTCAGAGCGGTGGCATCGGCAGGCGGAGGTCGGCCAGTAATCTTGGCAATGAGCGTGCGAATCCATCGCATGAGGGTGAAGATGCCAAGGATGGATCCAAGCGTGTCGCGCAGGTTACCAAACTGTTCGGCGACGGAAACCATGGCTGGGGAGTAATTGTCAGTGATGAAAAGCGCAATAAATTGAAGGAAAATGCTCACCAAAGAAACTCGAATGTGTGGCCATGTAGGTGCTTTCTAGCATCTGCGCAAAGCCGCCAAAGGCTCCGACAATGCCCTCAAGCATCTGAAAGGTAGCGGCGGTGCCGTTGTTGAAGCGGTTGGTGAGGCTGTTGGGGTCATTCATTCCCATGCCACCCATGCCACCGTACATACCACCACCGCCATACATGCCTCCATAACCGCCCATACCCCCCATGCCGCCGTACATTCCGCCTCCATAGCTGCCCATGCCGCCAAAACGAGAGTAAGGACTGGAGTAGGGCGAAGAGTACGTGCTTCCGTAGCCCGAGCCGTAGCCTCCATAAGGTGAGGTGCCCATGCCACCCATGGTACCCATGGTACCCATTGGACGGCTGTATGCCGAGGCGTTTTGGTTAACTGTCGAAGCAAGAGAGGACGGAAGCGCAGGTACGGGGGGCGCCGCGGTTGAAGTAGTAGTGCTGGATGTTGTCGCACTTGGTATCGCTGTTGAGGTTGATGGAACAGGTATCGAGGCTGTCGAAGCAGAATATTGTCAGCATGTGATAATGACGGAGCAGAACAAAAAAAAGTGCTACATACCTGCAGCGCCGGTACCGGCTCCAGCGCGCTCCCAGGGCTTAGGCGGAGAGGCCATGACTCAAGGGAACTGGCAGAATAGAATTATAGAGGTGACTGGCGGATGGCGGTAGAAGCCAGGATTTGTTGGGGGCAGACGGCGAGCCGCGTTGGGTGGGAGCGTCAGCTTCTGGGGATGGATATAGAGGAGGTCGGCAGGTTGCGCCTGTGCAGAAAGGCAAGGTGGACGGCGGGGGCCGCGAGGACCGAGAAACCGAAGCGGACGCCGAGCGCGGCTAGGTGAGGGACGTCGACGCAGCAACAGAAGTGCTGTCGCGGTGGACGGTCGAAGCACGAGCAGAGAGAGTATCAAGTTGAAGATGAGAGGAATTTGAAGATGACGGATTACAGGTGTGGCAAGATGGAACCGAGAGATGGGTTGTGGTTTTTAGCAGTCGACGGGCAAAGGACAAAAACCTGGGGCGGTCGATGGTAAGGCGTTTGCCCAAGTGCCAAGGTAGGTATAGGCAGCTTTTAGTGGCTCCGTTGAGTGGCCCAATCACTGTCGCCGCTCTAAACCTCATTCACCTGTGCCGAGGCAAACATCTTGGCTCGGCTGGCTGACGTTGTGGGCCGCTGTACCGTACGTGCCCCGGACTTTATGTCGTGCAAGACGACTCCGACGTTGGAAATTTGCAACGAGAAATAGCGAAATTGCGCTTTTGCTAATGATTCTCGTCGTGATACTTTGATCTGTCCAGTCCAGTTTGCTACTGTTCGTTGTCTGCACCATCAGTCTCCTCATTACTCAGCAATGTGCAGTTAGTGGCCCATACCTACCTACCAAAGGTAGCTTACTTCAGTGCATTCCTCACCAAAAGCATATGATTGATCGCCCCGCTCAAGTCTGCACACAATACGTCCTCTTCCAGTCCAAGTCTGTGTATGCGCCGGTGTCTTCATCTCATCTATCAATCAATGCCCACTGATTCTTCTCAACATCACCAACCTGCTACCTGATGTCTTCATTCATCTCCATTCTCGGAACCATGGCTTTGCCTCTACGATAGCTTCATGGGTCCCTCAATCCCCCGCAAACGGCCCGCCAGCCCGCGCCTCATCGCAAACCCATTTATCAAGAAGAAAAATCTAGAATGGACCTTGGATGCCACTAATAAAGAATCTCAAAGCTCTCTGCTATGTGACGCCACAGCCACTGGGGGTATCGGCGAAACCCCCGATCCTAGCTCCTCCGCCCCCGAGCCGAGGCCCACTGCTGCCGCCGTGGAATCCGGGGCCGCCGTTGTTGATGATCACTTGACGCATTTCTCGGCGCATCTGGCCCAATTCGTCACGCGGCGGCCAGATGATTACTCTACACCTAGACTCTCCATTGACGAGTATGCGGCTCTTTATCTTGCCAATGCTGGTTCTGCACAGGGTGCGCACTTTGTCATTCATCAACACGACCACCCTATCGCCGGAACACACTATGATCTCCGGTTACAGATTAACGAGACGAGTAGCGCTAGCTGGGCCATAATGTATGGCTTACCCGGCGATCCAAACAGTATGAGACTGAATCGTAATGCGACTGAAACGCGCATCCACTCATTATGGGTGAGTTGGCCTCGCACACGTCTACAAGGCTAGGATACTGATGCGGTGCAGAATCATTTGATTGAGACTGCCTCTCCAGACACGGGCTCCCTCATGATATGGGATACAGGAACGTATTCCATTTTGCCTCGTCGAAGCAAACATGCTCCTGCCCTCGACCCAGACTCTGGCGCGTCCGACGATGAAACAGCTTCGACGTCATCACCACCCACCGCCACGCAGCAGTCACTGTTGCATGCTGCTTTCCAGACTCGAAAAATAAAGATACGTCTCCATGGCACTAAGCTTCCAGATCCGTATGTTATATACATGCGCCTCACCAAGACGGAGGATGCTGCGGGACGCGCCAAAGCCACTCGAACGAAGAAGCCAACACGGCGGCGTCGGCGGGCTGGCAAGTCTGCAGAAACAAAGGAGCCGGAGACGAGTGCTAGTGACTCAAATGGTGGTGAAGGCTCTGATGCAGATATCGTCCCGGCGACTAATTCGCAACTTGGCCAACAAGACGCCGCGGCAGTATCGGCGCTGGAAAGGGAGCTGCGGGAGTTGGAAGACGACGAGGTGCGGCGCACAAACGCATACAAAGGCGCAAGAAATTCCATCGGCAGCATTCACCAGCGTAAATGGTACCTGTCTTTGGAGAGAGACCTGTCGGGCTTTCTGCCCACAAAATCAGAGAGCCATCGTAAGACCTGGCAACCAAAGGGTGATGCAACCGGCGGAAGGGCTGGTCTGCGCGGGCTAGAAGTAGGCAATCGTCTGTCGTATCCATTCTATGTTCGTGGCAGAGACACTGAGCGCAGTGTTGTCACTGGTCGTCTCGGCGCTGATATTCTCCGTGACGAAGGCGTCGACGGCTTCTTGCCCAGGAAGGGTTGGAAACCCGTGATCAATTAGTCTGACAGTTTAGTGAATTTGATTTGACAGCAGACAATTTGAGTTTCATTGCAGAGCAAAGGCTTCTGTCCATTAGTTTCCGCGCAGCACGCCAACTTACACGCCCATCTTGCGAACTGGCAACCGACTTGAAGGAACAGATACAAAAAACGTAGATGTCCAAAACAAGAATCACCATTCATGTTCTAATACTAAACTTGGCTGTAGTTTTCTTCTCAAAACGTGACGTTATTAGCCGATTTTCGCTCTTTCATAGACGTCACTGTGAAGCTATGTCGAGCCAACTTACACGAGTAGAATTGCCAAGTGGGGGCTGTAGTGGTGAGTGTGTATAGGCACAACAATTCCTAAATTTATGTATTTCGTGCGATATCCGGGGGGAAACTAAAAGAGAGCTCAGATCTACTCTTACAATTACTTCCTTATTTTTTATCATTCTTCCTATCATTTGCGTTCGACTCACCTTCTTCAAGTGTGTCACTCTTGGTCGTGGAAGCGGCATGACTAAGCCGTATTGGGCCTCTGACGTGGTAGCTGTCCAGGATCTAAAGTTCAGGCCACCGAATACACGAACAGTGCCAGCTTCGACCACCATTCAGCCCTCAACAACGTCGGCAACAAGGGTTTAGCCTGCAAACCTGCAGCTTGCATGCTGTGACTGACAGATTATGGAAATTTTATTACCGCCGACGGGCGACCGCACCGTCGAGTTCAATGAGCTGCTAAGCAAGCAAAACGCAGCGCCAGCAACTGCGAGAGCCAATCTCGAAAAGGCGGACAGCTTTCTCAAGGAGGCATACAGGATTGTGCGTGGGAAGGCCTTGGTGAATATTCAAGCTTAGCTGCTAATCAAGCTCTATTTTCACTAGAATTCGCACACTACCACATTACATAAGGAGCTCCTCGATGTACGACAAGCCTACCTATCGACGGCGCAGCCTCGACGCACACAATCGCGGGCGCTGCAGGGCCAGCCGCGCGTGCTAACGGATCGCGAGCGCGAAGAAGTCGACGCCAACGCGAAACAAATGATCCGGGAGCTCAACGCCAGCATCCGGGCGGTCGACGACGCGGAACAGCTGCGGCGGGAGACGGCAGCAGCCATTGTGCGCAAGACGTACGGCAGCGCGCTGGGGGCGTTGGGGTCGTGGGCGTCGGGGAGCAGCGCGACATTGTCGGGCAAGACGCCGGAGCAGGCAGCGGCCGAGGCGCGGGCGCGGCAGACAGAGATGCACAGGGACAGCGTGCTGTGGTTTCTGCGGCAGCGGCTGGAGCAGTGCTGCCGCACGCAGCAGGACATGATGGAGACGAGGCTGACGCGGGAGCTGGAAAAGTCGCGCGGATTCCTGGCGGCGCCGGCAGCGGACTTTGCCGATTTTGCGCAGACGACGAGGTCGGCGGCTCCGGCGGCGGCGGCGGTTGGCGGCGACGCGGACGCGGCAGCGTACGGGGTAGGGAATGAGAGCTTGACGGAGGATCAGGTGCAAATGTTTGAAGAGGGGAACCAGGACATGATGAAGCACTACGAGAGCACACTCGCCAAAGTACAGTACGTTGCGGTGAGAAATTCTACCAGCAGAGCGGTTGCTAACACGATGTTGAACAGAACGGCCGAAAAGTCGCTGGTGGAAATATCTGAGCTGCAGTCTCTGCTAGTCAACAACCTGGCGATCCAGTCGGCGCACATTGAGCAGCTGGTGACGGACTCGCTGGCGACGGCGGAAAACGTCGGCGGCGGCAACAAGGAGCTAAAAAAGGCGGCGCAGCGGCCGAGCGCGGCGCGATACACATTCTTTGCAGCGAGTGGGCTCTGCGCGTTTCTGGTCTTGTGGGATCTCATCATATAGAGCGATGCTGCTGTCACCAGGCCACTTGTACCGATAACGAGGCGAGGCGAGTTGGAGAGGCCGGTATATACTGATACGATTGAATGCATACAAGCGTGTTTTTTTTTCTTTTCTCTCTTTGCTACTCTTCAGTAATTGGTGACGCGACGAGATCAAAGAACCTGCCGGGATTGGAAAGGGTCATGTTTCGGAGTGCCGTTCACAGTGGCAAGTCAGCAGGCAGGCAAGCAGGCATGTGAAGGCGCGGCGCATGTGAGGATTCAGGTATAAGCGGCGCGTCAACAGTCGCGAATAGTGTGGCGTCTATGCATGCGTGCTGTTTTGGAGGATAATGGAACAGTCGGGAACAAGGCTGTCAATATGTGAGATGAGACGTGAGCTCATGGTATCATATCGAAAACATGAGATAGGATCCAGAGCTAAGCTAGTTGAGCCTAGAAGCTAGCTGATACGATGAGTACCTGTAGTAGGTTGGGGTCGTCTGCTGTGCGAGCGCAACTTTGACAGCCGCCATTCATCGGACTCGGAAAGAGCAGTGTGTAATTGGAAGGATTGTATCCGAGCGAGAATTGGCCGACTTGACTCTATAATCTATAATAATTGGAAATAATTCAGTCCGCCTAATTCCGGGGGGGCGGGCTGTGTCACGGTAGCGAGGAAGAAAGCTTATGACGACACGAGCCAAAGGCCTGTGAGAGCCGAAGGGCCTCGGTCAAATTGGGCCGCTCTGGGGGTGGGAAGCTTCGCGCTTCCCCACGGGCTCGGATGGCTTATAAGCGATAGGTGGCCCGCTGCGCCCCGGGGTTTTGCGATTGCGATTTATTTTCGAACTGTCAAAGACGTTGGTTCCTCTTTTACTCTGTATTTTGACTACATTGTACAGTACCAGTTGGGAATCGTGTTGGTTGCAAGGTAAGCCGCGTGCGCTCGCATCGCCTCTTTTTTTTTTCTCCGAAGCGACCAATTGGAACACATGCATGCGAGTCGCATGCATATGAGCCGATTGCAGCTGTTGGCTACATTGGTTGACGCAATGTGCTGGCGCAGCGCGCTTTCCCGACGCCAACAGAGGAGTGGTGGTCATTGCCAAATACCGACGGCTTTCACAAGAGAAGAGATAGAAGAGCAAGGGGCAGAAACAAAAGTTACTAACGGCTGTGAAACAGTAGACAAGCAACGACGAGAACGAACGAGAACGAACACTTTAAACTGTGAAGTCGCGTCGAAACTGTTCGATATCACGAACAAGGCCATCACCTCTGCCGAACCAAGACATAAGGGCGCAATCACAAGCCACCCGACGACAACATTTGCAGCTCCGTAAGTAATTTTATTTTCCTTCTTTTCCTTCTATGCGCGTGACTTTTTTCTCCCCACAAGAGTTTCCTGGGCTTTTTTCTTTCTTTCTTTTTTTTTTTTAAGAAGAAAAAAATGTTTGACCGTTATCTGCCGCTGCACTCCTGGTCCGGCGCAGACCCAGTCGGCGCGGCAATGATATTACGCTGATGCCGTAAGCATATTATGCTTGGCACGACAAAGCTGTCAGTGTGCGGAGGGGCGCGGATGGAGGCATCACTAAGACCGATCGATGGGTGGGTGTGTGCTTGATCATCGGCGCACGCTGCGGGAGTCGGGAGGGCCATGACTGCGCCGAGCCGGACGAGCGTGAAGAAACGGACCGCAGCAGCCACGGGACCAAGAGAGCAAAAAAAGCAGACCCGAAGAAAAGGGAACATATGGAGGCCAATTTTTTTTTTTTCTGGTCTTGTGCCTCAAAGCCAAGTTCCGGTTACGGGGTTGGTCGGAGGGGCGCGGGGCCCGGCCGCAAGCAACAACGGTGCACCGTACAGTGGCACTTGAACAGTTTGTTACAGCGGCTTCAGGGCGTTGGGGGCCATTTATTGACTGCGACGAGAAGCTACGACTGGTGTATCTTTTCGACGTATTCTGAGAGACGAAATACGTCCGACGATGCCCATGTCTCTCCAGGATCTCGCTCTCTTGTTGCGCAACCCGACACAATGCTTCAATGGCCTCTGCTGAGCAACAGGGACAACCTGACTGGGCGGCTTAGTGGCCGTCATTAGTTTAGGCGCTGGGATCCTGTCAAAGCCACCCCACCTCGCTCCCCTAGAAATGGTCCCTCGATACCCAAAACAGCCCACTCACCCACTAATTTACTACCCGTTTGTGCATGCTCTACAGCAGGCTCCTGCGCTCTGCATCGCCAATTTGCCATGACCAGGGACTACCTACCTAACTAAGTCGACTCGCGCTGACGTTGGAGCAGCAGCAAAAGGACAAGCAGCAAAATAATATCAGGCCAGAAAAGCCTTAGCAACACAGCTTGCTCCATATTCTCAATTCCCGCCTGCCGCCGAAGGCGTCTTTTCGTTGGACCTACCCTTTCCGCCGACCTACCTCTCTGTCCACTTCTTATTCCTGCCTGCCCGTCATGGCTCCATCCTCTACTTCTTCATCCTCCCTCGATCGCCTCAACAGCATCGCACATCACATCTCTCCCGTCATGTCTACCGTGTCGAATTTCCCTGCCGAATCCGTGCCTCAGGCCCCGGAGGACGCCCTCTTTGGCCTGGCACGCGCCTACAGGGCTGATACGAGCGACATCAAGGTCGATCTGGTGAGTCAAATTACATGCGTGCTGTTTGCGCCTAGCCGATTCCTGCGCAAAACCGCTCTCGCGCCGTCAAACGTCTTTTCCGGCAATACTAACATTTTTTTTTCCTCTCATAGGGAATTGGTGCCTATCGTGATAACAACGCAAAGCCCTGGGTTCTGCCCGTTGTCAAAAAGGTATGTCGTTGCTCTTCATCACCAGTCACCTGTCTGTCAATGGTGTTGCCGCTTGGTTTGCGCTACCTCTGTCCCGCCTTGCGCTACCATATCCCGTCTTCCCGGCTTACCCTCCGACTACTTTTGTGCAACTGAAACGCGCCACCAAGCCAAGCTTTCCCGAGTTTCCCCTATTCTCTACCCCATGTTCCCAGTTCGAGATGTCGTGTCACCCGACCATGCATGCCCAATACCAAACTAACCACGCCACACTCCGATCTAGGCCGACGAAATCCTCCGAAACAACCCCGAGCTCAACCACGAGTATGCCCCGATTGCCGGTATCCCAGAGTTCACCTCCAAGGCCTGCGAGCTGATGCTCGGCGCCGACTCCCCTGCCATCAAAGACGGTCGTGTCACGTCGATGCAGACCATCTCTGGCACCGGTGCTGTCCATCTTGGTGCCCTCTTCCTCGCCCGCTTCTACAAGTCCTCCCGCCAAGTCTATGTCTCCAACCCGACCTGGGCCAACCACCACCAGATCTTCCGCAATGTCGGTCTCGAGACCGTCGATTACCCATACTTTGACAAGAAGACTCGTGGCCTCGACTTTGAGGGCATGAAGTCGACCATTCAGTCTGCTCCCGACGGCTCCATTATCCTCCTCCACCCTTGCGCTCACAACCCGACCGGCGTCGACCCTACGCTGGATCAGTGGAAGGAGCTTGCCACCATCATTCGCAGCAAGAAGCAGTTTCCCTTTTTCGATTGCGCCTACCAGGGCTTTGCCTCTGGTAACCTAGCTCGCGATGTCGCTGCTGTCCGCTACTTCATTGAGCAGGGCTTCGAGCTTGTCATTGCCCAGAGCTTCGCCAAGAACTTTGGCCTTTACGGCGAGCGTGCCGGCTGCTTCCACGTGGTAACCAGCCCCGGCTCCGACGCCAAGTCCACCATTGGCCGCATTGCTTCCCAGCTTGCCATTCTCCAGCGCTCCGAGATCTCCAACCCTCCTCTGTACGGTGCCCGTATCGTTGCCACCGTTCTTAACGATGCCGCTCTCTACAAGGAGTGGGAGGGCAACCTCGAGACCATGTCCGGTCGCATCATCGATATGCGCAAGGCCCTGCGCTCAAAACTCGAGTCACTTGGTACTCCTGGCACCTGGTGCCACATTACCGACCAGATTGGCATGTTTAGCTTTACTGGTCTGACAGAGGCCCAGGTCCAGAAGCTCCGCGAAGAGTACCACATCTATATGACCAAGAATGGTCGTATCAGCATGGCTGGCCTCAACACGAACAATATTGACCACGTTGCCACATCAATTAACCAGGTCGTTGTTGCTTCTCAGTAATTTACGGCAGCATGACGAATTTTCTTTTGTTCAGAGCGCGGCCGCGAGCTGCCAGTGTAAGAAGATGGAACAGCAGGGCCCATGACACAACTTGGTCCGCCCCGCGCCGGGCATACATATATGACTACAATAGATGATAGCGGCATGATGCTCTGCTAAATGTTTGAATAATTCTTACACTCGACATTGTTCTAATTGATGATTCTTTTCGGCTTGTGTGGCTTTTATAGAGCTACTGAATGTGGTTTGACTGATGCGGTGAACGATCATTCCAATGTTTAGGATCGCCAAGCGAGCGGTCGTTGGCCTCGTGAGCATGTAAGCAGTAGGCCTGCACGCCATCGACGGGGTTTCCAAGAGCCGGCGGGCGATACACGTAACTTCCAAACACGTTCTGACGACGGTCTGGATATGAATAATGGAATGAGTGGTCATGTTTGTTGCAGAGGTTGACTGCATGTTGAAGGTGGTCAGAGACCAGACTTGGTCAAACTTTGACGAGGCGTTGTGCAAGTGCAAGATGCATCGGCCGTTGCATGACACGATGTGCAGGACACTCAGCAACGATATACAAGATTTTGAATCATCAGTTGCAGTTCACACATTCTAATTCGTCGTCAAGTCTATCTATCATGTCTAAATGCAGTGAGCCCGGGGGCTGGTGATTGCAGCGTTATGCAGCCAAACTTTGCCTCTTTCTGCGAAGCCGCAGCCGCTCGTCCAGCCATCTGGTAACGGACAAGACGAAGCCAAACGACAAGATGGCAATGGCAACACTAAAGCCTCGTCTATACAGCGGTTTATCATCGCTGCGGAAAATTTGCGCTCCGTAGATGCCCGCAATGTTTGCATTCATAATGACACTGTGCTCATATTAATTAGCTAGTGGTCGTCAAGTCACAAAGAGGGGGAAAAAGGGCAGTATAGCTCACCCGGCCATGGCAAGAGCACGCTGCTCCGAGTCGTGGCACGTCAAAGACAGCCAGGCAATGTTGAGCGGATGCGAAAAGGTGCCAAACATTTGCGTCCAGATGACGCCAAAGTAGCGCACGCCGCGCGAGTTGACTTGCGTAAAGGCGCGGTTCAGGATGTAGCCCAACAGATGACCAAAAAGGCCAATCATGACGGTCTCGCCGCGGCGATTGCTGGTTCCTTGGTTAGCTGCTGGATAGACGGAGGAACGTCGGTTTGAGGTAAAAGCTTACAACTTGTCGGAGAACCAACTAAAAGTAAAAGAGACGGGCACCTGCAGGAACAGGCCGACGGCGGCCAGCGCGTTGCTGCTCAGACCAGTGAAGCCAAAGCTTGTCACGATGGAGGGCGCATAGGTATCAAAAGCTCGCTGAGGTCCATTGTTGCACAGCGTAATCAGAAAATGAATCCATATACGCCAGTCAAGGAACTACATTCATGTTAGCAGCCATACTCGCATTGGAGGGGTCATGCCACTTGCCGCTCTCTTGAAAGCGCCGAGAGGAATCTTCTTCTTCTTCTGGCCCTTCATCGGATCGTCAATCAAGACGCGCGTTTGCAGAATGTGAATCTCGCGCTCCGTGAACCACGAGTACCGCGGCAAAAACGTGCTGTGCGGGTTGCGAAACGAGTCGGGTAAGCAGAAGCCAAAGATGAGGCCGCAGCACACCGTAAACGCGCCCATGAGCGCAAACAGCCAGAACCAGCCGGGCTGGCCACCGACGCCGCGCATGTGAAGGATGCCAAACGCCAGGAGCTTGGCGGAGGCCTGACCGATCTGGTTGCCAAAGTAAAAGATCATGACGCGCTTAGCCGTCTCGGTGCGCGTGTACCACGTAGAAAGCGTCCAGAGGCCGCCGGGGATGAAGCCAGATTCAGTGATGCCGAGCAGGAAGCGCGTCGCGACGAATGCGCCGTAGCCGCGCTGAAAGGCCTGAAAGGTGCTGACGATGCCGAACAGGAAGAGCTGCAGGGTCAACCACTTGCCGGGGCCGACGCGGTAGAGAATCATGTTGGCGGGGATTTCGGTGAGGACGATGCCGAGAGAGAGCATCTGCTGGCCAACGTTGAACTGATCCTGGTTGATTCTGACGTCCTTCATGAAGTTGTCGGTGATGGCGTTGGCCATGTTGCCGCGGTCGAGCTCTGAGGGGAGGGGTGTTAGCGAGGCTAGTAGGGGAAGGCCGGGCGTAGACGTACGGAGACAGAAGAACCCAAGAGTCAAGATGGGCATAATGATCAAGTCCAGTCTGATCCATTGTTAGTGATTGCTCCCGCTGGTGAAGACGGCGTCAACTTACTTGCGCTTCGCCCGTTTCTCCTCCTCGGGGCTCCAGTCGACAACCCGGGCAATCGGTGCATCCTCCGGGACCTCCTGGACCGTCGGGCTCTCTACTTTCTCACTCATCTCGAGAGACTTGTGTGTATTTGGTAAAACTATGCGATGAAGTGCGTTGCAATCGATCCCGGGTCTTCAACGGGCATTTGGCGATTGCCTACTTATATACAATGCCCAACGGCAGCGACACGAGACATATTTCAACAAAGGAACCAGCAGGCCTCGGGCAGTCGCCGAGGAAATTGTGGCGCGCTAGAAATTAAGCATATCGAAGAAAACTCGAGCAAAACGCTTCGGCATTGGGTGCGCGGCGACGAGGCGCATGGTTGGTCAAAACCTTGGTGTTCTTGGCGCAAGCACGACATCTGGCTGCGCTTCTTGGCGGCATCGAGGCGCCGCCCGTCCATGTCGTCATTACGCCCTCGGATTTGCACAATGAAAGAGATCTCTCGAAAATGGGCAGATCTGAGAATTCGATAGTTTTGGTGTTTATTGAGGCTTTTCGGCACATGTCGAGATCCCTCTGTCAGCCGCATTGAGAATGCTGCAGCTGGTCTGCCTCGCCTGCCAAGATCCATCCATCCATACCCATATTCGCAGTAACTAGTGCGACCAATCAGTCCTTATCTGATCCCACATCTTTGACGGAGAATTTTGCCCAATAAGCTCGAGACGACCATTCTCATGATATTTTTTTTCCCTTGTTGCAGCGGGTGTTTGTAGATGGCAGAATGTGGCTGTAGATTTGAAATTGTGGGTGTCATGTCCAATTTTGCTAGGCAGCTGCCGGGCGGATCGCGCCAGCTCCGCGTTGTATGTACCTACTTTTGACGCAGCACAAACAAAACTTGGACTTTCGAATTTTCTGTCTTGTCGAGCTGTCAGCTTACAGTTTACAGCTCGCAACACATGCAGCCTTTGTCGCAATCATGGCCCGTAAACTGCCATGGAAGAGGGCTTCGGATGCTCAGCCACAATCAGCTTCCAGTCCGCGGCGCGCATCGCCCAAAATCGAGACGCCTACAAGAAGAACAGCGGCGACCCCGAGCAGTACGACGGCGGCGTTGCGACATCGTTTGCCTGCCCTCGCCGCATTAAACTCTTCTGGTACAGCATCACCCGCCCCTCGCCTAAAATTTGGGGGCCAATAAACAATAACGCTAAAACATCTAGATCCCCTGCGCAGTCCGTCGACATCGCCTCCCCCAGAGCCTCCGCAGGAAAGGTACAGTGTGCCCGCCAAGGGGGGGTCCTCGCAGCGGCGCGTCTCGCCGCTTGATGATGTTTTTGCTGCGTTGGCAAAAAAAACCTTCGACACTCCTCGGCTAACAAAGTTTTGCTTTTCATAATAGGTACATGGTGCCCGGCGATGACCAGTATCGCATCGTCGAGGACGAGCTGCTGGAGACGGCGCAGCGCTTCACCACGCACCTGCACCGCGCCGAGTACACGCGACTCAAGCTCATCGCAAGATCCAAGAATGATGCCGCCATTCGCGAGATCAAGCGTCCCGTCATCGGCCCGCTCACCTCGGATGCCAAGCGGCGCCGCGACCGGGCCCAGCGCCTGTCCAAGCAGCGTTCCGTGCTGTCTGCCCAGGACGGCAGCACCACGCAAGACGAGAGCGCAAATGGTAGCTCGCCCTGGGTCGGGACCAACCTGCGCGGCCTCCTGAACGCGCCGCGCGCAGAGTCTAGGACCCTAGCGGCGCCCCCGATGCCGTCTGCGGTGCCGTCGTCGCGCACCAAAGCGGCCGCCGGCCATCATCCGCCTCGGCCGCCCTCGAGCCCACGCCAGCGCCCTGCAGATGGCGGCAGTTTTGCAACTCCCGTCGCGACGGGGCGCGCACGCCATCCTGCCACGCCTGCCACGCTGAGCGGCATGGCCTCCAGCTCCTCAGCGCCAAGCCGACCTGCCAAGAATGAGGCTGAGACTCGGCCCCCAGAGGACGACGACTTGGACTTTGACGATCCATTTGGCATCAATAAACGACGGCTGGATCGGCAAAAGTCCAGAGATCAGCTCAAAAAATCTATTCGCTCGACGCCTACGAAGGTGTCATCATCAGACAGTATGCCGTCCTTTGTGTGAGGCATTCAGTGGTCCTGAGAAGCAGAGTTTTGGGAATCGTGCTATTTTCATCTATGGCATTATTCTGTTTTCACCGCAGCTATGAATCCTGCATCGTGAGCTCGTCAAATTCATCCAGTAATTCTCCCATGTCGACCTGCGGCGAGTCATCTTCGCCATCCTCGGTCTCAGCCATGCTCATCTCTTCCTCCTCGCGCTGCTTCTCACTCTTGTACAGGGCCATAGCAGCACGGAGATCCTCGTCTTCCTCGACATCGCGCAAGAACTGCTCGTATTCACGATCCATGCGCTCCTGGTCAGCCTTTCTGGGCAACAATTCACCCTCATCCTTGGCCATGCGGCGGAGCTTCCAGTTGCGCTTCTTGTTCTTCTTGCGATTGGGGTAGTGCTTCTTGACTAGCACGACATCGGGCAGCATGGATGAGTACACGTTCGACTCCTCCATGGCCTCCCATTCCGCATTGTTGTAGTTGGAGCCCGTCAGCATGTACCCCATGACGCTGTCGCCGGCCTGCAGGAGACCACCAAGATGGGTTCTTGTGAAATATGTCGTGTCATTGGCGCCGAGATCAACAGCGCGAGCAACGGTAACCTCACCGAGACGCCACTTGCCGTTAGTCTTGCCCGTCAGCTCAATATCCATGACAATAAACTCCACCAGCGAATGAGAGTCAGCCAGTGAGGTGAATGGCGCTCGCCAGTAGATGGGGCAACTGATGTCTGCGGTTTGGAGGGTCTGGGGGTCCATGAGGTAAATGGAGGTACCAATCTTGTGGCACAGAACCAGTGGGGTAATGTTACCAGCCTGCTTGGCTAATCTGATGGGCATAGCGACTAGGTCATCTTTACATATCGGCACGAGTTCGGCAGAATATGTAAACTTGTATGATGTTTTCGCGGTGTGCGTATCGTGCGAAATAAGCTCTTGCGAGGTTTTGACTGTGACGGGAACGACAGAATTGAGGAAGTCGATAAACTTTTCGGCTTGATTTTTTTGCGAAAAGAAGAAATCGATGCCGTCTTTGGCTTCCTTGATGTTGAGCGTATCGCGGTGAGCGCCGTGCTTCATGATCAGCTGTTCGAGGAAGAGGAAGGTGCGCTTGTGTAGGACCTTTTGGCGGACCTGGACGCAAGCACGCCAGACGTTGGCGGTGTACGACTTGGCGCATTCAGGACATTGCTGTGTGGCGACAATGTAGACGACCTCGAAGCTTTGCTGCAGCATGATGCCATCCTGAACCTCGTCCTGGATGGTGAGCTTGACCTTTATTCTTCGCGAGTGAGGTTCTGTCCACACGAAGCTGGCATCGACGATGCGGACTTTGTTCAAACCGCGCAACTTCTTGAGGCATAGAGCCAGGAGCTCGCGGGATTCGGGAGCGGCCACGACCCAGCTGGAGGGTGGCAACAGCCATCTGTTGCAGTCTCGGCAGAAGTTGATGGTGGCTTCGCGCTGGACGCCTTGAGAGATGTCGATGGTGAGCTTGACGCAGTCGTAGCAGAGCGCGCCGGCAGAAGTCGTTCCGTCGATCGGGGCACCGCAGTTGCAGCAAAGAATACTACACATTAAAACGCTTGTCAGTCCTCAATCTGTGTCTTGTTCGTGGGCTTGAGACGCCCAATGCGGGGTGGTTAAAACTCACGTTGCGCCCACCCGATGGTCAACGGCCCCGATGGACACGGGGGCGTCATCTATATCCATGGACATGATAAACGACAGCAAAACGACTCCAAATTTGTTTGAGGATAAATAATGCCAAACAGAAAAAGGTAGAAAAAGATGTGGTAGTTGAGTCGAGTCACAGCCAAAAATTTGCCCCGCTGCTTGATAAGCGGGCAGGGAAAAAAAAAAGAAATCTTATCGTGAATTGTGGGGTGGCCATTGTGGCAGCGCCAAACGTTACGGCGACGAGTAGTGACAATATGCAGTTATCGAGTGTCGAAGAAACAATAATCATATGCTCAAGTGCTAATATTATATACAATATGCCATTTAGAAAATCTTGTTCAATACCCTCGTGACCCTTTCAGGTTGCTCATCCGTATCCTTAGTCTTCTTTGCCAGGGGTATTTGCTTAAACGTCCTCGTGTGCCTCTGCGTCGCCCCCTCCGCCACGCCATCGCCATCAGCACCAGTCTCGGGCTCTCCATTGTCCGCCGCCTTGCGCTTCCTCGCCGCCGCCGACTTGGCAATGCCGTCCAGCACCTTGGCCTGTTCCACGTTCCTCACAAACTCCTTATTCTCGCGCGCCGTCTTGCTAATCTCGGCGCGCATGCGGCTCGCGCGCTCCGCATTCTCCGACGCAATCTGCTCCGTGAGGTTGTGCCACTTGAACCCTTTGAGGTACATCAAATTCCAAATGTCGTCCCGGTAGTAGCTGCCCTTTTTGCCGCCCACGGTGCCGGCATTCAGCAGCGCGCAGACTGCTTTGGCGTCCTTTTTCCGCAGAAACTCGACCCAGCCCTCGGTGTAGGAGCGCTTCTTGTTGCCGCCGGCGCGGACGCGCCGCGCGTGCGCGGTAGGGTCCTCGGGGGCGAGAAAGATGCGGTTGATGGCGCCGTAGGGCTCGAGAAGGGAGCGCAGCTTGGCGGGCTTCATGAATGGCGGTATGCGGGAGAGGTAGACGACGCCGGACCTTTTGATGGCTTTTTCGGTCGCGACGAGATTCTTCTTGGTGAGGGTGCGGGAGATGTCGGGTAGGTCGCTCTGGATCTTGGGAAGCTTGGTCTTTTTCTTTTCGGATTCCTTGTCTTCTGCTGTCTTGGCTTCTGCTTCAACAGCGTCGTCTTCCTCGTCATCGCCGCCGTCAGTGTCGCTCGCATCGTGGTCAGAGTCGCCGTCTTCCTCGGGGCTTAGCTTTCTGCGCTTTGTGCTTCGGCTTCCGCCCTTGCTGATTTCATTTTCCGAGTCATAGCTCTCAATGTGATCATTGTCGCTTTCCGAAGCATCCAGAAAGTCGTTCGCGTTTGGTGCCATGGCTACGCATAAGTGGTGCGATTGCGGTTATGCCGTCTTGCGATGGCTGTCACTTGGTAAAAAAGTTGCTGGCACTCTGAGCCGCTTATCGATATGCCAGTGCCGGGGTATTCCTTTAGCGGAGCGTTGAGGGGTCGACCTTTCCAGGTGAGAGACGTCGTAGAGGCGTCTAAGTTATCGTAAGGAATAATAAATGATGTCCAAACCTGTTCTTCTTTTTAGTTTAGCTCATTTTCGCCCCTGATCCTTTTGTTTTTTTGGGTCCTGCTTCTTGTTTCTTTCCCTATCCTCGTAACCGGCCTCTTCCGGCCACCCACTCTAAGCTGCGTACCCTACAGAGCAGAACGATTATTTTCCAGATAATCTCTCAAACTGCTCCAAGGACGAAGGGTTTTTGTAATCTTCTATGCTTTTTAGTACACCAGGGACCTATTCTCGGTATTTTGCTGAGTTCATTTGCTTCACCGGATCTTCAGTCGAAGCAGCTATGACGTTAAGCGACGACCATCAACGTGGGGCATATCTCCAACACTTATGTGGCAACCTCCCCTCATCTACCTACAAACCACCACTGTGCCTGACACACTCACGATCATACGCTCAAAATGTCTGTCGAAGTGATTAACACTATTTCGCCAACCACCGGTGAGGTCGTCATCACCCGCAATGGCGCGTCTTCAACCGACCTAGACCTGCTGCCCAAGGTGGCGACTGAGGCGTTCCAGAGCTTCCGCAAGACCACCCTCAAGGAGCGACAAGAGATTGTGAAAAAGTTCCTCCAGGGTCTCGCTGATCGCGAGGCAGAGCTCGCAGAAGAGCTTACTGTCCAAATGGGCCGCCCAATCGCGTTTACCGGAAAGGAGATTACGACTGCCGTGAAGAGGGGTGAATATCTTCTCAAAATCAGTGGCGAGGCCCTACAAGATACCGATGGTGAGGCCGAGAAGGGCTTCAAGCGATTCATTCGCAAGGTCCCGGTTGGGCCTGTACTGGTCATCTTCGCATGGAATGTAAGTTTATACGTGTACTTGATCTAGTCGCCAATGTTGGCAACGGACGTTGTGCCAAAGTGGGAGGGCCGTGAGCATTAACATTTGTCACAGTATCCCTACTTGATCCTTGTCAACTCTCTTGTGCCTGCTATATTGGCAGGCAACAGCGTCATTCTCAAGCCGTCTCCCCAGACTCCCACCATTGTAGAGCGAGTATCCGAGATTTTTGCTGCCGCAGGCTTGCCCCAGGGCGTCCTCCAGTACTTCCACTGTGGTTCGCCAAGTACCATGGAAACTATTGTGCGCGACCCCAGGATCGAGCTTGTGTGCTTTACAGGCTCTGTTGCCGGCGGACTCTCCGTGCAAAAGGCGGCCGCCGACCGCATCGTCAACATTGGTTTGGAGCTCGGTGGCAAGGACCCTGCCTATGTACGCAGTGATGTGGACATTGATTGGGCCGCTGAAGAGATTGTTGACGGCTCCATATTCAACTCGGGCCAGAGCTGCTGCTCTCTCGAGCGCGTGTACGTCGACGAGAGCATTCATGATGCTTTTGTCGAGGCCGTGCAAAAAGTGCTCAAGGGCTACAAGCTGGGTGACCCCTTTGACAAGACCACCCACGTCGGTCCCGTCATCTCGAGCCGATCCAAGGATGCTATCGAGGGCCATATTAAGGATGCCGTCTCTAAAGGTGCCAAGGACGCTACGCCTGCCAATGAGACGTTTGATAGCCTGCCGGCCAAGGGCAACTTTGTCAAGCCGACTCTGCTGACTGGCGTGGACCACAGCATGACCGTCATGACTGAGGAAACTTTTGGACCTGTGATCCCTGTGATGAAGGTCAAGAGCGACGCCGAGGCCATCAAGCTGATGAATGACAGCGAGTTTGGTCTCACCGCCAGCATCTGGACCAAGGACACTGACAAAGGCTACGAGCTAGCCGAGGACGTCGAGGCGGGCACCGTATTCGTCAACCGGTGTGACTACCCTAGCCCGGTAAGTGAGACATGTTCCGGGATCGCGGTCGCGGGCGATGAAGCGAGCTCTTTTTTTTTTCCCTTATTTTTTTTTTCCACTGTGATGAGGTGAACCAAGCTGACAAATATCCGTGGTGTAGGACCTTGCGTGGACTGGGTGGAAAAACTCTGGCCGCGGCCAAACACTTAGCAAGTTTGGCTTTGATGCGTTTGTCAAGCTCAAGAGCTTTCACCTGAAGGATTACCCGAAATGAGAATCAACTGAGACATTTTTATTCGAAATGATTGGGTGCAACGGGGCCAAATTACGTACAGATTAGTGAACAAGGATTTGCAATGCCATCTCCGATCATCTACTTTTTTGCTGGGCGGAATGATTTGGAAATTTTCCTGCCGGAAAAAAAAACCAAAACAAAACAGAACAAAAAACAGCCCGACTGTGATGAAATCGTTTTTGGCCCAATAAACCAAGGTCAGTGCAGCAAGGACAGCAAGCGCTCGCGTGATTATGTCCAAATGGCTTCATCCGCGCCATTCCCGCACCAGTCCTGCTCGGATCAAGACCATCTCGGCTGCGGCATGCCGATCTGCACCACTACAAACTGCACTGCAACGCACTGCAAAAAAAAACTCCATGAAAGATGCGCTGGCTGGCTTTATGCTGTTCAACACGTATTTTTGACTTTCTGATGTACGAAGCCTGCGTATACGATGGGATGCAAACTGCCGTTTCTTTGATCGTATCATTGGGCACAGCAGATGGCAGGAGCAAGTATAGGATCAGTATATGAACTATTTTTGTGCAAATGCATGCGATATTTACGTTTTCTCAAAACTTGCGGCTCTTGAGCCACAAGTAACCCTCCATCTGATCGTTGGTCAGATCTGCCAGCGTCTTACCTACGTCGACGCCATACAAGTCGCTCCAGCTCTTGAACTTGGCCTCCAGGTCCAGTCTCTTGGCACTCTTGGTCTTGTCAATCCCCGTGGATGCCCATAGATCCTTCACAAAAGGGCGAACACGTGGATCTATGATGTCGGCCGATTGCGTCTCCCACTGCTGCAGGATCTGCGCCGGGTCCATGCCAATCGTCCTGGCCAGTCTCTGCACCGTGTCGCCTTCGAGTAAATCATCCGCATCAACGACGATTGGATAGCTCTTGCGGCCCAGTAACATGTTCGTGCAGGCGACAGTTGCAGAAGCCGACGATAAAGCCGCAGCGGCCGTGTACCAATCGAATAGAGCCCTTGTGAGCTGCACCCTACCGAGTATCGTACGAGGAGGCTATCGCGTAGCACGGCGGCCGGCGGATGGCCCTTGGCGCGATACCATGAGTCCACGACGAGTGCCGGGTGGCGGATGAGAAACAGGGGTACAAACGACAGAAGCGTCTCGTCTGACAGCAAAGTCGGGTTGGTGCGCGATGCGAGCGAGAGCAATGTCTCGAGCTCGACGCTGACCATCGAGGGGGACGCGTCGCTCTGCAACCCGGTAAAGAAGAGCGACGGATTCACCAGCTCGACAAGGTGGCTCTTTGTGAAAAAAGCACGACCCTGACGAAAGCCTCTGTATCAATACAGGCGCCGCCTGATTCGAGAGATTAAGCGGGCTAGGAAAGACGTACATTCTCGTGGGCGTTTTTGCGCGCCACCAGTAGCTCCTTGTGCCCAAGGCGCATCATCTCTAGATACGTCTTGAATGACTCTGTGGGAAATTCCGTTTCATGGCTGCTCAAGTTCAACTGTACGTATTCATAAACATCGTGGAGGTAGTAGCCCTCCTCCTTCCAGTCGGTCTGCTTGGACAGGAGCCTGACGAGCAGGTTGGACAGGGTCCGGGGGGAGGCGAAGAAGAAGACATCGGCAGGGCGTGAGCGGGTCATCGCTGGCTGTAAAGGGAGAGACTTGGGCTTCTTTTCAAATGCCGCTATGTTTGCCTGGTGATGGTTCGAAAAAAGAGAGAAATAGCGGTGTCACTGGCGTAACAACCAGTAGACGGCGATGCTTTAGTGCGGTATCCGTATCCGTACACGACGTCAAGAGCGCAGCTACTCATGAGACATAGTAAAAACCCCGCAATCGTGCCTCGACAAGACCGAAATACCTGTTTCTACTGCGTCTGAGTAATTGAGCCATATCATGCACACTTACTAAACGTTGTGCAAACTTGGCGTGAAAGTATTGATTCCCTTTGCTTTTTCGAAATTGGTGTTTCCCCCGGAAGCAAGTCACATCATGTAATTTGACCAATATGTTCTTTGTTATTTCGGAGTACATCAGGAGTCATACTCTCTAGGGAGAATTTTCACCATGAGGGACCTTGATAGTGTCTTCTTTCTCAAGTCGGCGCGTTGTTATTCGCCCAGGCATCCTTGCCGGTCTGCAGTATGAGTTTGCCGGAGGCTGATTCATTCAGACCCAAGCTTTCGCGTGCTGAAACACCCATCATAGGAGCCTGTCCAAGAATGCCGCTTCAACTTTGACTGGCTGTTCCATGCTCGCAGCCAATGACTCGATTTATCAGCCAGCTGCTTGGAAACGGTCGGGGCCGACGTCCGCTCGTCCCACCGTCAGAAGACTCCAATTTGCAGACACTTGATACGGTAGCAACATGGAAGCAGTGAAAGTGAGCACTGTGGTCAGACGTGTCGACGAGGCCGTTTCGTATCACATCACCAAGCAGGATACCCCAGTACCATTTGTTCCGCCCCTCGTACGGGTCAATTCCGTCCTGAATCAAGAAGATTTGTGTTTCGTTGGCAAATTTGTCGTTTTCTGAAAGAGGCTCAAGAAGCCCGACACTCGTCGGATGTCTGACGTCGGGGTCGGCCATCAGATGCTATGTTTGTGATGAAGATGCACTGCGGGAGCGCATTTGCGGCCAGATCTCTGTGCAACTCGGAACGCCCCATGTCTGTGGGGGACATGTCATGTTCTTGGCACTCGAGATGACAAAACATGACAATGTAGTCAAAGGCTTTGCTTGGAACAGTGCTCACACCAGCATAACAAGTAAAGCTATGAAGTGCGAGCTGGCGAGTACAAGGGCGACCGGAAATGAAAATTGTACTGGTAGAGAGAGAAGGTACGCTGTATCAAGTCACATGCGTTGGCACTAGAGCAGTCCAGTACACAGCTCTGCCTGTTTGATGCAGTCGAGGGCCCATTAATGTCGCACCCGCCACGGATATGTTGCTTTGCTCTGCCATTATAGTCGCCGTATGTTATTGCCGTACATGAGCTGAACCATCTCGGCTACCCGGCGGGCGTCGGCAGCTTCCACGCGAATCACATGGAACAAAGTACGGATGTGGCTGTGATACAGTGTGCATCCGCCTTGTTGCGATGGAGACGCTGAATCGACAATGACAAATCGCCCATGCCGTTTGTCGTGTTTCTCCGTTTGTATCCCTCCTCTTGTTTTTTGATTTTTCCCTCTCCTCATTTGCACTTTGAATTACACAATCGGTGGGTGATACAGAGATGAGGCTCCTTTAAAAAAGATAAAAAGAGGCGCCGGAATAGCCTAATGCTGCCTCGTCGGAGCGAGATTGCACGTCCCAGACACCCGGGACGTGGTACGATGGTAGTGCGATAACCTCATGCGGTGGCGTTGATGGTTGGCAAACCCCCCACCATTCGTCTCTTTGTTTCAATCAACTAGTTAGTGGCGCTAGAGTAAAAAAGGTTATGCCATTTGTCGTTTTAGTTGACCTGAAGCTTTTTTTTTTTTTTCGCTGTGCAGGTTTGTTTCAGCTGCATTTGCGCTCTTCTTTCCCTTTTTGTCTCTCTCAAACTTTACACTCGGCAAAATCCTCGAACAGCTGGCTCATGCAGCAGCTATTGTTTGAAAAGAGGTCCGTCCCCCTTCGCTGACCCTCTTGTTGTTTGATGATTGCTAGACAAATGGACAGCAACATGGCAAAAAAAAAAGCGGGAACCGTTTCCGCGATAGGCTGTGTTATCTGCAAAGAAGTTTCCTGGCAGCCTGGCACAAGCCTGACAGGCGCCTGAACTTTTGCTTTTTTTTTTTTGAGGTGGCTTGTTTGGTGAGTTGAATGTCGTAATCTCCGATTTATGTTGCGACCGTCTGCCCGGGTCAAGGAGGGGCGGGAGCGGGCGCGGGCGCGCAGGCAGGCAGGTGAGCAGGGATAGTAAAAAGGCAGGGATGTTACGGAGAAAAGTGTGGTATTTCATCGTGAACGATTTTATCCATGCTTATTTTTCAAGTTCTGTATGTGTATTGGACACGCGACGTCGTTGTCAACCTGCGCTAGAGGGACAGGGCTATGCCATTTTGTCTTGCACTACTCCAATATCCAACAACATGGCACATCAAAGCCATCATCATCAGCTGCTCATCCTAGCAAGGCCGTTTTTCTAATTGAAGTGTCAGAGCTGAAAAAAAAAGCCACGCTGTTTGAACAACTCGAAAAGGGCGAAAAGCGCGGAAAGCGCAGGTCAGCCACTCTTCAGCCGGTGTGATTACTGCTGCAGCCGGTAAGCAGGCTGATGCAGCAGTTGGGATGCGATTGAGACAAACAGGCGCGCCTGTGATGCACGACACTGTGAGTCGAGGTATTCCGCCCTTTTTCAAGGGCACTTGCTGCGTCTTAAATGGCATTTTTCTTACGAAATGTGTTTTTTGACGCGTTGCATGCGGGATGGATGGAAATGCTCCGCGGCAGGCTGGACACGAGCGACGCAAGGGAGACAGGAATGAGACCATTTTTTACGTGCGTTGTCTGGTCATTGGCATGCAATCATGAGAGACGTGTGGCGGATATTGAATTCTAATTAGACGAAGCAATTAAAGGGCTGCAGTATGGGTAGAGATGTGTCTTTGTCGATGCCGAGGTCGTTCTTCCATCGTCAAGCCAGATGGCCAGTGATTGTCTTGTGCGTACGGATACATTAGTCGGAGGCCAAGAGTTGTGCATTCACAAATAGGCATGCATGCGAGCTTGACAAATCCTTGCTTTTTTGCTCTGACAGTTAGTCAGTCCAAGACATTCCCTTTCGTTTCGTCTGAGCGAGAAACGTGGAGGACAGCAATCCGGTTCACCCCCATTCCATCTCTCTCATTCTTTTCTAATTAATTAAAATCGCCAATTAGCGGAGAATACTGCGTGGCAGTTCATACCGGATTGCTGGAGACGCGCCGACATGCTTCGGGGTTTTTTTAGCTTGACCCAATCGTGGCGCCATGGGTAGCTGGGCTGCCTGGGCATGCTGGGCCCCACGACAAGGGGGGAATGTTGAGCGGTCGCAGGGATCTTGGCTACTCTTTTCGGGCTAGTCTTCCCGTACGTTTGGGTTCCCAGATGGGCGCTGGGTTTATTTAGGTAGTTTGTCAATTAGGTTAAAACCAATGACTGGAAAATCCGGTTCTTGGCCGGCGCTAATGCACAGTTGCGGCGCGCGACAAAGTGTTGGACCTCTCTGCAGGGCGAGCTAATTACCTTGGGCAATTGACATGCAGCAAGTCGGGGGAGGGGCATTGCCAGCGTCACATCGCGGCTGTTTCTCTAAATGATTTTTCCGCTGAATGGAATGCGCTTCCTGTAGCCGAGAGCGTATTACACATTCACGAGGTCACGGCCGTGAGGATTATGCACGTGCTGCATGTGTCTTGAAGCGATGCTTGTGACTGCGGAATTTCTGTAAAGGTACGACGGTACGAGCCATTGTGCGACGCCCGTAGGGGCATCAACCAACTGAATTTGAAATCAAAAGAATTTAAAAAATAATGATCAAATAATCAATTAAAAAATTCCCCTAGCGCCATCGTCATGCCCGGCAGCTGAGACAGGTACCGTAGAGCCGGATGAGTGTGTGTAGAAGGGCTGGGCTGAGACAATTATTGGGCGCCTAATAACTACCTCGCAAGCTACCGGACAAGCCCCGGACACTTATTGAGAGGCGACCCGGCGAGAATATCAGGTAAACGACGCCACCACCACCGTCGTCAGCAGCGGTGACGGAGAGCCACCGATCTGGGTAGGTAAGCGGAAGCAAGTACACAAGGAGGAGCGTCGGCAATTTGATTTGAGATTTGTGTATCTGTGTATGTCATGATACTGACGAAAAGTGGCACAAGAACTAGGGTACCAAAGAGAGTGAGAAACATATGGGAAAAAAAAAGAGATTTTATTGCATATGTGATCGGCCCAGACTCCCGACCCAGGAGACTGGTAGACACCATAAAAACAAGCCTAATTGACGATCGTTGACTGTGACAGAATGCCCGGGGTGAAAAAGGGCCCAGTAACCCGGCATCCCAACCAACAAGCCCCAACCCAGCAGCAGCCAAACAAAACGCTGTTAATTAGACACCTTCAGCTGTGGCAGGTTGGGCCCTGGGCGATTGGCCTGGCCGCGACCCGAGAAACCGGACAGCGTCCGAGTGATCCCCCAGTCTCTATTTGTTTCTTTTTCTATTTACTCTGCAGCCTGCAAAGAAAAGAGATGAGCGCACAGACTTTGTCTGTAGAATGATGCCTCTTTCTAACAAGTGCAAGTAATAAGAGCTCTTGGTTGTTGCGACCAATGGCCGGGGGGTGATGGGAAGGAAGGGGGGGGGGGGGGGTGCGCGTGTGATGATGGCGCAGCCCGGAATTTTTTCTTGTTCTAGCTGTCTGGGTTTGGCGACATGTTTCTCGTCGTCGTCACGTTAAAAAAGAGTGTAAAAATGCGAAACAAGTTTCCGTAAGATGATACGAAATAATTCCGTACACGAACTTGAACCCCAAGGGGGGTTTAAAACTCCAGAAGCGGAAAAAATCCTCACACACCCACCACCCCTTCCTCGACCCTTGTCCAACCCGGCCAACCGGTTGAGTCGCCCCCATTTCTCAGTTCGCCCTTTTTTATTTTATTTTTTTTAACCCTTTTCTTTCGTTGTCTTTGCCCATGGTGATACGCAAGGAGCACCAAGGGGGTGCTGCGGCGGGCGGAGACAATATTTAATATTTCTTCTTCACTTTGTATCTTGTATCTTGTAGCTTTGTGCTGCAGAAGAAACTTTTACTTGAGCAAGCAACCGCGTTGATTATATATTCCTTGTGATATCCTCTTCCTTCCTAGAGTGGCTCTCGTTCTTTACTGTCGCTGTATCAACAAGTCTGTCACTCACTCACTCACTCACTCACTCGCTCGCTCGCTCACAACGCTCTTTAAGAGAATATCGAAGCAAGGCTGTGCTTCGTCTTCTCAAGTCCACTCATTTTCCAAATTGCATCTCTCTCTCTCACATTCGTTCTCTCCCCGCATCATCTTTTTCGTCATCGTCATCGTCATTCTTTTTATTTTAAACTCTGTCATTCAACTTGCTCCATACCAACGAGAGGCGCTCCGATCCTCCCCTCGTCTGTTTCAGAAACCAACCACAACGCCTACGCGGCCCGATCGACATCTTCGGCCCAAACAAGCAGCAGCAAGGTCCCTTTTTTGCCCTTTACCGCCCAACAAGCCTCTTTTTGTCATTCGCCTCATCTCGACATCATCCATCGCCATCCTTTTTTTCTCGCGCATCTTTGATCTTTACAATTTCTCACCCGAAACGACATCTCACCTATACGCGTCCGATCCGCCGCCCACCGCGCTTGTTCCATAACATCTCACAATTGGAATTCAACCCACACTCCCTCACAGCGACTTGCACGGGGTCACATTGTCTCTCTTTTTTACTCTCCGGCCGTCCTGTACTCTTTTTGTACCCCATTCACTGCTACCGTTTTTTTTTTTTGCCCCCTTGCTTAAAAAGATTCTTCCATCCTTGACAAAAAGGCAGCACTACATTTATTACTGCTTTCCCTCTTGGAACACAAACACCCGGTCAACGCTCGCATTCACGCACCAAGTGACCAGGAGCCTTGTTCAACCCGCACCGACGCCCCGAGTCGCAAACACATACGCACGAACCAATTCACTGCCACGCTTTTCCCGTTCACTGTCATTACTCACCTTTGACCTCATTTAACCCTATCCGTCTTTTTGTTGCTCGACTACCTCTTCAAAAAAAAGTCTTTCAAAAAAAAAAATCACTCCTCACACGACCGACTTCGTCATCCCTTTACATCTCTCCTACAACCTCAAATGTCATCTGGATACGCCGCCGAAATGCAGGTCCGCGATAATGTACGAATGATCTGCACACGCATGCAAACGCTGCTTAACCGCCGCTCCAAGCAGAAGCGCACTCTAGAAATCGTACGTTTACCTCCTTTCTCTTTCACTCCCATCAACATCTCCATCAACATCTCCATCAACATTTTCATCCTGATCGTCATCATCTTCAGTTCTTACTAACAAGTCATTCAATAGTCTGCCCCTTTCGACCTCAAACTCGAGCCCGTCTCTCTCCCCGGTGTCTCCCAGGACGAGCTCGCCATCCTCCGCGAAAAGGCCACCGCCAGCCGCGTCGGCATCACAGAATACATTCCCCGCTCCTCCTCCTCCATGACTTCGTGGGAGAATCGCTCCCAGACCTTTGTCTACAATCGCAGCAATACGCCCCCTCACGCTCACGCCCGTCGACCTGTCTGGTAGCGACACGGCAGATTCCAACGCTATGCCTTGACGACGGCGAAGGAGGTTCTTTTTCACACACACACACAACCTGTCTACTACGATTTCATTGTTCTTCCTTATGTTCTTTTTGGTACATTGCTCGGCGTCGGATATCTTGGCCTCACTTGGACTTTGCGAAGGGGCTTCTACACTATTAATACTGTTCGGAAAAGCTGGGGAATTGCTTGGACCTCTCATCTCTGTTGGGCATCTGTTTGCTGGCCTGTTTGACTCTTGCGAGGTGCTTCTTCTTTTGTTTTTTTTGTACTCTCTGCTACTACATCTACTTGGTGCGGACCGGTGTTAGTCGGCGTGTTTTAAATCATAATGTACCCGAGCGGTCGCGATACGGACAAAGCAAAACCTCCACCTGGTGTGGATTTTGCCCTCTACTCTTTGAGCGAATACAAATTATTCCGAGTTGCTCACCACAAAAAGACGATGACTAGCCTTTCTTATATCCTGGTGACATGTTCTACTCTTTAAGTAAATACAGCTTATTCCGAGTGCTCACATAACAAGACTACAACTAGCCTTCCTATATCCTAGTGACATATTCTACTCTGTCAGTAAATACAAATCATTCCGAGTTGCTCACACAATAAGACTACAACTAGCCATTCTATATCCTGGTGACATGTGCTCATGAATCCCCTCTCTTTTCCTCGACGCGTACCTCACGACAGCCATCCATCGTACACATCCAGCTTTTCCCTCCGCACCCCCTCCATCTCACCCTTGACGTTGAGCAGCTTCACCTTGGCGCCCTTTTCCCTGCTCCATTGCGCCAGAAACTCGTCTACTCTTTGCTTCGTCGCCTCGTCGTCCTTCATCAGCAGCGCGGCCGCGTCAAACCCGCCCGCGCCGGGGACCACGCCGCCGTAGACACCCTCCACACGCGACACCGCATCCAGCAGCTGCGTCTGCGTCTCCGGTTCAATGGGCACGTCGCTCTGCTGTCCCATCTCGCGAACCAGTTCGCGGACGCCCTCAATCCGCTGCGGCAGATCCGCTAGCCCGCCGCCGCGGCGCAGGCTCTCCGTCAACGCCTCGTTGCGCTCCTGCAGCGCATCCCACAGCTGCGCGGACCGCTTCGCGTCCTGCGCCTTCCACGCCAGCACCTTTTTCACCATGCTGACCGTCTGGCTGCCGCAGTCGACGTCGCACATGCGCAGCGCCACGCCCGGCGGCATGCCTCCGCCTCCGCCTCCGCCTCCGCCGCTCGCCACCTCGACGTCCCACGCCGCGCCATCGACGACCTCGACGAGCCGCGCCGCAAAGCCCGGCGCGCCCGCCTCCGGTATGCCCTGCAGGATGTTGGGAGAGAACCGGCGGTAAGTGCAAGAGCCGTACACGGCGGCAGCGACGTCAAACCCGGACCCGACCTTGCCCTGCGCGGCACAGTGCGCGGCTTGCGCCAGATTGTGCAGTGTCCGCCGGCCCGCGTCCGAGGCCACGTCGAAACCGCGTGCCTCCGCCCCCGTAGCGGGCAAGTAGTGCGTGAGAAGGGCGGCCGTCAGCGCTGTGACGAGCGCGGCCGAGGAACCGAGCCCAGTCTTGTGCGCGTCCTTGAGCGTCACGTCAAACTTGGCGAAGCGGCCGTGCGTATCGCCGGCGGCCGGGGGCTGCGAGTAGTAGGCGTTGTCGGCGAGGATGATGAGCCGGCTGGAGCTGGGGGCGTGGCCGTCGCCGGCTACCGTGTGGACGTATGTCAGGGCGTAGCTCAGCGTCGTCTCGACAAACGGGTTCGCCTGCAGTTGGTCGCCCCTGATTTGCTAGTCAGTAAACCTGCGCGATTCTATTAAAACATGTCTGACGAGCGCCGTGTGTCCCACAGCATCACGATGAGTTGAAGCGCAGCGCTCGTCGCCTTTTCCCCCCAAAGGGCACCTACACTTGCAATTGCGTCACCTTGATGCCGCCGCCTTCGGGCGCGAGGTGGTAGCCGTACCGCCAGTGCGCCGCCAGGAACTGCGGGCTGTCCACCGCAATCTCGTTGAGCTGCACGCCAGCGCGCGGGTGCACCTGACTGGCGATGACGTTGATCCGCGCATCGAGGCCAAACACCAAGCCCGTGTACTTGCGGTCCAGAACGAGGTAGCCGCCCGCCAGGAGCACCTTGCCGGGCGCAGAAATTGCCACGTTGGGATGCGTCACCGTCGACATCTTATCCCTCCCTCTCGCTTCTGCAGAGGTTGGTGTAGTTGTTGGAGGGGTACCGGATGAGAGGAGCAGGATAGGAGGGGCAGCGGGAGCTTTTCCAATGACGGCGCCGGATGCGGGTGCAAGGATGGCGAGAAGGCAATCGAGGTTGCAATTTATAGACTGTGCATGAACTTGGCCAAGTCGGCTTCGTGATTGGACGTTGAGGGTATCACAGAGATGCCGACATTACAAAGATGGGCCAACTCGCAGCTGCTGGATGGAAGTGGGAGCGGTGTCAGGGTGGGGCAAGACTCAAGATCAAGCGGACATACCGAATTCAGTAACGCTTCATATGACCTAATACCAGCGCCGGCTCGCGCCGTCAAAATCATAACTCTAATAATTATATCGCAGTCATGATACGTGGATCACCATGTGCTTGTTGCCTGCTTTTGCACTCACTCACAGTCTAAACCAATCGCAAAATTTATGAGTGTTACAGTGCTTCTGCATTACTATGTAGTGGTACAAGCAATCTATTGAAACCAAAGCGCCTCGCTCATGATTCCAATGCTGCCGTCAGATGTTTTTGGCCTTTTTTCATGCCGAGTGGAGATGGTCTATAGGTGGGAAACTTTTATAACCCAATAATAGCAAATGCAGACGCCGTTCCCCGTGAACCGCGTTCCCCTTTCCCACCAGGCCGTCAAATCCCTTGGCCAAAACCCAGATTTTGCACTTCAAAATAAAACGACAACAAATCAAAAGTCCAAAAACGCCATGCCGTTGTAATCAATATTAAAATAATGAACCGCTCAGGTCTTGTTGCCGAGCCTCCGATCTTCTTGACAACACCCCCTATTCCACAACTCTGCATGCCAACACTATGGGGTATCAATCACAGAGGCTTCTATAAAACCCAAGTAGACAAAAGAAATATGCGCAAAACGAAAAACAAACAGACTTCTCCGGTCTGCCCATGCAACCAAATTTTTTAATAAACCGCCATAAAATAAAATTTATAGCTGAGCATGTTCCTGGCCGCCACCCAGTAGCTCCAGCACCTTGTTGACAACAGCGCTGGGGTAGCCGCGGGTGAGCATCTCGCTGACGACAGAATTGGCTTCGTCACGCTGCTCCATGGCGAGGAAGGCCCGCGTCATGGACTCGTACGTGCTAGGCTCTCGCTTCTCTCGAGGCACAGCATCATAAATGGCCTGAGCCTTGGAGAGATTCTTCTCCGCAGCCCAGCCGTGAATCAAAGTATTGGCGATGTAGGGGGTAAGCTCAACCCGACGCTGGCGCATCTGGGCAAGCAGAGGCTCAGTATCGGCCACATTGTGGTTGGCAACCATTCCCTCGAACATGGCCTGATAGAGGCTGGCGTTGGCCGGTACAGACCTCTTCTCGGCAACAGAGTCAAAGATCTTGCGAGCGCCGTCCAGATCATGCAGAGCACAACCCTTGGCGTGGATAAGAGAGGCATAGTGAACAGATTCGGGCTGCTGACCAGCAGCAGTCATCTGCTCCATGACCTCCTCAGCAGCAGCAAGGTCAACGGGCTCGAGGGTGGCGTGCGTATCGATCAGCAGCTTGTAAGTATGCGAAGTGGGAGCAATACTCTTGGCCTTCATGCGCTCGTAGTAAGCGAGAACCTTGGCCTTGTCTCTCTTGGTAGTGAGGAAAAACTGCATCATGCTGTTGTAGGGAGCAGGGCGAGCCTTATAGTTGGGCATCGACTCCATTTCGTCAAAGAGCTCCTCCGCAAACTTCTCGTCGCTGACACGACACAGAGCGTTGACAATGGTACCATAGGTGACGGACGTAGGCTTGATGCCAAGAGCGCGCATCTCAGCAAAGTAGAACAGACAGTCGTCGATGCGGCGAGCCTTGCCGAGCTTGCCAATCAGAGCATTGTACAAGAACGAGCTAGGCTCAACACCCTCGGCCTTGGCGCGGTGGAAAATGCGAACAGCTTCAGAAGCCTCGTCGAAAGTCTTGGTGGAATCCTTGAGCGTAGTGATGTACAGACCAAAGGTGTTGGCAGAGGGGGAGGCGCCCATTTCTAGCAGCTCCTGATGGTACTGCTCAGCACGACCGCGGTTGCCAACAGTCAGGCAGGCACCGACCATGGCATCCAGAATAGAAGACCAGCCGTAGCGAACGACAGCATACTGAGGGAGCAGAGGAACATCGGTGCGGGCCATGCCAAGAATATCATGACATAGATCCATCTTGCCCTCTCTAGCAGCAGCCGAAATCAGCTTAGCGTAGGTAATGTATCGGGGATGGCGGCCAGCACGGCGCATGTTGCGAAAGCGGTTCAGTGCGTCACTCAGGCGTGGACCCTTGCGACCGTGACTGCCCTCTAGATCGTCGGCGATCAGAGACGAGCCCTTGAAATCGGTGTTGTGCGCATAAGGGTCGAAGCTGTCCTCAAAAGATGAAACCGAGGGCGTGGACGTGAAAGGGGATGCGCTCATGGCCTGTTGAGGAGCACTTGAAGCGTGCGAGGCCAGCTCACGAGGATCGGCAATGCCACGGCTCTCCATGTAGCGAGCGATGAAGTCAACACCTTCCTCAACCTCCTCGACAAGCTCAGTGCGCGCTCCAGATTCAGAGGCACAAATTCTCTGGAACATCATTTCGGATTGAGCGAGACCCTCGGCAACCTGGCCGGAACCAATCAAGGCGACGGCGTACATGGTGGCAGGTTCGATAAAAGCGGAAGTAACGCGCATCTCTGGGTTACTGAGCACATGCCAGTACTTGGTAGCAGAAGCAACATCGCCTTCACGAACACTCATGGCGAGCATGGCCATGGCAGGCGTCTGGAGGACATCGAGAGGGCCGGTGATGCCGTTGTAGGCCTCCCTTGCCGTGGCCACGTCGTTTTTGTCGGCGGCTTCGATGGCGACACGAGCAAGGGCTTGAGGACGGACCTGGGCCTCGATAGATTGAGCCCAGTAGAGCGCCTCGTCAAGAATACCGCGAGAGATGAAGCCCTTGACGAATCCAGTGCTGATCAGTGCATCCTTGATATCGGCAACCTTGACACCATACTCGTCTACAATCTTCTTGAAAAACTTCATGGCACCCTCAATCTTGTCCGAAATAACGTAAGCGTTGATGACGGAAGCGTATACTTGTGCGTCCATGCGGTCGTTCATGGTAAGAGTACCGGCATCGTTAGCAACAGCAAGGTTGCGATACTCATTGTAACACTCAACAGCACTGATGAGATCGCCAGCTGTGGCATAGGCAGTGATCATGGTGGGAAAGACTTCGGCGTGAGGCATGGTGCGAGTATCCTCCATATGGGCAAAGAGACGAAGCATATCCGAGACACGGCCAGCCGCAGCGCAAGCAGAAATGAGCTGCGAATAGGTGTTTGAAGAGAAGTTGGCAGTTCCGGCGTCATTAGAGGTATCGAACAGCTTGATGGCGAGGTCAAGTCTATCATCCTCACAAAGGATAGCATGCTCAAACTCGTGAGAAGCAAGCATGAACTTGCCAGGCTCTTCCATTCCGCCAAATCGCAGACGCTTCTCCTCAAGGACAGCTTTCATCGTGGCAACTTCGAGACATCGGGAGGCCAGCAAGCTAACGAGAATGTCGAATGTCTGACTGTCAGGAGTGACACGGCGGCGGAGCATATCGGCATAGACATCGAGAGCCTTGGAGACAACTTCGGTCTTCTTGGCGGGAATGTGGATAGCGGCAAGCAATAGCGCATTGTAGGCGCCTGCGATGGGCTTGACGCCGGTGGCCAGCATGGCCTCGAAGACGGCAGGAATCTCAGCATAACGACAGGCGGAGGAGAGCTTGAGCAGGTGGTCGGAGTATGACTGCGACTGGGGGTCGACGGGAGTGGCGGCGCGAGAATTGCGAGCGGGAGTGGCGGCGCGTGAGTGTACTGAGGCAACTTGGTCATCGTCACGAGATAGACGGGCTTCGATCTCTCGCTCAAGAGCAGCATCGATATGCGCAAGGGCAGCAGCTTCCTCGGGGGTCATAGGCCGGGCAATAGTCTCTGCCTGCGCGTTGACATCCTGCTCGCTAGCTTGGACGAGGGCATCTTCGCTGGTAAGGACGGAGTCGGCGTCGGGCTTCCACTCGAGGAGCTTGGGAAACTCATACTGTTCCCAGTCTTCATTTTCGACTTGACCAGCGGCCTCCTTCTTCTTCAAGGCCTCGAAGTAGGCATCGAGACCGCCATGGTTGAAGGCGAGGCGATGGTCGGCGAGACTGGCGGTGGTGCGTTCACTGTGAAAAGCCGAAGTGAGCTGAAAGGTGGCAAAACGGCCCTGTCGGTTGGCGTGCCTCCGCGCAAAGACGGGGCGGTTCTGGCTGTTTAGAACATGAGGGTGAGTGGCGGCTACAACGGACTGCGCGTAACCGTGAGAGGTGATGGACTTTGCGAATTGAGATCCTTGGCGGATGAAATTCGTGTAGAGGTTGGAGTAGATGGGCATTTAGAAGGAGCAATGGAAAAGAGAGGGCTGCGTCGTGTTAGTGAGAGCGTTGCGCAAATGGCTAGGTAGAGGTCTGGACGTTGTGCGCGCAGAATTTTTGTGGCGGAGTGACTCACGAGGTGGGTGGCTAAATGCGATTGCAGGTTCATTTGACAGCGATGCAAGCCGTCAAACAAACGCGCGATATAGAAAAGGGTAAAATGGTGGTGGTTTGGTAATTAAATAAAAAACAAATGAAGGAATTGAACGAAAACGAAAAGTGTTTGCGTTCAATTACTGACTGCAACCCTTGAATTCAGAAAAGAATGTATGGGCCAGCGCACACGATGGTAGGATTTGGTGTTTATGGTGTTGAAAAAAAAAGTTGAAGTTGGGATTGGAATGTGGCCTGGGAACGGGGGGTAGATGAATGCTCAGGCATCCAGGGGGCAAGACTGGGGTCTAGGTACAGTGAAGGACAGCAGGTTATAGCGCCGTAGGAGCGTGAAAAGTGCGCTGCAAAGGCCAGCAATTCGCTAACAGGGCCAGGCAGTGCGCTAGAGGTGACCGGATGCGGGGATAAAAAGGCCTAAATGCCGCGAGAATATTCGTAGGGCGCTGAACGGCCACACGGCTTACCGTGCGGAGATGCAAATAATGAGTGGACACCTTGCTAGAATGACTGGCAGTGGCCAGGGACTGAAGGACCACTGTGGCATTTGACTGACCAGTGAGCTGCAGATGCACCAGGGTGGACTCGGGAGCGTTAGGGTGTGCTTATGGGGCATTACGGAATGACTCTTTGCACCGCCCCACAGGACTGGATGGCAAGCAAATAATTGGAGGGGGCAAGGATCGCCTTGCCAAAGAAGATGATAAGCAGTGATAGTTGTCTCTTGTCGCAGAGCCTTTTTTTATACTAGATGCCTATTATCTTAATTATCTGCTCTATTAATTATAGCGGGCGAGCGACTTCCTGGCGTAGCCGAATAGCACTGAGCACTGGCCTGCTGCCCGCCTGCTCCGCTGAACCCGCTGCAGATGCCCCTCTGCCCCTCCGCATCTAGCTGTCACAGGAAAAAATAGAACATTCTGGCGCCGCTGACCCAGGTAATAGGAGTCCACGGTTACAAATGCTCTGATGCCGGATCATCTGGCTATAAAATGAGTGGCGTCGACAGAGTCTGAGTATTGTTTGCTTAGAATCATTACTGTGTAGCCTGATGAAGATGGTGTAGGCATTGGTAGCTGCGATGCTGCCTAGCCTACTCATCGCATGTGAAGAAACACATCACACATGAGGCGTGGCTGCCAGCTGCCTCTCTCCCAAGGCTCCTAAGGCTTCCAACGCGCGTCATCTCGACTCTTTTCGCACAAGTAAAAACCTAGGGAGGCTCTGTGGGGTGCCGTGGAAGAAGCCGGAAACCGCTGGCCGCCGCCCCAATCCTTGGTTCAGCCCCAGTGGACAGAGCTCTGAAGCAATATAGTAGGCTCCTCTGCCGGACATGACGAGCACAAATTATCAAGGTCAAGGGGCACGATCCACACGGGAGCCCAGCTTTTAACAAAGTGAGCATTGTAAATAAAATATCCACCGTTATTCATTGGCTTTTACATACCTTGATACCCGTCCCGGACCATCAATATATTGCACGGCCTAGATCCGCTCTCCTGACAAGAAGAGTGGCGACTCGGGCGGGTGTCTCGCACATTTATCCCATTGCTTGCTTGCTCATAAAAGACCTACCAACCAGTAGGCACTGGTACGGCAAAAAAAGAAGAAAAGGACAGAAAGCAAAAAAGAAAAGGCCAGCGGCTATCGCATTGATCGCACTACCCACTACCAGTGTCTGATGTGTACTTTGCCACGTCTCCTTACCTCACACTGCCACTCAACCCAAAACAAAACAAAAGAAAAGAAGCAAGATGAAAGACGTAATAAAATAGTGAAACAGCTGCGCAAGCCTCGTCTGGCGTCAACGTCAACACCCATTTAGCGGGCTCCTCTGATACCCGCCACGCTACGGTGCAAGCTTCGCACCGTCACATGGCTGCGCCCACGAAAAAGTCCCGTCACAGGCCTTGAGGCCTCATCAGGCCCTCTCGGATGCTGCGGAGCGGAGCGGCACAGACGGCTTAGCCTTGCAAAGCAACCCTCGACGGCGCAATCCTACCAGTATTACCCGCACAGTCGGGTCCTGCTATCCGTTCCTAAACTTTGTTCCTACCTCGCCGACCATTGCCTGTTCCCCCCTACACCTTCTCGGCCAGCTTAGCTTGTCCGGGCCCGAACCGATTTCACATCTTTTTGCCTCATTCCTCCGATCGCTCACTGACCCTCCGATACGCTGCATAGCTCCCAGCTTGAGCTCTTTGATCGCGTTCGGTCTTGCTGCCCCTCTATTGCCACAGCTAGGCTTTTTCTGGTCTGCGGAATGCTCGCTTTAGAATGCGCACTTGTTGTTTATCAATAGTGAGAGTCGTAGTCGTGCAGATCGTCGTCTTGCATGTTCGTCTTGCATGTTCGTCTTGTATGACGGTACCGCCCAGCTACCAGAGCACCCACCAAATTGCCGCCCATCAACTCACTCAGCTAAACAAACTGGCAATCAAGCATGTTCGGCGAAAATGTCGTATCGTAGCTAGTAATTTATTGGTATCCAGATGTAATTCACTCATTAGACCGTTGTGGCAAAGTTCTCATGTGTGGCTGGTGCGAATTATCTTATCCATCTTATCGCCAAACAGGACCCAGAAAAAAGTGTCAAAATCTATCACTGCCCGCGCAGTCCCTGCAGCCGCAGACATTGATACCAACGACCCACCGCGCTCTGTCGCGATTGCTTCCGGAAAATATGGCTGACGATGGCATGCTATTGAATTTTGAACTTGGAAGCGGGCCCATCAAGCCCCAAGTCAAGTTCAAAGGCGGACGCTGGCGAGACAGAAAACAGGCCGAACGAGGCGCTCGAGGTCCCCGTCCAGACGGCGGCCCGCCCTCGCGACCCCCCAGAGACCGCCTCGATGAGCCCAGTCGACCTTTTAAACGCCGCAGAGCCGACACAGATGACAATTTTGGCGACGACTACCGACCAAGGACCCGACCTAGCCATATCAAAATCGATCACGGTGGCGCGGGGAGCAGGCCGCCGCCTTTTGACAACCGCCGACATGGACACGGCGGCGGCGGCAAGAGCACAAAGCAGGTCGTCTCCAGTCTCTTCAGCTTCAACCCTGAGCAAAAAACAGTTTTTGAGGACGAGGAATGGACGGCCCCGACGCCCACCAATGCGCCGCTCGCCGACGTGGCCAACTTTGGTACTCTCACAATCTCTTCCCGCTTGGTCGAGGAGCTTGGCAAGATGAACCTGGAGCGGCCAACTGCCATCCAGCAGAAAGTCATCCCGCATATGCTTACCAGCAGCGGCGACGCATTCGTGCAGGCCGAGACAGGTTCCGGTAAAACATTTTCATATCTCTTGCCCATTCTTCACCGTGTGCTGCAGCTCAGCGCGCAAAACGACGGCAAGCAGATTCACCGCGACTCTGGCATCTTTGCCATTCTGATAGCACCGACCCGAGAGCTGGCCAAGCAGACACATACAGTTCTCGAACAGCTCATCAGGCCTTTTCCCTGGCTCGTCTCGACGGCCATTACTGGAGGCGAGTCAAAAAAGGCAGAAAAGGCACGCATCCGCAAGGGCATCAACTTCCTGGTCGCCACCCCGGGTAGATTGGCAGACCATATAGACAATACAAAGGCCTTGAATCTCGGCACGGTTCGATGGCTTGTTCTTGACGAAGGCGATCGGCTGATGGATCTCGGTTTCGAGGACGACCTGAAAAAGGTTATCGACGCTCTCCGTGAGATTGAGATAGCCAATGAGACGACCAACGGGACACCGCTGGCGGCGCTTCCTGACCGTCGCGTCACTATTCTGTGCTCAGCTACCATGAAGATGAATGTGCAGAAGCTGGGCGAGCTAAGTTTGGCAGATGCTGTCTTCCTGTCCGCCGAAAAGGGTGAAATGACAGCCGACGAGAACATTGAGCACAAGGCGCCTGCGCAGCTTCACCAAACACACGTCATTGTACCGGCAAAGCTTCGCTTGGTCACGCTTGTTTGCTATCTCAAGTCCCTCTTCTCTCGCAAAGGACATACCATGAAGGTCATCATCTTCATGTCCTGCGCCGACGCCGTTGATTTTCACTTTGAACTGTTTCGGGACCCAAAGGACGCAGAAGCGCCGCCGGCAGAGCCAAAGGATGTGGAATTAGTCTCCAAGACTGTTGCCAGAGCAGCATACGTCACGTCCGCGGCCAGTCCCGAAGTCGTTCTACACAGAATGCACGGCTCTCTGTCTCAACCCATCCGATCAGCCACACTGCGCACGTTCTCCGCTTGCAAGTCGCCTTCAGTATTGATCACAACCGACGTGTCTTCTCGAGGTCTCGATATCCCCTCAGTGGACCTCGTCATCGAATACGACCCTGCCTTCAGCTTTGCCGACCACATCCACCGCATCGGCCGGACCGCGCGCGCCGGTCGCGCGGGCGAGGCCGTGCTCTTCCTACTCCCTGGCTCCGAGGAAGGCTACGTTGAGCTCCTCAAGGCCTCGGGCGCGCCAACCGCGCAATCCTACGAGGCCATCCTCAAGACGGGCCTCATGTCCAAGCTCGAGTTTCCCGTCGAGACGGCCGCCCAGCTGACTGAGGGCCAGACGTATCACGACAAAGCCGAGACGATGCAGCTGCACTTTGAGCAGCGCCTGCTGGAGGACCCTCGGCGCCTCGAGCTGGCCCGCAATGGCTTCAAGTCTCACATACGCGCCTACGCGACGCACATCAAGGAGGAGCGCGTCCACTTTGACATTGCGGAGCTGCACCTCGGCCACACCGCAAAGAGCTACGCCCTGCGCGAGCCGCCGCGCGGCGTGGGCGCTGGCGTCGACAGGAAAGTGCGCAAGGGCGCCAAGGGCGCCAAGGGATCCAGGGGTGGTGCGACGGCTGCCAAGGATGACGACAAGGAGCAGCAGGTCGATCAAGGCGCGGCCAGGAATGTATTAAGGAAGAAGGGCATGATGCTGATGACGGGTGCGGACGAGTTCAACATTGGTTAGACGGCGAGGGTGGATCGCCCGAAAAAGCGTTGCATTTATGAAGAGCGAAATTCATCTAGATCATTGACATGTTATGAGGTACATAGCTCTCGCAATTTCTGTATTCATGTATTATTGTTCAAAACAGCTAGTTCTCACATTGAACTTGTTTCCCTTACATAAGTCTACACGGGCCGCCGAGCCAGCACACAGGAGAGGCAATGTGCTGTAGGCTTAAGAAGCACATGAGCTAAGTACATTTCTTACTAAATCGTTTTTTGAAAGCCTAGAAGGCATGTCATGCAGTTAGCTTGTCCTCTTTGACTATGATACTTTATTTTAGAAAGCCAAATCAATCATGAATGGCATACGAATAAACGATGTAATCTTGACGTTAAATGGCCCGCCTCCCGCGCTACCTTTGATACTTGCATGTGCATCAGGGGATCTACCGCCGAGCTACTGCAAGACAGACACGACCGAGCTTTTTTTCTCCTATTTTATTTGTGCAACGTGCCTGATGATCAGTTGACAACAAGCCGGACAAAGTTGTGGAGAACAGATGCATCGCTCAATGTAAATATTGCATCACATCTAGGGCGAATTGACCATGAAATGACGTCATATTCGTCATGCTGGCAACATCCCTACAACAGCTTCAGTATAAAGCAAACGGACCGAACCTGTTTACAAAGGTTCAACGCATTATAGCAAACATTTTCTTCTTGAATACAGTTTACTCATTTTACTGGCAGTAAACTCCGACTACAATACGCACACATCCCTTCAAAAAAAAAAAATCTACACACAACAATGTCTTCCAACGAAAACAGCAATAACCCCGTTGCGCCCGGTAATGGCAACACCACCGCTGACAAGGCCACCGGCGCAGCCAAATTCGTTACGGGTGCCCTCGGGAACACTCTCGGTGGCGTGGGCCGCACCGTCGGCAACGTCACTGGCGCCGCGGGCAAGGGCGTCGGGGATACGATCAACAACGTCACTGGGGACCGAGCCAAATTTGTCGGCGACGGCGTCTCCAGCCTGGGAACAGGAATCCAGAGCGGCCTCGGCAGCGTGTCGCAAGGCGTCGAGAATGCGGGTCAGTGGAAGCTGGGCGCTGGCGGGCAGGAAAAGACTGCTGAGAAGAAGGAAGCGAATTAAATGTTGTTCTTAGCGCACAGTCATGATATCCAGTCAAGCAATAGTTTCAATTTGACCACCATGACCCGAGATACTTTCTTGGTCATCTCCATAGGTATCTGCTATTGTCTATCACGAACGCCGTGTAATCTCCAAAGTCGACATCTGCCACAGATCTCGACACTCCTCAATCAGTTGGTACAGGTCTTTCATAGCCAGGGGCTATGCTCCATTTTTTGTGTTTATCCATAAGATCATACGCAGCTTTGTGTGCAGTGAGCCATCGCTGCTGCTGCTGGCTGTCTGTGAACAAATGACTAGTATCGGCTTTCTAAACCTGCTCGGCGCCCCAGCCAGAGGCGTCGGCCTCACGCATGTTGGCAGGGGGCTCGATGGAGGGCACAAACTCGAGAGCAATGTAGGCGATACCGATGACACCAACAACACCACCGGCGATGTTGCTGATGATCTTTGTGCCAAGGAGGAGGCAGCCAAGAAAGACGTAGACTGGTGCTGTTGTTAGCGCATGCCGTAGACTGGCGAGGTCGTCAAAGCAAAAGGAAGGCGTGTCAACGTACAAACACCACGGCCGACAAAGGAGAAAAGAAAGTTGGCGTAACGAGAGACCTGGGGAGGGATCTGGAACTCTGCAGCGGCTGTTAGCGACGGCTTCGATGAATTGGCTTGGATGACGATGCTCGTTCGTACCAAGGAGACCAATGGAAAGACCAAAGATTATCATGTAGATGCTGAGGACAATGGCGCGCCTATTTGGCCAGGTTAGCATGTGGGGGAGCATTCAGAAGCGCGCGAGCGACGAGTGCGACAATGAGAACGTACAATCCGCCACCAAAGAAGCCAAAGACACCGCCAAGAACGGTGATGGCACCGACGGCCAAGTTGACAATGCGACTAGACATTAGACGCATCCGTTAGCAAAGTTTCGATTAAAGCGCTTGGCGCAGCGCAGCGGCCTCCCGTGCTTGACGACTGGCCAGCTTCCGCCAACAACATACAAGATATCCGATAGCTCCATGACGACGGTAGTGGGAGGCGCAAAATTGTAGCGACGACGATGGTTATGTGATTCGATGGCGATCGGGATTTAAGAAGGAGAGCGATGCGAGAAAAATCTACTCCAGGCAGCTGTTAAGCGAAAATTCGGTACGAAAGCGGTTTGAACTTGATCAAGAAACTCCCCAAAGTCGTTCCTACGTCTTGAACTACGTAGCAGGATCCACTCTAGGGGCCAGGGGCTGCGCAGCAATTGGCAGCTGTCATTGCCCCACATGAAAGATTAATTCACCGCCTGCCTGTGTCGGGGGCCACAGCTCGAATTCTGCCACCGATTGAATTTGGAGCTTCGAGGTCATCGATCGCATCCATGCAACCAAACGCTGCCCTCTGTGAGTTTGAGGTGCTGTGACCGACTGGCCGTTACCTGCTTCTACGAATGACTGCATGAAACTTTTGAAGCCTTCGGCTTCTCACAATTGGCTATGATTCTGTTACCGGTCGCTCGCGCGACCCCTCGGTTCGCCTTCACTAGTTGGCGATGCAGGTCTGCCGCGACGCTCCGCCTCAGCAATGCCGCGCTTTATAGCTCATTGGCTCAAGAGTATCAAGCCAATCGACTACAAGACATTCGAAACATCGGAATCATCGCTCACGTCGATGCGGTTCGTGGCCTCTCGGGCACATCACTCTCTGTCAATTAACAGCTTTCCACAGGGCAAAACCACAACGACTGAGCGCATGCTATTCTATAGCGGCGTCACGTCCCGCGTGGGAGATGTCGATGCCGGAAATACAGTCACCGACTTTCTTGAACTCGAGCGCGAGCGCGGAATCACCATTCAATCGGCCGCCATCACGTTTCATTGGCCACGCAAGGAAAACTGCCCGCAAGGCACCAGCCCCAAAACCGTCAACCTCATCGACACGCCCGGCCATCAAGACTTTCGATTCGAGGTCGACCGTTGCCTGCCGGTTCTCGACGGGGCTGTCTGCATCATTGACTCGGTCAAGGGCGTCGAGGCGCACACGGAGCGCGTATGGGCCTCGGCTCACGAGTTCCGTATCCCGCGCATAGTCTACTGCAACAAGCTGGATCGCGAGGGCGCCTCATTCCGCAAGTCTGTATTGGAAATCGGCAGCCGTCTCAAGGGATGGCCGCTCGTGTGCCAAATTCCATGGTGGGAAAAGAATGAGTTTGTCGGCGTCATCGACATTATCGATTTCGTCGGTTACCGACATAATGATAAAAAGACACTCAAATATGAGAAAGAGGAGCTGATGGAAAAACTTGCATCCTCCAACGCCGATCTCGTTAAAGAGGTTCGTGCTGCCCGTCAGCACCTTGTCGAGGGCTTGGCCGAATTCGATGACGCTATAATGGAAGGGTTTCTTGCCGACGAAACAGATATTCCTTCCTCGACTATCAAGCGAGCCATTCGCCGAGCTATTCAGAGCGGTGACGGACGTGCCATACCAGTCTTTGCTGGCTCAAGCTTTCGCCATATTGGAGTTGAGCCTCTCATGGATGCAATTGCGAGTTATCTACCGAGTCCATCTGATAGACCGGACGTCAGTGTTCGCATCAGTGGAGCCAACCACTTACTGGGCAGCGCCCTTCATAGCGGCTCAAAGCAAGCCGGCGCGAAGCAAATTGCATCAATCGCGTCTGTGTTTAAGGTATTTGAGCACCCGAGGGAGGGCATCATCAGCTTCGTGCGAGTCTACCACGGTACCTTGACACGAACTGCGGCTACATTCAACACCCACATGGCAATCAACGAGAGCCCCATGGGTATTCTTCAAATATCAGCCGACAAGACACATGAAGTGCAGGAGCTGTCAGTCGGCCAGATTGGTGCTCTTCGAGGGCTAAAAAAGGCCCGAACTGGAGATACGTTGATTACAACGACAAACAGCAAAGCCCCCCATGCAGCTCTGCGCACCCTGCAAATTCGACCGCCAGAAATCCCCCCACCAGTCGCCTTTCTACAGGTTGAACCGTACGGTAAAGTGGCTGCTCAGCAGTTAGAGGTGGCGCTGGAGAATGCATCGCGGCAAGACCCAAGTCTGCGATGGAGCCGAGACCCCAAGACGGAGCAGTTTACCGTGCAGGGCATGGGCAAGCTTCATCTTGACGTTTCGCTGCACAACATGAGGCAAAAGCACAAGATAGATGCTCAATTTGGTCCGATAGAAGTCGACTACAAGGAATGCCTCACAGTGGCCACACAGCCGCATAGAGCTGTGTTTGACAGGCCGGTCGCGAGCAAGGCTGGCAAAGTGACCTGCACCGTGACTCTCGAGCCACTCGAAGCCCACCATCGGGAAACGTTGCAGGAGTCTTGCATCGAACGAGACGGCAACATGTTTAATATTGTAGTACCGAACGAAAATGTTGTCAAGTATGACATTGATGAGGCACACCAGCAGCTCCTCAACGGTGCCATTGCCGGTCTCGCTCGTGGACCGCGCCGTGCCGCGCCGCTGCATGGGTGCTTGGTGAAGGTCGAGCTTGACACGAGCGAGGGGGCATGCGAAACGCCTACCGGCGGCCACTTCAGCTCCGCGGCCCGCACAGCAGTGCAGAGCAGCCTGCGCGACTCATTTGACAAGAGCCAAATCGGCATTGTCGAGCCCATCATGCTGGCACACATTACGTGCCCTGAGCAGGCCGCGGGAACGGTCCAGCACGACATTTCCTCGGGCGCCGGCGGGCAGGTACTCGAGGTGAATGATAGGTCGGCCGAGTCGAGCGGCGGCGAGGACTTGATTGACGTGAGCAAGATTTACGCGCCGCCGGACCCGTATGACTCGGTGACGTCGCTGCGCGGCAAGCGGTCAGCGGCGCGCATGGTGGAGATTGTGGCCAAGGTGCCGTACAAGGAGATGCTGGATTATGATGATCATTTGCGGAGCAAGACGTCGGGTCGGCACTCGATGACCATGGCCTTTGACTCGTTTGCGCGCGTGGTTGGACATCGCGAAAAGGGCTTGTAATGGCCAGTGTATAATACGATTCAAAGACTTGAAACAACCAACGCATGCTAGTACGCATGCATGTCCTTCTATCCCAGGGCTTGCTTGCTCTTCACCGCTCGCGTACTCTGGAGTGCTCGAGTGAATGCACCTTTTGTCTTTTCACCAAGTAGGCCACTGGTTCGCGCCAGCTTCGAGAATCTAGGAGTGTACATTGTACCTTGATTCTCTGGACCTTGTGATTTAGACGGTCAGGAGAAATCTGAGGTATCTGAAAGGTTGGAAAACTTTGAGTCCTGTAATTATAAAGCAATAAATTATAATAAACTAAACTGCCGGGTACCTCTTGAAAGCCTTGCCCGACATCTTGCTTAGTACCATCCGTGCATCATCGTGCGTACTCTCATGGCATGATCGCCATCACGCTCAGTAGCTGCGCGAGGAGGCAACTAGCTGCCCTGGATGCATAATCGGCAATTTGAGTGCTTTTGTATCAAGTCTCAATTAGGAGTGAGTAGAAAAGGGGAATATGAGATATCATTAGTTATCGTAAATTATTCATTGCCGCCAGATTTTTCAACATTATCTCGAAAGAATGGAGTTACAACGTTGTAGTCATTTCAATACCTGCTTCTTGCGAGCCTCCAAATCATTTTATAGCGTGGTCAGACTAGAGGCTAAGGAAAAGAACTGTGATACCGACCAGTGTGCATATGCAAAAAGGTCTGCTTCTACCTAGATGAGGCACATCTTATTGCGCCGATGCTTGTTTGGTCTTTAGTTCGGCATCTGCACTGAAACCGGCGCGCGCGCTGCTCATACCACCGAACGGGAGGAAAAGGGCCCGCCCTCAATGTCATTATTTTGCTTGAGCGGCTCCTCAATGCAAGGCCGGACGACGAGGAAAACAACGTCAAACGTAATGGCAAAGGCGGCGTAAATGACGCCGCCAATTTGAAGATGGTTGTGCTTTTTGGTTTCGTACACGGACCAGGAGGTGCCAAGAATCCAGATACAAAATATAAAACTCCAGGCGAGATCGGTCCATCTCACCCAAGGCCTGGCTCGGAAATACAGTGCGAAGATGAGGATCGAGGTCCATGCTCTCGAGATTATGACGTAATTGACGTCTTGCGTTTTTTTGTCAGTAGAGAAATGAAGCATGTTGCAGTTGTAGAACTTGACGTACAGTGGCGAATGGGCTCGTCCATTGTGATGTGTGAAGTCGTCAAGATTGGGGCAAGTCTGGGGTGTTGCTGAAATTACCAAGAGCTGAGCAAGAAGGAGATGAGCAAGAAGGGGATGAGCAAGAAGGGGATGAGCAAGAAGGGGATGAGCAAAGGAAGAGAGGGGTAAGAAGAGCAGCTGGAAAGTTTTTTTGCCTTGTCATCGTGGTAGACGCGAGGGTTATTTAGCTGACAACGGAAACGCCCTGTTGGTCGTGTGTGTTCTCTAGTAGTAAAAGCCTAGAAGCTCTTCTAGGCAAAGCGAGGCAGCGGCGGCGGTGGTGACATGCTGGAGGAAACTTAAATCAAGTGGTATTATCCCAATGATTGAACATCTGAATATCATCATTTCTTTACTGCCAGCCACACTCTTGGCCTCGAGGACTTCCATTCTCGTCTGGAGCATGGCAACGAGCTTCATCAGCCTGCTTTGAACTTGTCATATTCGCAAGTCATGTATAGGACCATCGTCCAACGAGTAGTGAAACTCGTAAGAGTGCGAATAGGTTTTGGATTTCCGCTTTAGAATCACAATGTGAGTCATCGGACCCACGAAAGCAGCCAAGAATAGCTGGCGGATTGTTGTTGGTCGGAATCCCAGGCTACTCGATCAATGAGCAACATACCTCACATCCTCTGAGGCGGCATTTTTTCCCTTTAGCATCGTTGTGCTGCTAGCTAATCGCAGAAGCGTCTTAAAAACAACGGCAAGGGAGTACGCGTCTCGGCGTGAAATGTGCCAAATCTATACATGATTACCCGGAGCAATAGATAGATCCGGAGCAGCCATGGAGACAAATAGGGTCGCGTAAAAGAGAAGACGCGTAAACCAAGGTCAATAGTCGGCGCTCGTGCCAAGTGGACAGATGACGGTTACGCCTACCGTCATGACGACATTGTATTCAATATCTGCAGTCATCTAGCACTAGACCTTGTTTTAGTCGACGCGCCAACGTGAGCGGCCAGCTCAGCCAGTGCCCTACCTTTGATCGATCATGACACATGATTCTGATGTACCCCTTCAAAAAAGACCGCGATTGAAGCTATTGTGAGGGGAACACTCTTTGGCTTGCTTCCAGGTACCTCCTAGTATGACCTATCTTGTCTTGACGCCCATGGGGCACGCTGTCGAGTCTGGGCATAATACTTGGCACAAGTGTGACTCATGGTTGACTTTGAAAAGTCACCATGTTCATTGAAGGAGCCAATGCTTTATTCAAGAATAAGATTCGTCTTTAGCGACTTGTCGCCGAATAAGGCTTCGGCTATCAAGCAGGTAGCAGGCTGTTTGCGCAGGCACTGTTGGACAGACGGGACGACCCATCATAACATTCTTCACAAGGACCATTATGCTTGTTGATAACATTGCAGAATTAAAGCACCGAATAATTTCGTGTTCCTACATCAAGATAGGGAATAGCCAGCTGCCTTACCTACGGCAGATTGGGCAGACTTACTTGGCTCACATGGGTGTTGATGTGAATCCTTGCTGCTATCCATACTGCAGATGGCTTTGCGCAAAAATTTACACACACAAAGGCTACCGCTTCAAAAGCATTTGCGATGAACAATAGAAGGACCAGCCTCGTCATACTCTTGCTTGGAGATCCAGAGCTGCTGAAAGGTCGAAAGCGAGGCCAGAATCGATCCACCAATCCACACAGAGTACTTGCGCTCGGGCGGCGCAATTATCTTGACCTTGACTGACGATGGTGCAAGATCAGTCATTTCCTTTTGCAGACGATCGGCCAGGCCGGGGTACATGGTGGTGCCGCCAGACTAAAAATGCAGCAAATCGGTCAGTCGGCCTCCGCGTCGTATACAAAGCCACTGGACGGCTCCAGGTTTTACTTACCACAACAATGTTGCTATACAAGTCTTTTCTGACATCAATGTCGCATTTGATGATGGAGTTGAACGTGGTTGCGTGAATGCCGCCGCTTTCGAGGCCGAGAAGAGACGGCTGGAACAGGGCCTCGGGAGCGCGGAAGCGTTCATTACCAATGGTAATGACCTGTCCGTCGGGGAGCTCGTAGGATTTTTCCAAGCTGGAGCTTTGCGCGGCCGTCTGAATTTCTTGCTCGAAATCGAGCGCCACGTAGCACAGTTTCTCCTTGATATCGCGAACAATCTCGCGCTCGGCCGTGGTCGTAAAGGCATGTCCACGCTCGCCAAGAATCTTCATGAGATAATCTGTCAGGTCGCGACCTGCCATGTCGATGCGAGCAATGCCAGGAGGGAGCGCAAAGCCTTCATAAATAGGCACAGCGTGGGTGACGCCATCGCCCGAGTCCAGCACAATGCCCGTGGTGCGGCCTGAAGAGTACAGGGACAAGACGGCTTGAATCTGGACATAAAAGGCGGGCGAGTTGAACGTCTCAAACATGATTTGCGTCATCTTTTCGCGGTTCGACTTGGGATTCATCGGGGCCTCGGTCAGCAGAGCGGGATGCTCCTCGGGGGCCACGCGAAGCTCATTGTAAAACGTGTGATGCCAGATTTTCTCCATGTCGTCCCAGTTTGTGACGATTCCGTGCTCGATGGGGTAGCGCAGGGTCAGGATGCCTCGCTTGGACTGGGCCTCGTCGCCGACGTAGGAATCCTTTTGGCCCATGCCAATCATGATGCCCCGGTGGCGGGGACGGCCGACAATGGACGGAAAGACGGCTCGAGGTGCATCGTCGCCGGCAAAGCCAGCCTTGCACATACCAGAGCTATGTTTACGTTGAAAATTAGCTTTCTGATAAAAAACTTGAAACAAACGTATTATAAAGCCCCGCGTGAGGTGAGATCACTTTTGCTCTTACCCATTGTCGATGACGAGAGCTGCAACTTCTTCATCCATGGCTTCAGCGAAGAAAGCAAAAGCTTGATCCAAATACGTGTGTTTCCGAAAGAGCAGAAGCAAATTATCATCAATATAGATGGAGTTTTAGGCTGAGGCATCCGGAGAGAGAAGCAAAGAGGGCTGCGACACAGCAGCGTATTAAAAAGGTAAAAGTGATTCTATTTTCCCTCCGCCCCCCAAGAGTGTGAGCATTGTATTACGAATATCAGGCATCACTGTAATTTTTCAGCCAAGGCGACGAGGCCCGTCGTGTCGGCGAAACAGACAAAACATCATCGTAACACGCGGACAGTGATGCTTCGCTCCACATTTTGCATGTTCAAATTGTGATGCCTATTCGAAATTCAGCAGGCAGCAGTTTTGGGGTCGGAAACAAGAGCTTGCAGAGGTTGGGCAAATTATCTTAGAGTGGCCAAGTTCTCTAGGCACCCGTTGAAAGTTGGTGGTGGAGTGGGACGTTGCTAAAACGGCTGATGCGGGGACACGATGACAACTCCAGATCAGGAAAAGGCCGCTCTTTCGTAAAAAAAGACGGATATAATTAATCCTCAAGGGGTGATTCAGTCCAACTATAGAGATACCCTGACAACGGAGTTGCGGAGCTGAAAGGGGCCCGAACTGCAACTTGACGGAGATGGAAGCCGCGTATGTTTTCCCATTTCGAGTTATGCGCTAAGACTTTACTCCAGGCTATTTTTGGTCTGCAGATTCGCATGCCTAATCGGGAATCCAAAGTTTCTGCTCTAATTATTACGTACTTTCTGAGAGGTACGATGAAAGAATTTTTAAAATATATCATTTATTTTGAATGTTTTTATTATTATTAAAAAAATTTCAAAAAAAAAAAGAGCTTTTATTAATCTTCGATTCTCAGTCATAGTCTTATCATCACGCCCCCCAAGGGCGACTATAAATTTCAATGTACTTCAGCGGCGACAAGTAACCAAGGCTATGCTAGGCACGGAGTGCTTCAGAGATTGCAAGTTGGTAGCAAACGTAATGCTCCATATCCATGTCCACATCTTCGTCAATGACCTCAATAGTCATCACCTCATCATCCTCGCCTCTCTTGTTGCTCGCACCATACGGCGTCTTGACAAGTACAGTCGACGTCCAAATCGACGAGTCGGGGCTGCGTACCGGAAACTCCCCAGCTCCAATCTTCGTTGCTGCAGATATTCCACCGCATCCTGTGCCTGCTAGTCGTATTGAAACGCGCCATTCTCATAGAGCCATTTTGTTCATGAATTATTAGGCCACAGGTCGTTACCTTTCTGTTTCTGTCTTGAGATTAGTTGCGCAAAGGTAGGGCCGCCGCGAGCAATAGCCGATACTTGCCTCGGAAGTGGACCTTTGTTACCTGGCAAGGGACAAATAGGAACATTTCCATTTACTAGCAAAGTTGACTGCGAATATTCCCTTGGTTGTTTGAGTGACTTGATGGTGCGCAATCGGATTTTACGCGGTGTGTGTAGGGCTCCCTCCCCACGCGGCTCCGTAGAGGCTGAAGGGCCCAGCAGTGTATCCTTGCCAACGCATTACAAATTCAGCACCTTGTTGCTGAATGTGAGTTCACACCTGAACTTGAGAATTTTCGGCTGTCATCATCTATCAAGTCTAGCCATTTCGATGTGGGGTATGTCATTGCATTTGGGTGAGACACATGTTACCAACAACCAAGAGAGCTGTTGAATGAAACGCTCGGACACCCATATAGATTATGTAGCCCTTATACCCCCTTATATCACAACAAGAGCTCTAAAAACGATGTAAGGCCTGACTTCATCTTCATCTTCATCTTGTCGTGATTGCGCCACTCAGCGTCGGTCAGGCCTTGACGACCTGGACAGCGAAGATGAGCTTACCATCGAGGAGATTATTACAAAAGTCACCAGTTCTGTGAAAACGCATACGTCTGCCACCTCCAATTCGGACAAGAAAAGAAAGCATGGGAAACAGGCGGCAAGCTCAGTCTCGGTCCCCTTTCTGGAGTCAGTATCGGGGGCAGTGTTCAATATGGCAATGCCGAAACGACGGTGCAAGACTCGACCACCTCATTCACTAACAAGGCAAGCGAGGATGACCAGATTCAGCGAACGTCGCGCGATACCTTTGCTTGTGAAACAGGTCATTATTGCCGAGTACAACTGTGGACACATGACATAGCATTCAAAGGGTCTGCACCTCTCGTGCCCATGGTACGGCCACAGTGTATTGTCCGGTGGCAAATGACGGACTGGAGCCGCAACTCTCCCGGAAGAGTATCCGAAAGCTGCCCGATGTACTGTACCGGTCGGTGACGACCTCCAGTATTGGCTGACTGTGCCGGATGAGCGCCATATACCCATCGGGCCGCAAGATGCACGAGGCGTCAAGCTACCGCGTTGGGAGTGGACGGGCCGTGACTCTGGAAGCTATGATGGCGCCTACAAGGTTGACTTTCCGCGCAGCAAGGCCTGGGACATGGACTTTCCCGCACGCAATGCCGACGGGTCCATCATGTCAACCGTTGCACTCATCAAGACGCCCTATGGTGCAAATAAGAAGAGGGCAAACGACGCAACTTCAACGATTGAGGTTCTCCAGAAGAACATGAATCTGAATTTTGCAGACTATTCCTAGCTACCTATTAGTTAGTCATAGATGGTTTCAAAAGACAACTTTTTGTGATTTAAATGGCGGCGCCTGCGCACTCAATCAGCCGCTTAGCATATTAAGGGGTGGCATGAGTCTAGCTAGACCAGTTAATTGGTAAAAGGCTTGGCCTTTAAGCAAGACATTAATAATAGAGCGGTAATTTTGGTAAAAGAATTTGACGAGCCAGCTACGTGTGGCTTACGCTTGCAGAGATGTCCAAAAAAAGTTGATTCCTCGACGAAAAGGTCTCCCTGCAGAAACCACCCGTACGGCGCTGTTAATCCTGCTGATGCAGCTGCTATCCGGTGGTACTAGCTAGCGAAAATTACGACAAATTGACGTCTTTGGTGCTTGGTATATTTCTTGGGCACTGTTTACCAACTATCCAACACATTTGGCAGGAAACTATAACTAAATATTTAGCCTATCCTTGATTGGACGATTTGCTAAATAGCTCGTCAAGCGCGCCCGTAATTCTTTGATGGTGCTGGTGCGTTTATTGACGCGCCGACACGGCGATCTGCCTGCTAAGCGCGCTAATGGTTGGCAAAAGTACGCCGAACGAGTTATTGCCCGCAGCCCACCCGTAATGCGCCGGGGAGTGGCGCTTTGGCGGCGATGGCTGCGCTGCCCCCTATATCATAGATATTATTGAATCGCAGTGGCCAGCACTGGATAATGGATATCCGTGCTCTATCAAGGGAGAGCAGCGAAGCGAACAACGTAAAGGTGACAAAGACGAGTGAATGTTTAGAGTTGTGACTTGAGCTATTTAGGCAACGGGCGGTCCAGGGTCGAAGGGATGATTAATGTCACTAGCATGCAACAAAATTGGACTATTCTATTAAGGTTACATCTTGGCATCAGGGAAAAACCAATGTGGCAAGGCGCAGGTTGCGATAGTTCACTCTTTATCTCAACGTGCTGGCGAATGAATTGTTGAAAACTTTTATATTTACGCAGCCACACGGTTGGGAATTTTTTTTTTTTCAAGATTTGTCTCATTGTCGTGTGTGACACATGACGAGGAATGAGACACTCGACGCTAAGAAAAATGCAGTGTGGAAAGTAAACAAAGGTTCGAAAAGAACGGTCAACTTTTTACGGAGATTGGTCAAGCTAAATACAGGGCGTCAACCTTGCTCGAGGGGACTTTTCGAGGAGCTGTGCGGGCTGACAGGGATACAAATTGAGTTTTCCAAGGGGATTGGATGGCCAGGGCCGCCCTACAGGCTACAGTGGTTGTTGTGGCAGCCAGCCATAACTTGAAAACAAGTGGAATTATTACACGTGGCATGCGACAATTACCCTCTCGTACTGCTGCTAGGGCTGGACTGGGCAGCAATGCGAAAGCAGGACCCGCGTTGATGATGCATGGACAAAAGTCGAGAAGCACATGGAAGCCTTGGGCGTGGATTAAATAAATGTTGGCACGTTGCACAAACAGCAAATCGCGACAGACTGGCAACACTAGCAAACTGGCAGAGAAGAAGTTCAACCTGGAAGCAAGGACAAGAGGAAGCTAAATCGGGCTAGACTCGATTAGGCGACTCATCATGGCCAGGATTCCAGGAACAGAGTTGCATCCATGATCTCGGCACGCGGGCGGGAAAGCTATTTCAGGCCCGGGGGGGTAAGCCGAGACTGGTGTAACAAAATTGTACTTTGTATTAGTGCACACAAAGTCGGCACAAGAGCACAAAGTCGGTACTAGGTGGTGCAGAGAGGCGCACAAGATTTTCAAGAGGTACAAATGAGTGATAAAATATCTTGCTCTCATGGCAGACGATTGGCGACGGTCCATGACACCAAAAAAGCCAAATGGCGCCAATGATTTGCCCTGTAAATTTAGGCCGTGGTGCCACTGATGACTCCACAAAAGGAAATGAGCTCTGCCGGATACAGTGTTTGATTGGCTCACTGGTGGCTGCAGGAGATGATGGCCCACGTCTGATTGGATTGTTTGATTGTAAAGTCAAAGCAAGTGCGCCATCTTTCAGGTACCATTTTATTAGTCGACAGGTACAGCCGCACAGGCACCAAGACCAAGACTGCAAGGCTAAAATGATGGCACCGTGTATTTAAATTTAACAAATACTCCGTAGGTAATCCGTAGGTACCCTCTCCTTTTCCAATACCCCAGAGTGGCCCCCCTTCTCACTGTATCTCCAAGTACCTTTATTGCACTTTGACTGCCAACTGGCAACTGGCAACTCAGCCCGTCGGCCCGCAAATTTCTCTCCAGCATCAGGACCCACCCGTCCCAGCTTCTTCTCGACTCTCGGCCCTCTTTCATGCTCCTTTCGTTTCATCTTCAACCCTCTCTTCCGCTTCGTCCTTTTCGTCAAGTCTTGCCCTTCTTTTGCTTCTTGCTCAAGACGTAGAAACTCTACTTCTTCGTCTACTTCTTCGTCGACTCGCTCGCTCTCTTTAGTCACGGTTTCTCGCTCAAGCCATTCATTAGCCCTCTCGACGGCCCACTCGCCTCGCTTGTTTACATTCACCAATCTCTCAATTATTCCCGCCTTTCTGCTTCAATGCTCTCGCTCTTTCTCACACTCTTTTGCCGTTACCACCAATAACTATCTTTCACCGCGACTTTGCAACCATTCTCTTCTAGCAATAAAGTACGGACCACTACAGCTCGCCAGTCCCGCCTACCGCGTCAGTCCAACTCTCGACGCGCCCTCCCGCTGCTTTCATTCTTGCTCCTCGATACTCTGTCTGGTACACACCACGCCACCAACGCTATGCAGCTCGCGACAATGAAAGCCTGCGCCTTGTCGCTCGCCCTTGGTCTCGCGCCCGCCGTTGACGCTTCTGCTCTCCACCGAGACCTTCACTACCAAGCCCGCCGACAAACGCACCTGCACCAACAGCAACACCGAGCTCTTGAGAGCCCCCCCAGCTCCGTCTCTCCCCTCGTCAAGCGTAGTACCTGCGCTTTTCCCACCGACGACCCCAACCTCGTTGCCGTTACCTCGGACCAGAAGAATGCTGGTTGGGCCATGAGCCCCGACCAGGCCTGCGAGCCAGGCCACTACTGCCCCATCGCCTGCCAGGAGGGCATGGTTATGAACCAATGGGACAAAGACTCGACCTATGTCTTCCCTTCCTCCATGAATGGCGGTCTCTACTGCGACCAGGACGGCGTCATCAAGAAGCCCTTTGAAGGTAGACCCAACTGTGTCCACGGTACTGGCGCCGTCAAGGCCGTCAACAAGTGCTCCGGAACCATGTCTTACTGCCAGACCGTTCTGCCTGGCAACGAAGCCATGCTTATTCCCACCGTCGTCGACTCCATCTCAACCCTGGCCGTTCCTGATACCTCGTACTGGCAGTCCACCGCTGCCCACTACTACGTCAACTCCCCCGGTGTTGGTGCTGAAGGATGCATTTGGGGTACCGCCTCCAAGGCAGTCGGCAACTGGGCTGTATTTGTCGCCGGTGCCAATACCGATGCCAACGGCCAGACTTTTGTCAAGATCGGCATCAACCCTGTTTGGAAGGACTCAAGCCTTTGCAGCACCAAGCCCGACTTTGGTCTCAAGATTGAGTGCCCTGATGGTGGCTGCAACGGCCTTCCATGTGAAATCACGAGCAACCTTGAAGTCAAGAGCAATCAAGCCGCTTTTGGCGCTGGTGAAGCTCCTTTTTGCGTCGTTACTGTTGGAAAAGGCAAGACGGCTCACATTGTAGCATATGATGGCTCAGGCGGCCACACTTCGGGTCCTGTTGCCAATGCTGCCGCCGCCCAGGACTCTTCTCCCTCTTCTTCCTTGTCAATCGCCTCCGCGAGCTCTGAGACGCCGCCGCCGCCGCCGCCGTCTACCACCTCTACTCCCAGCCCTACTCCTTCGCCCACACCTACCAGCACGAGCACTCCTACCAGCACTCCTACCAGCACCCCCACGAGCACTCCCACCAGCACTCCCACCAGTACTACCACCACCATCAGTACTCCCACTACCATCAGTACTCCCACTACCATTAGCACTCCCACCACCACCAGCACACACTCTTCTACTCCCAGCTCAACTCATATAACCACTACGACTACAACTACCAACACAACCACTGTCAAGACTACCTCGTCTACCACCAGTCAGACTTCCTCTATGAAGCCTGGTGTTTTCCACGAGGAGAAAAACAGCACTGCCACCCAGACCTCCAACAGCACCTACACAGGATTTCCTCCCAAGACTACTCCCACCACCAAGGACAAGAAGAACGAGGCTGGACGTCAGCATGGCAGCACTGCTATTGGTGGACTTATTATTGCGCTGGTCGTCGCTGCTTGCTTTTACTAGAAACAGACTGCATGCGACCTGCCATCAAGCCCGAGGTACCACTTTCAATTCTGCTCAATTTTTTGCCCTATACTTTTGTACCTCTGCCAAACATTAGTTAGCACCGACTAGCTGAAGTCGTGTGTTTACTAATGTCTTGGGCTTGCCGAGGTAATCACATTCTTTTCTCTTCGTGCCAGCGCTGGAGCTTGCTTCCTCGCGCTGGATCCTCTTGCTACCGTCTATATCACGTCCACTTGGACCGTTTCAGTCTTGTCATACATAATAGTCAGACATCTATTGGCCAGGACTTTTCCTGTATCGACAGTCATACCTGGCATGGTGCTCACTCGATGATCAGTTACCAATATGCTTGGCTCCACCACGGGCAGGACCACGTTTAATCTTCTTTGTTGTTTCTTGCGGAACAATTTGGCTATCAGTTTTACACTGGTAGCATTGATACTATTCTTGCTTACGGCCGATACCCCATCTATAGCATTGGATATTCTTTTATACTTTTGGATCTTTTTTTTTCTGGATTTTATGTCCAACGGAGCTTTTGGAGAGACGGGGATTGGAAAAGAAGATGAATCAATTACTTAATTGGCCATCGTAATTTGCTTCTACCTTTTTTATTTCGACGGAGACGAATGGCTTGAGGATTTTTTTTCTTACTTGAAGCAATTCGCTTCCGCGGGCTGAGTCTACTAGGCCTCATACTTACCTCTTTTTTTACCCTTCTTTCATCGCGATTGGCCTTTACTGTGGAGGTCGAGACAAGATGCCTTACGAAATCATGTAGGAGCGAGTTATCTTTTGAATTTTTAGAGTAGGTCCCATTCTCACAACACAGGTTGAAGAGACAGACACAAACAAAAAAAAATATTTGTTTCATTTTTTTTTTCTTTCGTAGCTTTGCACTTGTTGCTGCCATCTTCTCCACGTTCCATCTCTTGATGCTGGGTATCATGCTTGTTTTATATTTATAAATTAAATCTTTTCATTTTCTCGGTTCCCAAAAAGCAGAAAAGAAAGAAGAAGAAAAGCACACATTATCTATGCTTTTACCCAGCCAGGCACATGATCTAGATCGAAATCCTCATCGTACTTTCGATTCTGAATGGCCTGCCAGACGTCGGGCCAACCTGCCAGCAGTGGGCTGCCCTTGGCCTTGGCGCCGATGATAGCGAAGCGTGACTGGCCGTGGGCGACGAAGCCGTGCATGAGGCCCATCTGTACAAGTGCGGCCACGACCATCTCCACGTCCTCGTACGTGACCTCGGCATTGCCCCAGACGAGGCCCTCGTTGGGGCGTAGCCTGCGCGGCCCGCCGGGGGGCGGTGCGAGCGTGGACGCGCCGTTGTCGACGACGCTGTTGGAGACGGCGCGCATAAGCAGTTGGTTGCCGTGCGGGGGTCGGCGATGGTGCGCCGAGGAGGAGGAGGCCGGCGGACGGGCGGGCAACCAGCCCTCGAGGCGGCGCTGCGTGTAGACTGCGAGCGTGTGTAGGTGGGTGAGGTCGAGGGTGGCGGCAGCGCGACGCGACGACGAGGCAGCCTCGGCGGGCGGCGGCGGCACGTAGGTGAGGAGAAAAGCGCGGCGGGAGAGGCTACGCCAGAGCAGCGGCCGCAGGCGCGACGCGAGCGGCAGCAGCAGGCCGCGCTCGAGCAGCCAGCGCTCGTGGGTGGCGAGATGCGCCTGGAAGGCGACAAAGTGTCCCGCGCGGACAGCGCGACACAGCGGGCGGAAGACGGGGGTCAGGGTTTGGGCGGCCTCTGGGCGCTCGAGCAGCGCGGCCGAGGGGAAGCGGCCGAGGAGCATGTTGCTCGGGATGAGGTACGTCAGGATGCGGGCGCGGTGGGCGCGGAACGCGGCGGGCGTCTGCCGGTACGCGGCCTCGAGGCACAGCGCGGCGCGGCGGGCATGGTGGTTGGCAAAGTTGAAGCGGCCGAGGTAGTAGAGAAAGGTGACGCGCTGGGCGGCCGGGTAGAGGCGCAGCGGCGGGGAAATGCTGGCAATGTTGACAAAGATCATGCGCGCGAGGTGGGTGCGGCGGCAGGCAAAGAGCAGCTTGAGGACGAGGTTGGCAAACATGTAGACGCCCGTCTTCTTGCCCTCGGGCCGGCTGCAGCGCGGGCTGGAGCGGTCCGTCAGGCAGGTGGTGAAGATTTTTTGGATAATCTCGGCAGACGACTCGGCAATGGACTTGTCCTCGTCACCGGCGGCCCCCGCGCGGAGCTTGCGCATGAGGTCGGGCCGGCGGTTGAGCATCAGCGTGAGACGCGCGAGCATCTCGGAGAGGGACATGCTGGCCTGAAGCAGCATGCCGCCGTATGAGGGGTGAGCAAAGGCCGTTGCGCAGGAGCTTTTATTTATAACAGTTAGTTCTTTCTTTCGTCAATCAAATTGTGAAATGAAGCCCGTAATGAGGCCACAAGGATGAGGCGATGGAGAGAACTGACTTGACGAGACCAGCTAGTCGCTGATGCGCGGCCGCGAGATCATCAAAATCAATGTCCCGCCAAAACACGAGATAGTCCTTGATAAACGACTGGAAGCCCGGCCACGCCGTCGCCTGGCCCTCGGGCACATTGTCCTCCTGCGGCAGGCACGCCTCGACGACGTCGTCGACGCTCGTCGGCGTCGTGAAGCTGCTGCGAAGCTCGGCGGCGAGCTTAAAGTACTGCGGGTCACTGGTCGAGTCGACCTGCAGCCAGGCCCGTAGCGCGTCGCCCTGCTGCTGCCGCACCTGCTCGCGGATCGCGCCGAGAAACTCTCGCACGAGCGAGTCGTTCCCCATTCTTTTTTTTTGTTCCTGGTCTCGCGCGAGCGCGCGGAGATGCGGGCAGGAGGTAACGTGGGAAGAATGGAGTGGTTTTTGGATGGATGGTGGTTGGGAAAAGGTTGTTCGCTTGGCTGGTCGTGGGTGTAGATCGAAGGGGCTGAGCGGGTCTGGGACGCTGTAGTTATTAGGTGGTCGGCTAATATAAGCAACCTTCATTTCTCTTCATCGGCTCGATTTTATCTTTGCAATACAGATAGACTTCACAGGGAGCTCAAGAGTTTTAGCTTGCTTAGTTGTTTTATCATTCATACTTTCATCGGCTTTGGATAATCTCGAGTACACGTGCTTTCGATGGAACAGTATGCTATTCAAAGTACAAGTGCTATGAAACCTACAAATACTCCAGCTACAAACACATGAATACTTTTTCTTTCTCGTCACTTGCTTCGTCATTTCTTTTTTTATACAGACTCAACCCGCTGCACAACCATGGCAGTAGCAGCACCACCGCCATTGCAAATGGCGGCGACACCATACTCGCCAGGCTTGAGCTGGTGAAGAAGGGTGGTCAGGATGCGCGATCCAGAACTACCCAGGGCGTGGCCGAGGGAGATTGCTCCACCGAGAGGGTTGACCTTGGCGCCTTCGAGGCCAAGAATCTTCTGGTTGGCGAGAATGACACCGGCAAAGGCCTCGTTAAACTCCCACACTGCGACCTGATCCTTTGTGATGCCGGCACGCTCCAGCGCAATCGGAACGGCCTTGGCGGGGGCGATGGGGAAGTCGATGGGCGCCATGGCGGCATCGGCGTAGCTGACAATCTTGGCCAGGACACGCGAGTCCTTGCCGTACTTTTCAGCAATGGAGCGGTTGCCGAGCACGAGAGCGCTGGCGCCGTCGTTGAGGGTGGAAGAGTTGGCGGCAGTGACGGTGCCGGTCCCATCGCGGACAAAAGCAGGCTTCAAGGTGGGAACCTTTTCAAACTTGATGTCTTGGAAGCCCTCGTCGGTGTCGATGACGGTATCGCCCTTGCGACCCTTGACGGTCACGGGGGCAATTTCCTCGGCAAAGGCCTTGTCGGCCCAGGCCTTTTGGGCATTGCGGTAAGACTGGATGGCGTACTCGTCCTGCTGCTCGCGGGTAATGTTGTGCTTTTTGACGGTATTCTCGCAGCAATTTCCCATGTGGAACTGCTCATAGACGTCGGTGAGGCCGTCCTTGATCAGTCCATCTTCCAACTTGGCGTGACCAAAAGCAGGGAGGCTGCTGGATCGGTTAATGTAGTAAGGAACACGCGACATGTTCTCCATGCCACCAGCAATCTGGGCCTCGGCAAGACCCATCTGGATGTTTTGGGCGGCAAATACGACGGCCTTGAGACCGGAGGAGCAGACCTTGTTGATGGTGATGGCCTCGGTGGTCTCGGGCAGGCCGGCAAAGATGACGGCCTGGCGGGCAGGAGCTTGGCCGACGCTGCCGGAGAGGACATTGCCCATGTAGACATCGGTGATCTTCTCGGTGGGGACCTTGGACTTCTCGAGGGCAGACTTGATGGCGACGGCACCAAGCTGGGGCGCAGTGACGTTGAGGTAGGAGCCGTTGAACTACAAAATTGTCAGATTGTTCCGCGCAATGCGGAAGGGTAATAACGGACGCACCTTGGCAGTGGGAGTTCTGGCAGCGCTCAGGATGTAGGCGTCCTGTAACTCCTTGCGGAGGACCGACCCCGTGGAAAAGGAGCGGGAGCGGGCACCAGCAGCGAGATGCTGGGCCAGCATGTTTAGTCTGGCGGTTCTAAGTGGCGCGGCAGGCATTGTGGCGGATGTGGACGGCGCGACTGGACAAGATTGAATCGCAGAGGCTGAAGCGTCGGAGGAGAAAACAAAAAGGTATCGAGGCGAAGAGGGGAAGCAAGACGAGGGTGGTGGCGTATAATGCAGAATATATTGAACAACGTCAAGGCCCGGAAGCAGATGTTCGGAAACAAAGGCGACGTGGGTCGGCGCATGTCGGGCGACGTCGGCTTAAGGCGGGGGAGAGTTAATGTGGCAAGGTGGTTGGCTTCCCCGGCTTTAGCGGGGGGGGGGGGACAGTTTGACGGAATGCGGGATTGGTTCCAACAGCCTGTAGGCTTACCGCTGACTCTAGCAGTTTTGGCTGGTGGAGATTCACCTGTCTCGGCGGCCGTTCCGCCCATCAATGTAGATTCAGTAAGCAGATTTCTCCGTTCACCTAGCTACACATGATCGCAATTCGTTATCGTAAAATCAGAACAGCTCTAAAAATCTCTGTTTTAAAAATATTCTCTAGTCATCTAAAAATCTGCAACTTCATGTCGTGCACGCCTCGAGCTGCCATAGATTACACGACTTCACGTGACGCAAGAAAACGGGCCCGGTGGTCTCGACCCTGAATCTATCCTCATTGGCCACGCTCACCATCAGGGTGGTCCCAAATGCTGCCATAATCCAAAGGGTGACAAGCGGCAACTCCTCGTGCCCGATATATTCGCCATCGCCGCCGCCTCTTGACTCAAACAACCAGCCATCTCTTCAAGCCAGTTTGCCAGGCCAGTTTTGATCGTTATTGCAGCTTTTCCTCATCAGCGAAACCCCTTCAACAACGCATAACCTCTTTGCGGCGCACTTGCCCGCATCCCCGCCGCACCGTCACAATGTCAACGGCCGCCAGACGCCGCTTAATGCGTGACTTCAAGGTGCGTGACTTGATCGAAATTTCATTCGCGCTGGTCTCGTAATTACTCACACTGTCTTAGCGAATGCAAACCGATCCTCCTGCCGGCGTCTCTGCCTCTCCGATACCCGATAATGTCATGACATGGTTCGTCTACCTGACTTGATGAAGCAGCGGCGCCAGAAACATCTCTACTAACCACACATGGCGACTCGCAGGAACGCCGTCATCATCGGGCCCGCAGATACACCGTTCGAGGATGGCACATTTCGTCTTGTGATGCAGTTTGAGGAGCAGTACCCCAACAAGCCACCGCAAGTCAAGTTTATTAGCCAAATGTTTCACCCCAACGTGTACGCGACAGGCGAGCTGTGCCTGGACATCCTACAAAACAGGTGGAGTCCAACGTACGATGTCGCCGCCGTACTGACGAGCATTCAAAGGTTAGTAGTGCAGGACGAGTGTCCGATTTCAAACGCTTACGCAGCCATAGTCTTCTCAACGATCCCAATACCGGCTCGCCAGCCAACGTCGAAGCGTCAAACCTCTACAAGGATAACCGCAAAGAGTACACAAAACGGGTCAGAGAAACGGTAGAGAAGAGCTGGGAGGACTGACGGCATTCCGAGACACGGCCAAGCAGACTCTGTTACTTGCATGGTCGATAGCGGTCATCTACAGCATGTGGCCTGTGTTTGGAAATGGCGCGTGGAAGGTCTCACGCAAGGCTGCCTGATGCTGCGCGTTTTCTTCTCGCAGGACGAGGCGTTTCTATCTGGGCGTTTTGGGCGTTCATGTACGTGATTATACCAAGGTTATTTATGCATTATCATGCAAGTTCAGCGGTGTGTTTCATGGCTGAATGAGCTCGTAAAAAATAAAGAAACAACATAAAGAACTCTTTAAAGTCGGTCGTGTGCTCTTTTACATGTTACTGTCTTGTTGGCTTGCTTATTTGATCGGTTCATTGGTGAAGACGAGCAAGGAGATAGTAGAGCAAAAGCGGTACTACTGAAAACCGCACGCAATAGGACAAAATTGAGAACGGCGACAAGTGCAGCTGGCGTTTGCTGGAAAACCAGTGACTTGGATTGGCCGAGCTCCGGAGCCATTTCACCTTGCATTCACTGTGCTTCGCGTCCAGGGCCCGCATGATTCCCTACCTATGGCTTCATAATCTTCCATTAGCCAAGTTTATCAACACATTCAAAACACAGCTTATCTCAGGTGCATTACCCCAAGCTTCACCACCTGCCTTTATAACATCTTCTCTTTTTTGCAGTGTGTCAACTCCGGAATAGCCTTTCAGCCACCATCCAGCACACAATCATTGTCATCATCATGGCGTCTAAGGAAAGTACCGTTTCAAATGCCAATAAGGGCAAAGCCAGCGTATGGACCGAAGAAGCCAAGGCAAGTCAACCACTCTTGTCCGTCCCCCTTGACTCCGCTAAGCACATCTCTTCATTAGTACGAGTTTCTATTGCGCATCATTTTTCAGCTCAAGCAAGGGAAAACCATTAATTGGAGCGGCATCAAGATGAAGGATCGAAACACAAAGTCCCTGACGAACCAGTGGACCAAGATCGGCAAAGACATGGCCGCACTGGAGGATCTCGAAGGCGACGCTGGCAGTGCTGCTCCCACGCCTACAAAGGGAGGAGGTACGTTTGAGATGTGTTAGTTGAATACGTTCTGAGCTAATCTTGTAACTCGAAGCCGCAAAGCGCAAGATGGCTGTCAAGAACGAAGATGGCGATGAAGCTCTGGAGGCTCCAGTCAAGAAACGAGGTGTGTGACACTATTTGATGGGAAACCTCGTTCGCATCAGTATTCTAATCATTGCGTCCAGGTAGAGTTGCGACTCTGAAAAAAGAGTCCAAGGTGAAGAAGGAGGCGGAAGGAGACGAAAAAGAAGAAGACATCGATGAGATTTGATCATGGAGGACCTGACACGATGGGTATTTTGGTCGCAAATCAGTCACAAACTTATCAAGGTGGCTTGACTACAGGATATTTATTGCTAGAGAAGAAGAAGAGCTTACTTTGCTATATGGAGAGAAAAGGGCTTGCTGATGGCCGTTTGGCGTCGCCAACATTTAGTATGCTACCTTTCAAGGAGCAAGCACAATTATATGCCTTTATTGGCAGAGATACACTGCCACATCACATTCTTTATTCATCTTGTACTATCCGCAGCGATCCGTAAACTGTCGATTTACTTTTTTCGCCCCCACCGTGTCTTCACTTTCAAGTCATCACCTCACCTCTAGGACACGACCAATCTACTGCAACACCCCAGCCTTTTATTTTTTTTTCTTCTCTGCAAAAAGTACTTAAGCAGCTAAGATTTCATTGCATCAGAATAACTCTAGTTTCTTCACCGCACTTTCCACCGTTTCTTTTCATTCAACTCTCAACAACTTTCTCCCCTCATCATTCCCGCGACCAAGTGCTTTATTACAATCCCGCTCAACGTTTCCATCCACAATGGCCAAGGTAGCAGCTGAGGCAAAGTCATCTGCTTGGACTGAAGAAGCTAGGGTATGCCTTTACCCCCTTCTCGTTTCTAATCTGCGCAACTAATCCCCCCTTCCTCTTACAATAGTACCAATTCCTACTTCGAATCATTGGCCAACTGCAACGCAACGGCCAAAGCATCAAGTGGGACGAGATCAACATACCAGGTCGTACACAGAAGTCGCTCCAGCACCAGTGGGCGAAGATCAAGTCTCAGGTTGCAGAGTTGGAGAAGGCCGCTGGTCAGCCCAGTGATCCCAGCACGCCCACCAAGGCCAAAGGTAGGACCAGCAAGGAGCATCCCATGCCCGTTGCAGAACGTATTTCAGAATGCTGACTGTTGCGTGTTCAAAGAAGGCGCTGGCACCAAACGCAAGGCAGACGCCATCCTGACGCCCGAGGCAACGCCTCGGAAAAAGTAAACTCGTAAGTGCCAGACTCTTTTACGTGGTCGATGCTTCTTTAGCTGACAGCACTACTTTACAGCACTTTACAGCATTTCCTAACAACTCGCCTACTACAAAGGAAGAGTTCGATGAGGACGATTAAGTGCAGGCGGGTGCATAGAAGGTGTGCTAGGTCATCCTGGCAGATACAGGCGTCGGACGGGAAGAAAAAAGTCAAAACGGGAAATAATCTATGGCTGGGATTGATACTATTTTGATCGACAAGATCGCTGGTCTGCGAAGGCGAGATCATATACGACGGACGAGTTGCCGAGGGGGAGTATCAAACGTGATTCTCGCTACAGGCAACGGGATCCATGCGATTGCTTTAGGGAAATAGGAGTAATACAAGAAGCTTGACACTTTTGCTTAAGATCATGGTTTCTGTTTTTTTTTTTAAGGGATACGAGTAGGGTTAGATGCTCTAGTGTGCTGTTTCCTTGGCCATGGCCGGCCTTGTGCTTACAGTGCGCGACTAATCATTTGACACCTTCCCCGACCGAGAATGGTCGCTAAACTATCATGGGCTGCATCATCAATAGGATCTGCATACGAAGCACACATCTCCTTGGTCCATCACGTGGGCCGGGATGCCATGCAGCAAGGTGTGACATCGTGCGGGTGTGGCGGTGAACTAGCGGTGGTGTAGATGATGGGTTCGCTGTATCCGTCTTCTACAATATTTCTCGTCGCAGACAAGTTGGCCATGGCTGCGGAAAAGAAAAAAAAAAACATAATACAGATGGGTGGCTGACGGATAGGCTGGATCCGGCGTTCCATGCCATCTACCTTGTTGGTCTAGGGAAGGCGGAAAGGGCAAGTCGTCTACTTGCGTGATACATGGTTCTCTGGCATCTACACACCATCAAGACGAGATGGGCGATGGACAAGAGATATGCAAGTGTGCATGTGCGTGCAACAACAGCAGTGGCGTATCGCGGGAGAAGTTAAAGGATGGTGTGAAGACAGAGATGCCGATGTGAAGGTGAGGTAGGTTCTACGGAACAAAGGGTACCTAGGAACGTACCTGTGCCTGTCTAACTGCAACCTAGGTAGGTAGGTAGGTAGGTACCTACAGTGGGCCCAAGATAATTCAAATCACCAGCAAATCCCCATACAATGCTGCTCGGAAATATCTGAAGGCGATGTACTTGTAGGCAGCGGGTGTACCTGGGGCGAGTTGTGGATGGCTGCTACCTACCTAGGTACCTAAACTTACCTAATGCGCTGTAGTTGAGTGGCTTGACCAGGTGCCTGCCCTGTGGAGCGACCTCAATACATTATACAGGGGCTTATTATCATGGTCCAACACCACTATACCTAGGTGCCTACGTTGCGATACTTTCATACTGTAAAGTGAGCTTCAAACAAAATATAGACTTGATAAATATTATGGCATGAAATCACAATACAACATGATTCATCGCTTCTCGGGAATTATCTGCATGGCAATAGCAGGAAGATTAGGTGTCCATCTGTTCCATCTGCCCATCTACGAATGGCCCACTCGACGCTAGCGTATGTGCTGTGGACTGTTGATCCACCCTCACTCAGCGTTCTACAGGAAAGTTGCATCGTTTTTTATCCCCAGACTCAACCAGGCCACATCACATGGGCTCGCTGCCATCCACCATCTTTTTCTCCCTCTCTTCGGCCGTCTAACCCGTCATCGAACCCGCTGCTTCTCGCTTCTGCCTCTTTTCGACTGCCTCTTACTCTTTTGCGCCGCGAAATAGACGACATTGCAACCACAGGAGCTCGAGTATCAGGCTCGATTTTTTCTCCGTCTGCTTTGCCTGACGCCCGCTTCATTGGCCCGCCGCGCATCTTGTCACGACTAAACAAAGCTTCCGCGTAAACCACAAGACTGGGCGTGCACATCCTCAACGGCCTTTGCATTCTTTTCTTCGCTCTACAATCACAGCCGACCGCCCTCCCATCATGAACGGACACTCCATGGCAGGGGCCAAAAGAAAATCCTCCGGGTCCCCAGATCGCGCGCCCGCCCCCAAGAGAGTCCCTAATGGCAACCATTCCCACGATGAGGACACTCCGGATACCGAGCTCATTCATTACGACGACGAGTCCGACCTCGTAGATGAAGGCGACATGTATATCGGCACGCCGGTCAGCCTGGGCGAGTGGCAGGACACTATCCAAAAGGTTGTCCGCAACGTCGTCGCTATCCGCTTCTGTCAGACCTGCTCTTTTGATACCGACCCGGCCTTGACAAGCGAGGCCACCGGGTTTGTCGTCGACTCTGAGAGAGGGTGAGTATTGCTTCGCAGTGGATGCGCGCTCCCTTGTCGGTCCATACACATCCTGACAGAACCCTACAGATACATTTTGACCAACCGCCACGTCGTCGGCTCAGGACCTTTTTGGGGTCACTGCGTCTTTGACAACCACGAAGAAGTCGACTGCTATCCCGTCTACCGTGACCCCGTGCACGACTTCGGCATACTACGCTACGACCCGAAGGCGCTCAAATACATGCAGGTGGATGGCCTGGACCTGACCCCTGACCAAGCAAAAGGTATGCAAGGCAGTTCCTTGCTTTTCGGGGATGCGCGCTGATATTATTTGACAGTTGGTGTCGAGATTCGCGTCGTAGGTAACGATGCAGGTGAAAAGCTAAGTATCCTGTCGGGCGTCATTAGTCGTCTGGACCGCAACGCGCCCGAGTACGGAGAAGGATATAGCGATTTCAACACATGTTACTACCAAGCCAACGCGGCAGCTAGTGGTGGTTCATCTGGTAGTCCTGTCGTCTGCAAGGACGGCACTGCCGTTGCGCTCCAGGCTGGTGGCAGATCCGATGGAGCCTCGACCGATTACTTCCTGCCCCTCGACCGCCCACTGCGCGCGCTGCAGTGTATCCAGCAAGGGAAGCCTGTCACAAGAGGAGACATACAATGCCAATTCTTGCTCAAGCCCTTCGATGAATGCCGCCGCCTTGGCCTCAGCTCTCACTGGGAGGCTGCTATCCGCCAAGAGTTCCCTGACGAGACCAACATGCTGGTCGGCGAAATCATTCTTCCCGATGGCCCTTCTCACGAAAAGATTGAAGAAGGCGATGTTCTCGTCAAAGTCAACGGCCAGCTCATCACTCAGTTTCTTCGACTCGACGATATTCTCGACTCCAGCGTAGGCCAGCCTATCAAGCTGCAGCTGCAAAGGGGTGGTCAGGATATCGAAGTGGAGATTGAAGTCGGTGATTTGCACAAGATTACTCCAGACCGCTTCGTCTCTGTCGCCGGCGCTAGCTTCCACGATATTTCCTATCAGCAGGCTAGACTCTACGCCGTTGCTGTCAAAGGCGTCTACGTCTGTGAATCAGCAGGGTCGTTTCGCTTTGACAACACCGATAACGGCTGGATCATTCAATCCGTCGACAACAAGAAAGTTCCGGATCTTGACACCTTTATCCAAGTCATGAAGGGAATTCCTGACAAGGCGCGAGTGGTCGTCAAATACAAACATCTTCGCGACCTTCACACTCTCAACACAACTGTCATCTATATTGATCGTCATTGGTCCGCAAAGATGAAGCTTGCCGTACGAAACGACATCACAGGCCTGTGGGACTTTTCTGACCTTGGCGATCCTCTCCCGCCTGTGGCACCTGTTCGACGCTCAGCCGCCTTTATCGAGCTGGATCATATGCCCGACCCAAGCATCGCCAAGCTTATCCGCAGCTTCGTCCACATCAACTGCACCATGCCTGTCAAGCTTGACGGCTTCCCAAAAAATCGGAGATGGGGTATGGGTCTCGTCATTGATGCTGAAAAGGGTATTGTTCTCATCTCAAGAGCTGTTGTGCCATACGACTTGTGCGACATTACCATCACAATCGCCGACTCCATCATCGTCGAGGGAAAGGTTCTGTTTCTCCACCCGCTGCAAAATTACACCATCGTCAAGTACGACCCATCTCTTGTGGACGCCCCCGTTGAAAGTGCTCGCTTAAGCAGTGAGCCCCTGACACAGGGTGCCAAGACCCATTTCTTGGGGTACAATAGGATTGGGCGCGTCGTACACGGTTCAACTACAGTCACTGAGATTACTGCTGTCGCCATTCCGGCCAACTCTGCGGCTCCACGTTACCGGGCTGTCAACGTTGATGCCATCACAATTGACAGCAATTTGGGCTCCTCCTGCAACAGTGGTGTTCTTGTTGCACCCGACGGCACTGTTCAAGCTCTATGGCTGTCATATCTTGGCGAGAGATCTTCGTGCAGCCAGCGCGATGAAGAGTACTATCTCGGTCTGGGGACTCCCACCCTGTTACCTGTGATATCTGCTATCCAGCGTGGTGAGATGCCCAAGTTGCGCCTCTTGTCTGTGGAATTCCGCTCCATCCAGATGTCCCAGGCCTCCGTCATGGGCGTTTCTGACGAATGGATCAAGAAAGTCACACAGGCCAATCGTTCGCATCATCAGCTATTTATGGTGAGCAAGCGCACGTTTGAGCGTGGCAGCATGCCCGTATCTCTCCTAGAAGGCGACATCATTCTTACTCTGAATGGCAAAATTTGCACAACCATTACGGATTTCGACATTATGTACTCCAACACCGTGCTCGATGCCGTCATTATGCGTGAGAATGAAGAGATTCAGCTACAGCTTCCAACTGTTCCCGCAGAAGATTTGGAAACAGATCATGCCGTTGCATTCTGCGGTGCTATCTTGCATCGCCCTCACCAGGCCGTGCGCCAACAAATCAGCAAACTGCACAGCGAGGTCTACGTCTCTAGCCGCATTCGTGGATCTCCTGCATACCAGTACGGTGTGGCCCCTACCAATTTCATCACCCACGTCAATGGCGAGCCGACTCCGGATTTGGATTCATTCATTGCCGCGACTCGCCAAATTCCTGACAACACATGTACGTAAACCCTTCTCGATGCCGCTTCATACAATTCATTAACAAGAATCTAGATTTCCGTCTCAAGGCTGTTACCTTTGACTGCGTGCCCTGGGTCATTACCATGAAGAAGAATGACCACTACTTCCCGACGATGGAGTGGATCAAGGACAACTCAGAGCCCTGCGGTTGGCGCCGTGTAACATATGAAGGCGCTGCGGTGACGAACGGGGAGACCGTAGATGGCGTGCCTCTGCCGGTCGAGGATGCAGAGATGGAATAGACTAAGACTCGCTGCTTCGAGGCTCTGTATAGTGTTTTTCTTATGTTGCTTCTCCCAGCCTGATGCAACCTTTTTATTTTTTTGTGCATTGTGAGAAAGCAAGAAAAGCAGAGATGGCTTTGTTCTTGATTCTTGTTGCATTTGGTATTGGACTATGGCGTTATGTGGCTATGAAGGATCTCAGGGAGTTTTCTGGAGCTGTTTCTGCGACTGTAACTATTATCTTGGAAGATGTTATAGACTCGCATGAACATGATACCGTCAATAGTTGGCTTTTAGCTCCTTGTCAAAATAATTTTCCATGTTTCGGGATAGAGTAGACTATATAAAGAGAGCTTGTCTGCTTATGATTACCTGGTACATACTCTTCTCTCAGATGCGAATGTATATTCGGGTGCCTGGAGCTGACATTACGAGGCGGCGCGGTCTTGTCTGTCAGTGGTGGGGTAACTTGCCCCGCATACAGCTATGAGTTGCATCACAGGACACCCCGACTCCAACACTGCCACTCCAAAACTGCTGCCTGTTGCTCTCCATCAAAATCCCAGAAATCATTTCTAAGACCACGAGTGCTTTATTTCTACAAAAAAAACTCCTCAGATTCTTCACAACTTTGGCGTCGAAATATGGCTCCCGGGGCCACCTGGCTGGTAAGAGCGACTCCCAGTGTGTTGGCAGATATGACTGACTGCAAGGCCTCCCCCAACAGACAAAGGTCAAGGTCCAGCTAAAGCTGGCCATCGCGCGCCTACGCATGGTGCAGCAGCGCGATGAGCAGTTGGGGAAGACGCAAAGACGCGCAATGGCGCAACTCCTCGAGTCCGGCAAAGTCGACTCGGCCACGATCCGCGTCGAGAACATTATCCGATCCGACATCATCACCGAGCTGCACGAGATGCTCGAACTATACTGTGAACTGCTGCTAGCGCGGTCAGGCCTCATGGAGGCCCCACAGGTCGACCCCGGTCTGGAGGAGGCCATCCAGAGCATCATCTATGCGGCGCCCAAGACGGAGATCAAGGAGCTTGCGACGGTGCGGCAGCTGCTAGCGGAAAAATACGGCAAGGAGTTTGTGTTGGCGGCGACGGATAATGCGGAAAACAAGGTCAACGAGAAGGTGGTCAAGAAGCTGAGCGTGGAGCCGCCGCGCAAAGAGCTCGTGCAGGGCTATTTGGAGGAGATTGCGCGGGCATACGGCGTCGACTGGCCGAAGCGCGAGAAGACGTCGCCGCCGCCAGAGTACGAAGACGACGATGATGAGAGCCCTTCCGGTGGGCAGGCGCAAAAGATCATCGAGCAACCTATTGGGGCAGAGCAAAAGTCGCTAGCCAGGGGCGACGGCAAGGTGGCAACGCCCGCGAGACGAAGGGCAGCAGACTTGGAGGACCCAGCAAGCCCGCTTACAGTGACGCCGCCGCGACCAACGACAGACAATGTGCACCCCAAGGTCACATTGGGGTCGATAGAGCTGAAGCCAAGTGCGAGGAGAGGCAGCTCTACCAAGAAGCACGAGCCAGAGGGCTCTGTCCCGGACATATCTGACCTGGAGCAGAGGTTTGCGGCATTGAAGAAGCGGTGATGGATGGATTCTTGATGTTATTGGGCTATTACGAGGGCCGTATTCCAAGTTTCATAGACGGACTTTTTGCGTAGCGATATTTGTTTCATCGAGAATACCAAGCTCGCCATTCATGTATGCATGGGTTGGCAGTCGCAAGTGTCTCGGTCCATCCTGGCTGCAAACGCTCACTTCAGATTGTTGGCACTTGGCAGCTGGCAACTGGCCGCTACTTACCTACATAGAAGTAAAGAAGACGAGTAACTGCAAACAGCAAGTTTTGGTTCTCCAGTAATCCATGTTCTGCTTTTTCCCCTTCCCTTTCCACTACCGATGCCCGCCGCAACCCGCCAATTCGGCCACGATTTGCATTCCGACGTGTGTTGACTCTCCGCAACGGATTATATATGGATCCCCTCGATGTTTTGATTATCAACGCTCGCGGTCAGCTTGGCTGCAGCGGGCTGCGTAATCTTCGTGATTTAGCCCAGATGAGGCAGGAGACGATTGAGAAACGCTTCGCGGGTGCCCAGCACCTGCTCACGGTACGCAACACCCTTTCAATCTATGTAGCCTGGCTTTGGGCAAAGGCATTTTACGAGCCTCCCAATGATTTGCATCGAGTCATGGAGAAATGGTGCGCGTATCTTTGGGGCATTGGATGCACCCGCGAGATGGCACGCATTGCGTGGACAGAGGCCCAAGTCATGCTTGGGCCAATGTCGGTAACAGAAAGCTCGCCTCTTGGCGCACTGCAGATCAAGATCGGTTCATCGATCACGATGCAGTTTCCCACTTCTACTCTTCACAAGCGCAAGATTGCTGTGCTGCAGGAGTGCGCCAGTCATGAAAAACAGGCAATCAAAAAGACAACCCGTCAAGAGGCGCCATTGCCATCCTCAAAGAAGCACAAGACTAGCCATGTTAGCCAGACCATATTATCTGGCTCTCCGTCTCGACAGACGGTGCATGTCTGCCCTCCGTCCGTACATGCAAGTCGGCAAGGCTTTCTCTCCCTGTCTCCCGATAATAAGGACCTACGCTCGCATTCGTCTCAAAACGCGGCACGCCGCGCCCAAGAGGAGGGTGAATCATCGAGGGGACTATCAGGCTTTCGCTTTAACTTTGGACGTAGGTGAAAGTAGACGTCCTGGCAGTGTTTGAGACTGACACGCATCAGGAGATAATGTCTCGCGGCCTTCAGTTGGTGGTTCGCACTGGAGCCCGCGCCAGGATATGGCAAGAGACAGCCAACGACGCGATGAGAACATATCGGCTGCGCAGATCCATAGATGGCCAAGACCAGTCCAAGTGGAGGAGAAAATGCCGATGTCTCCGCCGTGGGCGGTATCGGTTCGGCACCCAATCGCGCCGCCCGCGCCACCGACACAGAAGCAAACGCAAAAGCAGAGCTGGCAGATCAACAATATACAGAACCAGCTCATCAAGCATGAAAACGCCTCAGTGTCTCAGAAAAAGGCTTATGGGGCCTCGAAGAAGCCTAGAGAGCCGCCGAAAGATGTCCCTGTTGCGAAGGCTGGACAGTCCTCCATCGCCAAATTTATTGCACTCGCTGCTGAAGCCAATACCCAGTCAAACCACAGCTCTATACTTCGGCATGAAGATGAAAGTGGGCGTCTTTCTCCTTGGGAAGAGGTAAGAAAGGACTGCAAAGTTCAAGTTAATGCTAACCACGATAAGGATGAATATGTCGTCGAGATCCCGAGACAGGCTACTTCTACGGTAGTGCAGACGAAACTAAGCAATCCGCCACTCCCATTGAAGCCTCCTTCTCTTGCAAATGGCGCTACCAAAGAGGTGTCTCTGAGCCACTTTGGTACGCCCAAGGGCATCCTCAAGCCTGATAACAAGAAAGATAGGCCGCCACATCAATCATGCATTCCCAGTGCGCCGACATTACCAGCGCAGCAGAGCGTCCAGCATCAAGCGCAATCTCACGTCCAACATCAAGCGCCTTTCTATCCACATTTTACTCAGCATCATCTACCGCACTTGACACAGAACCATGCGTTGAACTCAAACGATCCTGGAGCTCGCGTGGCGCCTTACCCCAGGATGCACAGCAGCCCGTTGCCCCAGAATCCGATTCTTTTACAACAACGAGTCGCTTACAAACCCCTGATCGGATACCATCCAGGTGTAACACGCTTATTTAGAAGACGACCGAATGTCTGGGTCCATCAAATGAGTCGTGACGTTGCTTTGGACACATGGGGTGATTTCTCGAACTCGAACCAACCGCAGGAATACTGGGCATGGGAGGAATATGATCCATTTAACCCACTCGTCTAGGATATGAGCGGAAAATTGCAACGCAAGGCTCCTGGAGCCTGATTGCTGCGTAGTGTTTAATAGATACGAAGGGCAGCATGGCAGCACAGCGGTGTGTGAAACTTGATTACAACTCGAGGATAACTTGATCGAGCTTAGGAATGTTTGTTAAGCTGAATTAGATGAAAATAAGAGATGGTTTAATGTAGAAAAGGTGAGCGCCTCGAATAGCGACTGTGCCAGATCACAACTCCGAAACGCCGCAACTCCAAGATATGCCGGTAGAGTATGTACTGTAAGGACACGATGGATCCATTAAAACAAAGTTCTGCTACTCTTTCGATTTTGCAGATTTTCCGCGGTGTTGTTTTTGCCTATAATATCGCGTTCTTTCCAGTGACCGGTTGTTTATTCCAGTTTGTCTAAATGCTCGAGCCTGGTCAAAACGGCTTGCTTACTCGTCTCCTCTATCTCGCCGGCCAGGAAGACCTCGTCGAGAATGGCATAGACTTTGTAAAAGTTGAAGACGAGATCGAGCTCGGAGACATTGCCGAAGAAGGCGTCGAGGACCTCGACGAAGAAATGGATAGCCTCAAGGTAGGCGAGTTCGTTGTCGTTTGTGTCGACACAGACGCAGAAGAAGAGGCCAGCGTAGCGGCGGTAGACGATTTTGTGGTTGCGAAACTCGACAAAGTTGGACTGATACTTTTGGTCGCGCGGCGCGACGAGGCGGTGGACCTCGCCCTTGACCTTTATCTTTTCCTCGTCGCTGAAGGGGGCGTACCATTTGGCGAGACGGGTCTTGCCCCTGTTGGTGGTGATTTGGTTAGCGCGTGACAATCTACATTTGTTAGGGGGGAGGGGGGAAGACGAACTGTCGGTTCTGAATGAGAATGTAGGAGAGCATCGTTGAGTGGGAAGCTTTCGTAAGGGGAGGAGGGGTGGTAGGTAGGCCTGCGCCTACGCGGAAAAGCGGTGCGCCAGTGAGAGGATTTGAAAGACGAATGGCTGATTGAGTTGGAAGAGGTCGATGACTGAGCGGAGGCGAGGAGGCGACGAGGTTGGCACGGGATATGATGTCGGCTCGTGATAAATGGACAGACGTGGAGGGGCGGGTGGCCGGTGGCGGCGGTCGTGCGATTCGGGGTCTTGTGTCGCCGCGGATTTTGGTGGGGTCTTGCCGTTGTGAAGCTGTCCGCTAAGTTATTGAGAGGATGCGGAAAACCATTGAACTCGACGCCAAATGGTTGAAAAATAGTAGAAATTTAGTCTTTTGTTCCCAGACTTAGCAGCTGTAGCAATTGAATGTTTTTGTATTAGTGTTCCAAGACACGGTGCGCACCTATGTAGGTACCTGGAGCCACGGCTGCTTATTGAAGGACTGCAAACGGGGCAGCTGGCGGAAGACTAGAGAACAAAGCCGCTGCATTGCCAGCCGCCAATCTACATTCTTTTCCTCCTACATGCAACAACGTGTGCCTTTTCAAATTCACCTTTGACATCACTCCTTGATTATCAACAAAGAACATAATACGCTCACATCATGTACGCCAATGGACACCTCCACTGCTTGGAGATGGAATAATAGGGTCCGGCAATTGGGGCCGCTAGCAGCGGGTAACATCGCGACTCGAGCAGCCCCATGACCTCATACCAACTTTTGTGCACCTTTTGCACCTCATGCTTACAACTTTCTTGGATTTCCAAAACAACCGAACCTCAAATATTTCTCGGTGCCTTCCATGGAGTCTGTTCAATTGAAATAGCAGGCACAAATCCCTCGCGCAACAGCGCCCTTTTCGAACTGCCTGCATCCTCGCGACGACGAAAAAATGTTCGCGGCGGCCACACCCTGCCCATCATGGCCGCCAAAAACCCGCTCCGGACCGCCGCGCGCGTCCTCTGGGGTGATGTCCAGACGAACCAGCCCTGGCAGCGCATCCTCAAGTACTCGATTGCGTGCGTCGGGGCCCTGGTCCTCGCCATTCTGCCCCAATTCAAGGGCCGCGAGAACTTTCTCATTCCCATGGTTGTCGTCTTTGGCCATCCGGGTCAGCGTTTGGGCCTCATGATTGAGTCGCTGCTCATGATCCTTCTTGGAGCTTTTCTCGGCGTCGTGTGGTCGCTGCTCGGCTTATACCTGGCGAACCTTGTCTTTTCTGAGAATCGCTCCGCTGCCTACGCGATCCGCGGCGTCTTCCTGCTTGTGGCTGCGCTCTTGCATGGGTTCATACGATCGCATAGCCCGCGACTGTTCAACTTTGTGCTGTTCATGCTGGTGGCGGTCATCATCACTGTGCAAGCGCCCCCCGATGCAACCGTGGCGCTATTTACAAACATTTACGTGCCCGTCTGCACCGGAGCGGCCGTGTCTCTGTTCGCCAATCTGGTCATCTTTCCCGAGTTTTCCAGCAGCTATCTCGGCGACTCCGCCATCACCACGATATCCGAAGCCATGGAGGCCCTGTCTCGCTCCACGCACTGGTTCGTGACGCCGGGCGGAGACTGCGACGAGGTCAGACAGCAGCGTGCCCGCCTTTATCGCACCACCTCGCGCAAGAGCCGGGCCTCGGTCACGTCGCTCCCGTTCTTCAGACGACTTGTGGCAACTAGGCGGTGGCGCGAATTTGCTTCCGAGTTTCCGAATCCGTTCAAATCGTCGAGTCTCGCCAAGCAGACCAAGGTGCCTATCGAGCTCACTTCACTCGCCAGCCTGACAGAGAGCAAGATTAAGATCCGCTCCAAATTGCGCGCCTGTCGCGCAGCGCAAGATGAAGTGAATTTTGAGATATCGTTGTCCAAGCTACCGCCCGATTCAATGAGACCTATTACCATGGTCTCCATGGCCAATCTGATTCAGGGCATCATCACCGTGATTGGTGCCTGTGAGAACAAATTTGTTCTATTGGGCGCAAGTACTACGAAATCAGCACCAGCCAGATCACAGACTGCGCATGTTGTGTCCGGTGCCTCACAACCGCTTCGCGATGCTTCGAAGCCAGGCAGCGCTCGGAAACGGAAAGGCAAGCGAAGCCAGCATGCAGAAGATGTCAAACCAATCAAAGAGATTGAAGAGGGTAGTGCTGAGCTGGTCGAGCATATTTTGGTTTGCATCAAAGATCCGGTCATGGAACTCCACCAATCTATCAAGGAAGCGGTCGCTACTCTCATAAATTGTTTAGCGTATTGTCTCCAAGTGACAAAACTACCGTCTGGTGAAGTAGCTCCTAAGTCGTTATCATTGGCCGATCTAGACGTCAAGATTGATCGACTCGCGGATGCCATGGTGGCATTCGACGCCCAATCAGCGGAAGCTCTCAAAGCCGCGGCCACAGAGTCCGATGGCCATGCTCTCGACTTCATGCCGCGTATGGAGACGTTTCTCATCTCATCCTTTATCCTGGCCCTTCGCCAGTCTGCTGCGCAAGTCATGATCATGCTACGCCACTCGCGCACGCTGGTCGAGCTCAGACAGCAGCGCAATAGCAGATCGCGCCTGTGGTTGCCCAAATTTGCCAGTTTCAGCCAGTGGCTGTCGAGCGGCGGTACCGATCCCAGCATATCTACGGCTGACAGCAGCATTGGTTCGACGCGCAATGACAGTGACGCACCCAAGGAGCTCAATCCTGACGCTGCGCAGCATGGATCGACCGAAAGCATGCACCGCGCGAGATCTGGCGATGAGGAGGTCACAAGTCCAGTATCCAGCAGCGCAAATTACGATGGGAGACAGAGTTATACGACTATGGAAGTGTGCAAGTCTTCATGGATTGTGCGACTACGGCATGCTTGTGCAGATGCGCTAGAATGGGCACAGAACTCGGAGGATCTCGTCTACTCTGCCAAGCTCTCCATTGCTCTTTTCCTCGTCACCTGGCCTGCTTTCGTCCCTACTTGGAACCAGTGGTATGCTGACGTGCGTGGCATCTGGGCACCGCTGCAGCTAATCCTCGTCTTTGAGCTCGCCATCGGGACGTCGTTGATTGTATTCATCGTACGCCTTTTTGGCGTGGTCTTTGGTGGTGTCATTGGCTATCTTTCGTACGAGATTGCGCGCGGAAACAGAGCCGGTGTCGTAGCTGTTGTACTTTTCGGCATCGTGCCGTCTATTTACGTTCAAGTTGCAACAAAGTACGTAAAAGCAGGAATGATTTCCATTATTTCCATCGCCGTCGTTGCGTTGTGTAAGTTTGGCTCTGCTATTTCATGTACATTCGCGCTGACTTGCTTTAGCCGCCGTCAACACCTCAGCGCCTGGCTACGAAGTGTTTTATCAGCGCCTCGTAGCTTTCATTATTGGAGGCGTCGATGCTGTCCTTGTTGAGATTTTCATCTTTCCTGTACGAGCCAGGGACCGCCTCGTGGACTCACTTGCCGACGCCGTCGTCCACGTACAAAACATGCAGGCGGTCATTGCTGTCGGTATCGACCATCCTGAGCGTCCCAACTTTCGCTCGCGCAAGCTGTACACGCGCTTTAAACGAGCTCGCGACAAGGCCCAAAGCTGTCTCACGGCAGCAGAGACTTACCTTCCGTCTTGCCTCAGCGAGCCCCGCCTCAAAGGAAGCTTCAAACCTCTGGCGCCAATTTACAGCGAAATTATATACGTTTTGCATCAAATCACCGACCGCATGAATAGCGTGGTCCAACTGCGCCGCGAGTACGGCTCGTCTATACTGGAGGACCTGAATCATCGCGTGTATGCCTACCGGCGCAACGTCATGGGAAGCTGCAATCTAATTCTCTTTTCCGTCCACGAAGCACTCACTACGTGGCTCCCCCTTCCGCAATTTCTCCCCTCGGCGCGCCTCGCGCAGCTACGCCTGATCAATCGCGTTCGCGAGGTCCTCGACGCGGAGAGCGCCAAGGGATCGACGTCGGCGCTGCGCAAATACGTCGCCGGCCGTCTCGAACTCGATGAGTCGACGGCCAGCATCATCACGAAACGCAAGTTCTTGTCGTGGAACGCGAGCACCTCGGGCCAGATGGAGATTATTGAGTACCTCGAGGAGCTGACGGACCTGGTCAAGCTGCTCGTCGGCGTGAATGCGTTTCGGCGCGGCATGCTCGAGGCGCCGAGCTACAGGATGTACATGCAACACGGGGACGCGGCGGACCCGGGAGCAGCCGAGGCCGGTGCACCGACTCAGATGGACGCATCGGCGACAGAAGGCGAAGACGAATACCCGGACGTGAGCGTCGCGGATATGGTCGGCGGCACGAGACGCTCGAGAGCGGCGACGGTCACGGAGAGGCCGGACAATCGGCTGCTGGAGCGCGCAGCCCAGTATTGGCACGGCGCCAGGGACCTGGAGAGCGGTGCGGGAGGGGCCAGCGACGCCGCTGTGGTTGACGACGACGACGACGAAGATGGCATGGCTGACATTCCTGTTAGTCTGCAGCGCGTAGCCACGCGTTTGCGAGAGAATAATGCCGCGGTGCGCAGCAGGGCATTCACGATTGGCAGCGAAACAAGTCCGTAAATATCTGCATGTACATGGGGCATATCGCTGCAGTCTCTTGGCGCGACGCCAGCGAGGCGTTGGTAGAAGAAGAAGAAGAATCAGTAATGTATATTCATTACGCCGCTACCAAAATCATGTGATGCCGTAGCAATCACTTTGTAACTACCCAAAAGACCATGGTAAATCCAAATTTTGAAACAAAAACTATTGCCCGAAGCGCCATGCAGAAAACAAAGACTGGATCCAATCCCAAAAAAAGCGTGCTCCAACCATACATCATGCTCCCAACGTTCATCATCAATACAGAAAAAACATAACAAGCGTAAAGACGACGCTTAAAAGATGTTGAGAGGTGTCTTTTCCGCGATGCGGGTGAGGTTGAGCATAGCCCTCGTCTTCTTGGGCCGCTGCTGGAACCTGCGAAACGCCTCCTGGACGTGCCGGGGTTCGACCGGCGTGCGGCCCTCGCTCGGTGGATCAAACAGGCCGTGCTGGTGCTTGCGCTTCTTGGTGCTGCCCTGCTGCTGCTGCAGAGAGGCTGCGTCGCCGCCGTTGAGCGCGCGGGCCGTGTCCTCCTGCTCCTTGGCCTTGAGCGCCATCTCCGTGAGGGTCTGGACCATCTCAAAGGTGAGGAAGCCGAGTATGTCGACAATATCGTCCGAGGGCTTGCTGTCCGTGACGATGCCGAAGCCGGCCCACTCACGAAAGCGCTTGCCCTTGCGCCAGGTGAAGGACGCCTGGCGATACTCGGACCACGTCACGTATTCTTCGCGCGTCATGGCCCTGGTGCGGTCGTCGGCTTTTCGGAGGCGCTGCAGGGTGATCCAGTTAGACTCTTCCTCCTCGTCATCCTCCTCATCGTCTCGCTCGGGCACCTCGACGTTGAAAAAGGACGCCGGCTCCCAGGGCAGGCCGACCTTGGCCTTCTTGTTCTTCTTGGCGGCCTCGTCGACGGGCCCGGCGACGTTGCCGGGATCGTCGCCCGCGGCGAGATCGGCGTCGGCACCCTTGTCGTCCGAGTCTTTGATGTTTTTCCGCACGTCCTTCCAGGAGAGAAAGGTGCGGAGGCGCGAGACTTTGGCTTGGTCGTGCCGGATCTGGAATATGAGGTCGTTGGTGCTGATGGACTTGGAGCCGCGGCGCGAGGCGAGCTCCGTGCAGTTCCGTAGCTGACAAAAGTCTTAGCACGACAAAAGGGTGATGGCAAAGGGGGGGGAAGCGGTATTCTTACCAGCTCGATGACTTGTTGTCGCACAATGTCTTCAATGATACTCGTAGTTTCCACGGAAGGCTCGCCAGTCTCGCCGGAGACGTACATCATCTGTCGAATCGTGTCAATAAGAATTCTCTTGAATGATTCAGGCGAGGGCGTAAAGTCGGAGTAGGCAACGCAGGCAGCCATGTCACCGGCGGTAAGGGTAGCGAGACTGTCCTTGGTCATATTTGACGGTATGAAAACAAGGTCTAGGGATGAGAATCTTTGAATGAAAGAGAGTATGGCGCTTCTTAATTGATCAAGCAAACGGACAGTAAATGCGAATAAACACATTGCCGCTCGTCGCGTGACTCTTCAGGTCGCTCGCAGCTGGCAACCGGTTTGCGCCAGCTGGCAGACGTCGTCTCTCGTGGCCCCCGCATCTCGCTGCCGGCCATTGTTTCATGGTTGCCCGTTTGCGCATTTCATCGGAGTAGGTCGGGGTGCGTTGGTTGGATCCAACCAAAGCGGTGGTAGAGAGGCTTACCTGGCTGATTTCCTGACGGTACTTGTACATTTTGTCCTTGGCGTCGGCCATGACGGGCGATTATGTGTCCAGCTCGAGCTGCGACGCGTGGGGTAGTGTGGCGGGTTCGCTGGCGGCAAGTCGGGGTATGAGCGAAGGTGGTGACGATGGGACAGCCCAAGATAATAATAATTCTTCGCCGTTGAATGAATGTCGAGGCGGTCCTGGATGGCCCTTGGTCCCGAAAGTCGGAGATGGAGGTTATCGGAAACGAGTGTCGCGGAGCGCTTCACAATTCAAAGGGCCCGAGTAAAGGAATGTCGGAGACCAAGCAATTCGTAAAATCCTCGTGGCGAGTTCGCTGGGATGGCGGACCGGGTCCGTATCGGGTTGTCGGTGATGCGGTCGGTAATCAGACGAAGAAGCCCTTGTGTCTACGCTGCGGTCGCGATCCAGCGCTGTAATGGCCCCACGTGACCACTTCGCGTGTGAGTTGGCATTGAAGACGTAGCGGAAAAAAAGAAAAACTCTTATTAATTTTTTTGTTCATACAGGGAAGCCATTTTGTCCCGCTCATTTAGCTTTCGTGGGATATTTCTTTGGCGATGAAGCAGGAAACGCGCAAGGTAGCCTGCGATGTGTACTACCTATCTGTCTTGTACATGACTGTCACAGAGCTCCGAGCCCTTCACCTCTTGTTCCCCAAGCAACGATGTAATGCCCAGCAAGCAGTTTCCATTCCTCCACTTCATCCAGGCCCTCGAGCTGGTCCACGCGCTCCTTTTCAGACGCGTCAATCCACGTCTCCCATATCGACTCGACAGACTTGCACTCGGCACTGCGAAAGCCGGCGTCGCGCAGCCGCTGGATCTGGTCCTGAGCGTTTCGGTAGCGGTCCATGCCCGGCATGTGGATGTGGCGCGCGGCGAGGTTTGCTACCATGGTCTTGCCAAAGGCGTCGTCGAGGTGCACGGGCTCGTAGATGATGGTGGCGGCGTTGGCGATTCTCGACGTAAAGTAGCGCAAGACTCGCTCGGCCTCTTCAGTCTTTAGGTAGCACAAGCAACACTCTGATAGTATCAACGTAGGTATGTCTGTTCGTAGACCAACCAGAGGCCCGGTGATGCTGCTGTCGAGGTCCCGCAGGTCCATCCCGTGGCAATAGTACTCACCACGACCATGCACGGGTTGGGCCGTCCACGTTTGCGAGCTTTTTTCAGCTGGGCGATTCAAAATACGTGAAAGTTGCGGGTTGGCCTGCACGATCTGGAGCTTTTTGCGGCTCGTCACGTCAAAGTCGACTTCGTGGTATGTGAGCTTTGGATATGAAGCACCCGCAAACAGTCGAAAAGGACGAGTGTCCGTGCCGGCTCCCAGAGAGACAATCTGCCGCTCTGTTGATGTGCCTCCTGCCGCAGGTGATAGAAAAGACTGAATCAGACTGTCGAGTGCAACAGTCCGCGTGTATGTCCCTGTAATATTTATTAGATGCGCCGTCTTATCCCGACCTTACAGTGGCCTCGACACATACCCCGATTGATGATGGGAAACCTTCTCTGAGGGGGTCCGTCCATGCGCGAAACTAGAAAGACGGCGTACGGATCGTCTAGGTAGCCGACATCGACGGCACTGAGCCGTGATACAGCGGCATCCGTATCCGTGCCCTGAATCGTGGAATCGTGATGGGCGCCAGCACCGCCAGGGCCGCCACCACGCCGCGCGCGCAGCCCGCCACCTCGGCCTCCGCGACCACCTCGCAGGGACAGGAGATTCGGTATTGATGGTGCAGACATTTTAGAGATAAAACCTGAGACTCAAGAGCAATGTAGCCTTGATGCACTGCGGTTTCTGAGAAGAAGCTCTTTTATACACGGGTTGTGAGTGCTGCCGAATTGACGCAGGTTCATCAGCGAGAGTTGGAGTGCTCACTGGTGGCAGCCCCCACTACGTCAACACCAGGCACAACAGCGATGACTTCATTTTCGTAGGGCCATTCAAATTTTTTTTGAAATGGCTTTTCTACGTGTGATGGTCTCCAAGTGATTCATTCTGACAATAATTGATTTCGCTTTCAGTTTACCGACTTTGCTACGTAGCTGTCAAGCGTACTCGCGTAGAGCAGAAGCTTAAGGATTTGAAGCATTGTAGAATAGGTCAAACTTTGGTATCATACGCAAGAGAGGGATAATTGATGTTTACATTAGAGAGACAAGTCCTTCAATATGATATAAATTTACAACTCACTTCCCCAGCCACCTCCACCGGGAGACTGAATAATCACCCTTTCACCAGGCTCAAGCCTCGTAGTCGCCTTGGCGCCGAGATTCACCAGTCGCTTGCCGCCCGACATCTTATCCGTCACGAGTACGGAATTCAGACCTGTCTGGCCGCCTTCGCCGCCTTCCATGCCATACGGTTGCCTTGATCGTCGCTCGCTCAGGATCGAGCACTGCACGGGCACGCGAAACTCAATCTCTCTCACGGTTCCGTCGCCACCGCGGAATTTGCCCCTCCCTCCGGAGCCGGTCCGTAGTTCGAAGCGACGGAGAATACAGGGATAACGCTTCTCAAAGACCTCAGGATCGGTAATGCGCGTGTTGGTCATGTGGGTATGAACGCCGCTTTGGCCCGCCCATGTTGGGCCTGCGCCAGCACCGCCCGCAATGGTCTCATAGTAGCCGAAGCCTTCCTTGTGCTCGCCAGTGATGGGATCCTTGCCGCCTGTACCAAACGTGAGGTTGTTGCAGCAGCCTTGGCTCGCAGCACATGCGTGGAATGCCTTTAGCACGACGTCAGTCACGCGTTGAGAAGTCAATACGTTGCCGCCAACAACGGCGAGACCAGACCCAGGTTTCAAGATTGTGTCTTGCGGCACAATGATATCGATGGGAGCTAGACAGCCCTGGTTCAGAGGGATCGAAGAGGAGACCAAGCTGCGCAAGCAGTAGATGATGGCAGAGTGTGTGATGGCGAGCGGAGCATTTGTATTGCCTAGGACATGGTTTCCTGTGCCTGTAAAGTCAAATGTGGCAGAGCCATCATTGGCAATTGTCACGGTGAGCTTGATTGGTGTCCCATCATCCATGTAGTCGACAGCAACGAGAGGCTCTGGGCCGTGTTTTGCGGCCGTCGAAAGCATGAGCTCGCGGACAGCTTCTTCGGCCGTGTTCTGAATCGCATACATGTAGCGATGAACACATGAGAGGCCGAATTCCTCGATCAGCACAGTGATTAGATTGATGCCCTTTGAATTGGCAGCGATTTGCGCTTTCAGGTCGGAAATGTTGTCCATCAAGCGACGAGTACCCGAGCAACCTTCATACTTGGCGGGTTCCTCGAGAAGCAGGCGGCGGATCTCTTCATCGTTGAAACGGCCACCACTTACCAACTTGGTCGACTCGATTGCCGCGCCTTCTTGCCAAAGTGCGGACGATGTGGGTGGCATAGAGCCTGGAAGTATCCCTCCGATATCCGCGTGATGGCCGCGCGAAGCGACGTAGAAGGCCAAAGCACCCTTTTCGAAAACGGGGGTAATGACTGTGATATCAGGAAGATGGGTGCCACCGCATGAGGGGTGATTGGACACGAGAACATCTCCCTCTTGCAGCTTGCCGTCCCACAAACGGTGCTGGTATTGCACAGCAAACTGCATCGAGCCTAGATGAACTGGCACATGTGGCGCGTTGGCGACCAGGCCTCCATCGGGACTGAAGATGGCACAAGAAAAGTCCAGGCGCTCCTTGATGTTTGTAGATACAGATGTTTTTCTGAGCGTGCGACCCATCTGCTCTGCAATAGCCATGAAACGATGGGCAAATACAGAAAGCTGAATGGGGCTAAACTCTTCCTCCTCGACCTTCTTGATCGCCGGCGCGACGTCTCTGTCAATTACGACATAATTTTCTATTATGGTCGCAGTCGCGCCTGGACTGACCAATATAGTCTGCGTTTTGTCAATGACCACAGCTGGGCCAGCGATTCGAGCTCCGGTGGGGAGGGTTTGCAACTCGTAAACAGACGTATCAACGTGACCGGCACCTTCAAAATAAACAGTCTTTTTTCCAACAGGGCTGGCAACAGTCCCGTCCTGATCACTCATATCTTTGAGTTGGCTGTAGGGCGTTTTGAAGCTCTTGGACTGACTCTTGCCAATCGCCCTGACCCTGAAATCATCTATGATGATATCTTTCTCGGGAAAGTGAAATCCAAAACCACGAATATGCGCTTCTTCAAATTCACGTCGAAAATTCCAGTCAGAGCCCTTTAGGATCATGAGGGAGCTGCTGGAACCCGCGTATCGCATGCTGAGGTACAGGTCAAATGCAATCTGGCCCTCCGAAAAACCTTGCTTCATGAGATCGAGTTTTGCCTGGTCGGCAAGTAGCTGCAGCTCTAGCTGAATAGATCTGTGCGTATCTTGACTCCAGGTAAGAGCAGCCGGTCGCTGAAGTTCCTGCACAACATCTGCTAACGAAATGCCGTAAGCAGATAGAATCGAGGAATATTTGTGCATGATAATGCGCGAGATCCCAAGCACCTCGGCCACAGCGCAAGCGTGCTGTCCGCCAGCACCACCAAAACAGGCGAGATGGTGATCAGCGGCGTCATAGCCACGGGCCTCAGTGAGAGCGCGAATCGGGCCAGCCATGCCTTCATTGGCAACCTTGAGGAATCCCAGGGCCACTTCCTCCGGTGAAAATAGAGAGAGACCAGCTGCGATCCTCTCGTTGTTGATCTGGTTCGTAAGCTCTGAGAACTTGGCAACCACAATCTCGCGATTGAGCGACTCATTTTCCTTGGGGCCGAAGACTTTCGGGAAGTACTCTGGTAATAGTCGGCCGAGAAAGAGATTTGCATCTGTAATGGTCAATGGACCGCCTTTTCTGTAACATGCCGGGCCAGGATGTGCCGAGGCAGACTCCGGTCCAACATTGAACAAACCATTTTTCCAGGTGAGAATAGAACCGCCACCTGCCGCAACTGTGTGAATGTCGAGCTGAGGCGATTGAATGTTCACTCCGGCAGTCGTAGTTTCGAATACATGGTCATAGGACCCAGCGTACCGCGAGACATCTGTGGAGGTGCCACCCATGTCGAACCCGATGATCGGGCATCTCTCCTCCTCGTCCCAAGAGGTTTGTGCGTAGCCCACGACACCACCGGCAGGCCCAGACAAGATGGCCTTGAGGCCGCTGAATTTTCGATAGTCTGACAAGCCGCCGTCTGACTGCATAAACTCGATGCGCGTAGCTGCGGACGAGAAGCCGCCGCGAAAGTTGGCAGAAATGGAATCAATGTATTGGCGAATGATGGGTGTCAGGTAGGCGTCAACCACAGCCGACGTACCGCGGGGGACAATCTTGATCATTGACTGCACCTCTGCGGACAAGGTAACTGAGAAGCCCATCTCTAGAGCGATGCGACCGACTTGCAGCTCATGATCGGGATATGCGTAGGAGTGAATAAAAGCAATTGCAACCGAGCGAAAGCCTTGAGATTTTAGCGCCAGCAGTTGGGATTCCACAAGCTCCATATCAGGCTTTTTGAGAACGCGAACGGTCTCTCCTGTGATTGCAGAAACAAGCTCAGGTTTGGTGCCGTCGACCTCTGTCTTGGTCGGCTCCGGGTTCTCTGTGTAATCTTCCATTGTAACGCGCTCATCGATCTCGACGACAGTCTCGAAAAGTACATCTGGCCGCGATATCGACAGGTCGAAAATATCTGGACGGGACTGGTTGCCAATGGCGAGGAGGTCGCGGAAGCCTTTGGTTGTGATGAGTGCGACGCGCTCGCCTTTGCGTTCCAGCAAGGCATTGGTAGCGACCGTGGTGCCCATGCGAATGGACTCGAAGTGGAAGAGGTCTAGAGGCTCGCCTCTCGGCAGGATCTGGCCAGTTGCCAGCTCGAGAATACGCCTGATTCCCTCCGTCGGTGCATCCTGGTAGTTTGCGGGATCTACCGAGAGGAGTTTGAGGATAATATCATCACGCCCAGGGATGGACGCGTGAACATCTGTGAATGTTCCGCCGCGGTCTATGGAAACGCGGATGCCTAGTGGGTTGATTGTCATGATTCTGGCTGACAATGCAGCACATGTGGTGTTGCGGCAAGATTGGCTGACTGGATATTCTGAGCCATCGCAGAACTGGAGCATCACCACCTTTATATCACATTTCCGCATTTTGGTGCTGCGTCCTCAGCCACTTCGCCTCGGAATTAAGCGGACAAGCATCCGTGATTTAGCTCGCATCATAGCGACGGAGGTCGAAGTCCGGAGAAATGGATGTAGATGTTGCCAGTTCACGCAGCGCCCCCCAACACCGTTGGCGGAGTTGAACCCCTAAATTGTGGCGCCGAGGAGTTCATTCCCGGGGTCAGAATGCCGCCCCTCACCTACCTACAGTAGGTATGGGTCCCCGATCACCCCGCGACAACCCTTTGTCTTGCAAACAACTTCATCATCATGCTTACGAAATAGGAAAACGAATGGTTTCATTGCAACCCAGCAACCCAGCACCCCAGGTATAATCGCCTCATCTGTGGGGTATGTCCAATGTCACAGATGCAATCGAAGAAATTACTCTCTGACGTGGGGTAATTGTCCGAAACCCTCTGAATGTCCGCGAAAGCTTCACCTGCCTCGGAGACTGGGACGCTGCGGCCGGTCGCGTGCGTGTCATAAAATTTGTACCCTCGCAGATTGAACTGTTATTCTGACAAAAAACTTATAGTTGCTTAAACTGTCGGCAGCGTCGTTCATATTGTTCGAAAGACAAGCCCACATGTTTACGATGTCGCGACAGCGGACTAGTGTGTATATATGAGGGTGCCAGAAAGATACTTGTGAATGAATCGTGAGTTTGTTTATTCAATCAAAATTACCACCTAACTCACGCGTCGAAAAGTTATTTGAGAGAGCTTGAAAGAAAGGCGAAAGCGCTCGACAGTCAGTACATACCTACCACGAGCCAGACATGTGGCCAGCGACCAGCTGACGAAAACACCATCAAGAAAACACCCGGAATCAGGCAACAGCAAGCACTAGCCTAGAAACTGATGTCGCAATATCAAACGGAAATGATGACGATGAAGATGACTTTGAAGATGCTGAACCTTTATTCGAATCCTTCACTCACCTTCGCCTAAATCGCCCGTCGACAAGTAAGTTCGAAGCTGGACTTTGGCTGAGCGCCGTGCTGAGATAAACCGGCAGGCTTCCAGGGACCAGCGTCATCCGACACCTTTCTTCGAAATGTGGGAAAAGTCACCGGTCTCGGCGACGAGCACGACCATCTGGATATTGATCCCAACCTGGGCGAGCCTGTGACGCTGCCCTCGAAAAAACGAGTCTTCACCCCGCACCTTCGCCTGCCCCCTCTACAAGTCGCCCGACGCCTCTTCGCTGCCCAGTACAGTTTTATCGGTCCCATATTTGCTTTTACTGAGTCCAAAGATGAATTTGAGAAATCTCTTTTCAAAGCATACGTCGGCCTGCCAGACGAGGGGAGTCGTGAAGACTGCCTACATTACGCGAAACTACTTCTCATTCTCGCTTTCGGCCAAATGTACTCGGTGAATCAGTGGGTAGACTGCCGAGGACCTCCTGGTTTCGCTTACTTTTCGGAAGCCTTGAGTCTACTACCAGAGACGCACGAAGACGGATCCCTGCTCTGTGTTGAGATACTTGCGCTGGCAGGGTACTTTCTGCAGAACACGAACAAAAGAGATGCGGCATTTCAATTCATTGGGCGTGCTCTCAGAATGGCCATATCTCTTGGCCTGCATCATGAAGTCGAAGGCATTTCTGCCAGCTCGAGTTTCACTCCCCAGGAGGTACTGGCCGAAGACGCAGCGAAGGAGCACAGACGAAGAACATGGTGGTCGGTCTATAGCCTGGATCGCATCCTCTCTGTCAAATCTGGAAATCCAATCACAATACAAGATGAAGACATTGGAGTTTGGCTGCCATCTCGTCTACATTCGGAGCCGGAATATTGCCCGGCCATAGTGCTGCGACAATACACCAAGTTGTCCAGGATTCTCGGGGAGATACACAAAAAGATCTACCACAGAACAAACAAGAACCAAACAAAATCGGGAAAAACTCTGATGGCATCGGTTCAGAAGATCTTGATTGATCTGTCGAACTGGGAAAGCGAGCTTCCGTCTGGGCTACGCTTTGATCCAGACCGATTAGTCATTGGACGAGAGAGTGTGAGCACATTGGCACATTACTACCAGTGCATCAACATGACAATACGGCCACTCCTGTTTCATGTTGTGAAAAAGAGACTCGCCTTGATTCAAAAAATACCCGAGGCTTTAGTCAAAGAAACTGACTGGAAGACGGGCCTGTCGCAGACGACGGTAAAGGTCATTGAAATGTGCATCGGGGCTGCACTTGATAGCATAAACATTATGGCCATTGCATCGACGAAAGACCTTGTCGGCAAGTACACCACTTCAAATGCCTACAAGCCTACATGCTGACCTGGGAACAGCCACTTATGGATACATGGACGGGGAACACATATTTTCAGCCACCATAGTACTTGTCATGGTCTGCGCTGCCTTTCCAGCAAGCTCTGTCAACATGTCCGCCATGAACACCGGGCTTGGACTCCTCTGCAGCATGTCAGAGCGGGGCAACACTCACATCGGCGCTCGGTATGAAGTGCTGATTCGGCTCCTCTCCACGGTCATGCCCAGCGGTTATTCAGTCCCCCTTGGCTCGATGCCACGGAGTCCGGCGCTTTTCCTCGCGCCACCGGCAGACCCGTCAACATTGTTGGCCGCGGCGCCACTTGGCGAATCTGAAAGCACAATGTCGGACATGAACACCTATCCAGCACGATTCCCAGTCATTGACATGCAGACACTCTCGGAGCCATTCTATGACGAGGGCAGTACTGCGGGGATGGACTTTGGGCTTTGGGAAGAGGGCTTCGCGTATCCGACCATGGATCTGGACCTAGACTTGGCCGGCCAGCAGCTGCCAGTGGACCTCACTGGAGACGGTGACTATGGTCAGCAAACTGCCTCTACACAACGCCCACAATAGAAGTACATTCGAGTATGGTCAGGTAGCAAGCGACCTAATTACCTGTAAGAGGTTGGCTGATTTGGAACATTATTCCTTTATTTTTTGCATGATACCACGAACCCGGTATACGGTCAGGTAGCAAGCAGAGAAGCCGAAAGATAGCGAGAGGGGACCTCTATAGCAAACAGTCGCTTCCGTTCATAATCTGTACGCTTCGTCATCATCCTTGGTCATGTTCCCGACGAGCCGGCCTGACTGACGTGGGAGTACCGATTCGCTACCACTATGTCTTCTCACATCATTCGTCACGCGACCAAGCTTTTTTCGCAACATGAGGCCGGGTATCAATATCGCCGCACAGACGCCACCAGCATACTTGTATCCGCGGGCCGTTGGGCCTAGCCCAGCCGCACAGTGTCTTAGCGTCGGCGAAGCACTCCGACGCCAACTGTGCAGATTGCATTGCCGCGATCCACCGTGCTCAAAGTCATTGGCCGGATTAGAAATGGCTCCATCTTGACCTGCGTGTCTCTATCGCTCCCTTGGAAGTGGACATTGATGGACTCGAGTTTTTTGCTATAATAGAGGGGGACGCATCACTGGAGGTGGAACCTTTTACCCCATGGGGTACGAGGTCTCCTTGACATTTTCAAAAGTGAACTTTTAGCTTTTTTTTATGTTTCTCCTTCTGACTTTACTAAAGGCAGTTGCATCCGTCGAATCTTTGAGCGAGCTCTTCACCGAGTCGCGTTATACAAACTCGCCATGACAACACCAAATACAGACAGGTCGCTGGAAAAGGACCCATCTGCCGTTGACGACAGCAGCCATGTCGAAGCCGACGGGACCTGCATCGAGACAATCGACGCCAGATCCGAGCGAAAGCTCTTGCTCAAGCTCGACCTGTACTTTGTCCCCATCATCATGCTCGTCTACCTCACCTGCTTCCTCGACCGGAGCAACATTGGCAACGTAAAGGTCGCCGGCATGCCCGAGGACATTGGCGCCTCGCCCAAGCAATTCTCGACGGCCGTTTCCATCTTTTACGCCACCTACGTCGCGTTTGAGCCGCCCTGGAGCGTCATGATGAAGTGGCTGACGCCGCGCATCCTCCTCACCAGCCTATGCGTCGTCTGGTCGCTGTGCACCGTCTTGACGGGCTTCATCCACAACGTGGCAGGGCTGTACGCGGTGCGCCTCGTGCTGGGCGCCTGCGAGGCGGGCCTGTTCCCCGCGCTGAACCTGTACCTGACCATGGTGTACAAGCGCCAGGAGCAGGCGATTCGCGTGTCGTACCTGTTTGTCTGCACGGCCATTGCGGGCGCGTTTGGCGGGCTGCTGGCCTACTGCCTGCTCAAGATGGACGGCGTCGCGGGGCTGGCGGGCTGGCGGTGGGTGTATATCATCGAAGGCATCTTTTCCATACTCGTTGCCCCGCTCATATGGTTTGGCTTGCCAAACGACCCGTCAAAGGCGTATTTCCTCACGGACGAGGAGAAGCGCATCATGAAGGTTCGGGCGATTCAGCGAGCGCAGTACATGGGAAGTGAGGACTTTAGCTGGGAGGAAATTCGCATTGGGCTGAAAGATCCCAAACTATACATGAGGTACGAATCAAGGTACATTCATCCTCGAGGCCGATTAATACTAACAGTTTCCTAGCGGCGCAATCCAGTTTTGCCAAGATATTCTTCTCTACGGCTTTAGCACCTTTCTTCCCTCCATCATCGTCAGCATGGGCTACAGCGTCATTCAGGCTCAGTACCTCAGCATACCGGTATACATTTTCGGCGGTCTCGCATTTCTGGCAGCAGCCTTTATATCAGACCGTTACTGTATCCGCGGCCCTTTGCTGTGGCTTACCAACGTGCCAGGTATTGTTGGGTACGTTCTCATCATCTGCTCCTCCAGCAACGGCGTCAAGTTTCTCGGGACGTTTTTGTGCGCCGTCTCGGTATATAATGGGCCCGGCTTGAACTTGACGTGGCTGAATGTGAATGTTGCGCCTCACTATCGCCGCGCGACCGCGATTGGCATGCAGCTCAGCATTGGCAATTCGGCTGGTGTGGTCGCAGGGCAAATCTATCGCACGGCGCCTTATAGGCTGGGCAACATTTTTTCCGTCGCGGCGTTGGGGCTCTCGCAGGTCCTTATTGTCGTGAAATGGCTGTATCTACGTCAGCAGAACCGGGAAAAGGAAAGATATCTGACGGGGGAGGAAGATGGACGTCGAGTTCGAACTGGAGATCGTGCGCCTGATTTCAAATATCATCTGTAGAAAAGCTTCAGGCGTTGTATGACGGAGCCATCTTTAGAGATGATGCATGAGATGTTAAACGATGAAAAAAATGCACCATGATTCGTGCATCCAAGGGTTAATTAAGCACTTTTATCTGCATGACGCTATTACTGACAAACAATCGGTTTTTGTTGTGTTAGGGCTGACGAGCACGAGCGTTAATAAAGGCAGACAACGGTGTGACGTAGCTGCGATGCGCGGCCCACCGTCGGCGCCATTGTAATTAACGGTTTCCTGTATCAGTACGGGGTACCGCCACGGCAACTGGCAAAAAAACAAAGGCATTAAGCTCAGTACGAGCATCAACCAGGATCCCCAACTATGTATAGCTTATTAAAGCTGTATTCGTTACAGACTTTACTACTAAATAGGTCTAGCAGTCAAAACAGTCTTTGCTGTCCTTTTCTGCCTTTTACTGGTAGTTTCCGAAACCAGCTAACACTTCGCTCCACATTGTACGCCACATCCATGCCATCCACTGAGACAATTAACAATCCCTCATTCCTTGCTTGGCACGCTTGGCTACCCGCTGCCTGATCAATGATGAGACGGCATTAAGGCTACATACAGCTGGAGCTGCGCCACTGTGCCGGCCGGCCCTGGTCCCTCATATATCGCCCCCCCACCTCTTTTCTCTCTCGCTGCCTTGAGCCAAAACTCATCGTTCGATCACATCACTCTTCTTCATCAACACCAGAACCAACAATACCCCATCTTCTTTTTCATTTGTATACATTCCCTTGCCTCCGTTTTTCTCGAGCCGTTTCCTTTCCCATCAACGGCATCATCTACGAGCGACAAAACGACGCCCATCATGCTCTCCACCGCCGTCCCTCTCTTTCGGCGGTCCGTCGAGGACGGCACCGTCAACTATGAGCTGCCACCGTGGTCACTCTGGGTCATCCTCATCGACCTCGTCATCTTTCTGCCTCTACTCTTCTTTGTACGTTTTTAGCCCCTGTGCTGTGCCTTCCTCTCTCGCGTCCCCCCCCTCTCTTTAGCTAACCAACCATGTCTCTTCTGTGCAGGCCACGTACACCGTCAGCACAATCTACCCCGTCTTCTCCATGGTCGAGGATGAGAACCCGCCCGCCTACGCGCCCCTCTCCGCCGACGAAGAGCATGCTACTGCCGGCGCCGCTTCCCATCTCGCAGCCCGCCCGACCGGCGGCGGGCCCCCCCGCACCGTCACCTCGTCCCTGCGCGCCGTCACGCGGCTCCTCTACGCCGTCGCCGGCTTCCGGGGCTTCTTTCGGGGCATCCTCTTGCAGCTGATCCAGCACCTCCTGGCCGGTATTCTCATCGAAATCTTCACGCAGGCTCTCGGCCTCGCCTTCACGCCTCTCGCCACGCTCCTCGCCTCCCTCACCCTCGTCCAGCTCTCCGCCGCCTGGGTCCACATTGTTCTCACCTACCCCGTCCCTGGCGTCTCCCACTTTCGCCGCCTCCCGCCTTTCAAGCGCGCCTTTGACGCCACCTGGCGGCCTATCCTCCTCAACTGGGTCGCCCGCGAGGTCGTCCGCTGGGTGCCCGCCGTCCTGTTCGCCATCCTCCGCGTCAACGTTCCCGAGTTCAAGAATGGCGGGCGCACCGACGTCAGCGACGTTACCGCCACCGATATGGTCAAGATAGTCGTCATAGCCGTCATTTCCGCCTTTGCCGGCATTGCCTTCGTCATCCCCACGCACGTCATCCTCGTGCGCGTTCAGGCGTCGCTTCTCCCCGTCGAAGACGACGCTATCATCCCCTTTGACCGCTCCTTCCAGGGCAAGGTCGAGCCGGCGGTCGCAGGCGGCCGTGGCTACGCCACCATTGCCGAGGCGTGGTCCACGTTTAGCCGCGCGGGCTGGCGCCGTCTCATTACGCTCTACATCAAGGCCTTTCTCGTCACGATGGGTGTCTACGCCCTCATTGTCGCCGTCGCTATTCCCGAATTCCTCCTCATGGTGCAAAAGACCTCTGGCGACGGCGATGAGCTGTAGGTCGTAATGGTAATAATGTAGGCAGGACTAGTGTGACAATTCAACTCTGGAGGAGCAGAGTTTCGTCTACACTTCTTTTGAATCTGATTTAGCTACTATCTGGTACATCACTCTAGCGAATCTACTAAGCATTTTCGATATATTTTTTCTTCGCATTTCGTGTCTTGTCCTCTCGCAAATTCTCTGATACGTGATTTTCATTCCATCCATATTATTTTCCCCATCCGTCCCTTTCCCATTGGAGCCAACTCAAAAAGAGACTTGAACCACCCCGGTCATTTACAGAATAGACAGTCAAGAGAAGAATAACATAAAAAACAAAAAGGTATATATATAAGAAAGTCAAAAGAGGTTATAATCAGCTGTTAGAAAATCGCAATCTTCACGCCGACGTGAGGATCTCAGCCCTCGGGTATGACATATTCTACCATCTATAACATGGAAAGGCACGCTTGGTTATATGCGTACATTCGGGCATGCGACAAAAGACGTTGCGAGTGGGAGGAGGGGAAAGAGAAGAAGAACCTGTGACCAGACAGCCATTGTCGAATCAGTTTTTAATAAACAAAAAAGAACGAAATCATCTTTTTTCTCGTCAGGACGCCCTTGATTTGGGAAATTAACAAGGTCTTCGTTTCATTATGGCATTCGTCGTCGTTGTCGTCGTCTCATTTTTCAGAGGGTGAGGCAGGTGAGCGCGCAGCGCAGTCCTAGCCTTTATGACTTGCTGAAGAACCAGCTTCCGCGCTTGTTGCTGACGGCGCCGTCCGTTTGCTGAATGTTTTGGATCGTAGGCACGACAGGGCCGTCTCCACCGCCACCGCGAAGGGGTTTGGCGATGCGGCTACCAGCGTTAGCGAAGCTGAAGCCGCCACCGCTCGAACTGAGGCCACGGGTGCTGCCGGCCTTGGCGGCCTCGAGGCGCTCCTTGACCGAGTTGAGTTGTACCTCGAACCTGGGAACCGGAAGCGTTAGCAATGTCGTGTGTAATTAAGAGTGTAGTGGCCACATACTTGTGATTGGCGGCAGCCATCTTTTCTTGGCTGTCTTGCAGCAAACCTTCAAGGCTCTGAATGCGCTCGTTGCGTGCAATCAACTTGCGCTCTGCAATGGCCACCTCCTTCTTCAGCGCAGAATTTTGCTCGACAAGCTGGCGCTGAACTTGCGTCAGCTGCTCCAGGTTTCGCTCCAAAAACGCCATCTTCTTCTGCTGGGCGCGGTTGTTTGATGATCGCAGAACATTGTTATACTGCTCGCGAGTCTCATCGAGAGAAATCTCGAGTTCCACAACACGCTCACAGCGGTTCTGCAAATCTCTCATCAAGCTCTTCTTCATAACGTCAAACTCGGCGATCTGCTGTTGAACCGTCTTGCCGTTGGCCATGGGCGCGGCACTACCAGACTTGACGCGCTGCTGGAGGTCCTCAATCAGCGTCTTCATCCGTGAGTTTTCGGCAGCTTTTTGCGATGCCTCGGCCTTGAGGTCGTCTACCAGCTGGATCTGAGCATTATGCCGGCCAGCCAGAGCGCTCTCGAGGCGAGCCTTGACTTCCTCAATGTCGGCCTCGCCCAGGTTCTTGGCCAGCACATCCTCGTACTCTTGTTGAAGACCCTCAAGTCGTACCTCCAGCTCGTGGCGGCGGCGCGAATCCATGTCGCTGGCGGGTACGCTGTACATCGACAGCTCCGCCTGTCGTACGATGCCTTGCGTCTCAATCATCTTGGTCTTGAGCGCCTCAAACTCCTCAGGAGCAATAGTGTCGCCAATCTTGCTGTGTTCATGGAGAGTCTCGATATGCTTGATGGCTTGGGCAATTTGCTTTTCGTTCTCGCTGAACACTTCGCCGCCCAGATCAAAGCCGGCCATCATCTTGGCCATCTTCTCAGCCTTTCTCTTCTCCTTCTCATCAAAAGCAACGCCATTCTCCTTGGCACTCATCTTGACATCGAGAAGCTGCTGCTTAACCTCATCAAGCTCAGCGGTAAGCTCCGAGTTGGCCTCCTTGAGCGCATCCATGGTGATCTGCGCTTCCTTGCTCTCAAAATTTAGACGCTCGAGCTGCATCTTGCACTCATTGACTTCGGTGGTAAGGCGCTCGTTTTCTTTGCCAGTCTTGCTGTCGTGCTCCTTGAGGAAAATCAGTTCCTCCTTGGTCTCGCGCATGAGCTTCTCAGCCGTGGTAGCTTGAGACTCTCGCTCGGCAAGCTGGTCCTGGAGCTCATTCTCGCGTCGGAGGAACTCTTCGCGCTCATCCTTTTCTAAAGCGATGACAGGGGTGCTGGCACGCTCCGAAGGAATTGGCGTCTCGGATCGGTTCTCGGCAGACAAACGTGACGGTGTCGAGGGGCGCTGTAGCTGTTTCGTCTCGGCGGGCTTCTTGGCGATGGCGTCGGTGATGGGGACGGCCCATCGATCCTTGGGAACCGCCTCTCCGGAGCGCCATTGATTAATTTCACTCTCAAGACTGGAAATATACGACTCAAAATTGGTGACTTGACCCTGGGCCTTTTTGAGAAGAGCTTTGAGCTCCGAAGGGCTGAGTTCGGCATTGACCTTGGCCTTGTTCTTGATGCTCTTGGCCCTAGTACCAAATCGCAGGGTTCCCAGAGTCTCGGCGTCGTTGTAGCTGCTAGGGGAGCAGTTGATGATGAGGGTGGTGCGACTGTTGCCACCAAGAGACTCTTGCAGGATTCGGGTCAATTTTGAGTCACGGTAGGGAATGTGAGAGGATTTTCCGTCAGTGAGAGCATTAATGACCATGCCGAGAGCACTCAAGCTCTTGTTGATCTTTTTGGCCTCCTCCAGGGTCTGGCCGCTGGCGCCAGTCTTCCCCACCTTTTCGCTGCCCGCCAAATCGACCAAGAACAGCTGACCGCTCTTCGCCGAGCCGGTTTCGACATTCTTTTGCGTGATGGTAATGACAAAAATCGAATGCGATCGTGATGATTCTTGGTTCATATTTGTAGCGGCGACGGCACGGGCGTTTCCACCTCGTCTCATGACCTCGTAAACTTCCTGGACACTGGAGACGTAGATTTCCAGCAGACCCTTGACGTAGACGCCGCGGTTCTTCTCCTCGTGGACGGGGAGATTGTCATTTTGCGGCGCCAAAAGATCTCTAATTCTTTCCATGTAGATTTCCATGTAGCTTACACGGACCGTGTACTCGATTGTGCTGGGGCTGGACATGATGCTGGCGAATATCTGCTCGACGATGCGGGGAATGACACCGCGCCCAGATTCGTCGTCGATGCTTGTACCCATCATGGTGTATGATTTACCGGCACCGGTCTGGCCGTAGGCGAAGACGGTTCCATTGTAGCCGTTGAGGATATCATCGACAGTCGGCCGGATCGAAAAGTCGAAAATGTCTTGTTGCTTGCAGTCCATGTCGAAGACTCGGTCGAAGGTGAAGGAACCCTGTGCTTCTTTGGACTAGGGACGAGGCCCGTGTTAGTCTGCCGAGTGTAAAAATGCGCAACCAGAGGCAAAGAGGCGAGAGGTTTGTGTCGGGAGACTACATACATCGAGCGAGCATGTGTCATCGCTCTGAAAGGTGACGATGGGCTTGCCCCCAGAATCGAGTTCGATTCGATTCTGGGGACGGAAGCGCGCGACAACCTTGATGCTGTTTGCCGCGGACATGGTGATAGCAGCCGGGCCAAGTCGTGGCCGTGGAGTGTGCGAAACAAATTAGAAAAACAAAGGGAGAGAGGAGATGTCGAAAGGGGGGACTGTTTCTCTGGGTAAGTTATGCCACGCGTGTGTGAGGAGCGTAGTGTGGACGAAGAAGCGGGTACAAGCACAGAGCCCGCCCACCCAACAATGCGGCAAGCTGCCTGGGCTTGGTGACGGGTACCTTGGTACCTTGACAGAGATATTGACGGCGCGGTACCTTACGAATCAAGACGGCGCGGCGCGGCGGGACGATGGTGGGCAGGGAATAAATAGGCTCACAATAAGGCGGTCAACATGGGGGCTTAGCACAGCAAGTAATCTAACATAATTCGCGTCTACATAGACCGTTCAAAAACCAACGTTTATGGAAAGACGCGTACAAGCATAAGTTGAGCGTTGTTATCAAAAGGTTCACGTTTCAGCCACTGGCCAAGGTACTGACTGATTAGTTATTAGTACCTACCTACGGGCAGGAACGGCAGGTGGGCGGCTCCAGCGAGGCATAAATAGGGTACCTTGCCACCCAGCCAGCCAATTCAGCGCCACGCGGGCTGTCATTTGCGCCAATCTGACCTCGTCAATGCCACCAATAAGTCCTCATTAATGAGGAGTGAAATTAAAAAATACAACCAAGATAAATTGTTAGGGGAGACGTATTGTCATTGAAATTTTCACTTCATAACTATCTTATAAATTGGCAGCGGCGCGTTGCGCTTCAGCAGCTACCACGCCATCCGACTTGTACTCGGTACTTCTGCCAAAACTGCCCCTCATCGGTGTTGCATCAGGCCTCTAGCTCCCTCTCACATGCACACTGCATCAAGGAGAATATCCATATGGCTCGCTCGATAACTGATTGGAGCCAGAACCGCTACTGATTAGCATCATTTTGATCAACCCGCCATACTCTATGCAGTCGCAAACGCTACATGGGCTCCTAAGGACCCAGCAAACTCCCAGCGCTTCCCAGTCCTGTCCGTTCACTGCGTCGGAAGATCACCGTCACAATCGTATACGCGAAAACAACATATCACTACAAGAAAGCACTTAAGTTGATTCGCAGACGCTAATCTAAATTGTTTCCCACTCCAGGTCATCTCATTTCCTCGACATCGCCCAAAACTCCAATGCTATTGCCATATCTCAGCCCTCGTCGCTTCCATGCGAGCCATCTTTGCCTGTCCCACCTCCGTAGATAGGATGAAAGGCTACTCACCTGTAGATAGCATTAATGTCTTTGCAAAAAAGATCAAAACGGAAACACCGTTCTATGCTCCTTATGGCCCATTCTTCCTCTTCATTCTGCTGCGAAACGCCATAAACTCTCTGAACCGTTCTTCGTGGCCTTCGCAAGCTGCGTTCCATCGTCGGCGCACATCATTGTCCTGCTGGATCCAGCTGATGTACTCTGTAATATCACTCTCTGAGCGTGAGCCCAAGAAGGCGTAGCCCTTAGATTCACGGTCGCGCCGAATGTGCGCATTTCTCGTCGCAAAGTGGTCGACAACCTGCGAATTGAATAGCTCCCATTCCTGAAGATACATTCCAAAATCGTCAAGGTACTTGTTCCACGAGCTGTCGCTGGGCATCACACTCTCGATAGCAACAGTAGGGGGTGGTCGAGGTGCGACTGGTGGTATGGGAAAGACAAGAGGCTGGACTTTGGGCATTTGCAACGGTACCTCGTCAGATGCCTTGGACTCAAAAGGTAGATTGTCCTTGAGGTCACTGAACGATTGTAGTCCTGCCTTTGGCTGCGCAAAGGGCGCTACATTCTTGAAATCTTCAAAGCTTGCTAGAAACTCCTCGCTGTCCTCAGAGCCTCGCGCATGCGGCACAGAAGGGGTTCCAACATGACTCGTCGGTGCAGATTTCTGTGCGGCTGACTGTGAGTTCTCGGTGGCTGGCTGCGCGTCATCCGATCGCCACTCAGGTCGGGTCGGTTCAACGTAAATGTCACGAGCAGACGGTGGTGGTCGAGGTGGTACCGCTGGAGGAGTATCTATGTCCATCGGGCTCTCTGTCGCCTGGTCTTGGGTCTGAGCCTTGCGTCCAGACCAGTCATACAAGTCTTCTTCATCGCTATCATCGATCACAATAGGATTATTCGCATTCGACTTGACAGGTCTATTCTTTCTCGAGTTTGTACGCGATGCCCTTGTTGGCGATGCTGAACCGGCAGGTGCTTGTTGCGGAATAAAGGTTTGCGGACCAAACTTGTCGCTCCAGCCGCCGGGATTGAAGCCTGTCTCATGTACTGGCGCTTCTGTTGTGCCAGGGTCACTGCTTGGCTTCGGGTTTGGTGACTCTGGGTTGGACTGATGAGCGCCCGGCCTATTAGTAGGAGAACCTGCGGTGAAATTCCACGGATTGTTCGCAGACTCTTTTGAGAATTTGGTATTGATGCCATCTAGGTTAGTCTTGTCAAAGCTGCTTTGATGAGCAGGACCTCGGCGTGAAGGTGACTGGCTCGAGGTATGGAAAGTATCATCGTCGACCTTGAAACTGAAGCTGTTATCGCGAGCTTTGTCAGCAAATTCTCCTTTTCTGTAAGACTCGTGTGGTAAATAAAATGTATTAGGGTCGTTCGCATGAATGAGACGAGCGAGCATTTGTTGCAGCTGCTGCTCAAACCGCGGACTTTCTTGCGGTGCAGATAGGCATCCACTAGATGCTGTGTTGTCAGGTTGAGGATTGTAAACACTTGATAACGATCCAAAGTAAAACGACGATGAGGCAGATTTGCTTCGGGGCGAATGTAGTCGAGGAGTATCGAGCGGATAGGTTCTGGGAATATTTGCATACATATTTTCCGTATCTGGCTGGGCATGAGTCGTAACAACATCTAAAAGACTGGTTAGAACAGCTTGAGGAACGTGCGGAGTAGACTAGGTGCATACTTTCACTGCGCGGAGCCTGTTGCTGGTAAGCAGATTTTGCGTAAGCACCTGCTGTCCCGCTGTCATGGTTATTGGCCCTCGATCGCCTGGTAGCATCGTCCCCTGAATTGCTAGCGGTCCTTTGTATGCCCTCAAACGGATCAATCTTTTCTCCACCATGCGTGCTGTACTGCGAGCTATAACGGGCATCCGATTGTGCACCATTGTCCCTAAACTGACTCAAAGGGTCTGGCATGGGAGACTGTTGCTGCGATCTAATGTCGTAATGCTGTGGCGCGGGTTTTCGGTAGGAAGGGTCATGCTGGGTCGCTGTTGGCCGAGTTGCTTGACCCGTGGTTCTCGTCCCAAATGACGCTTCGGCACGCTCCCTTCCTGTCTGCGTACGGGGAGGGGGCGGCGGCGGTTCGGGCTTTGCTTGTGGTTTCTTGGCCTGCGACTTACGCATAGTGTCAAAGGCCTTTGCTGCATTCTTCTTGGTTTCGGGGTCTGCATTGGTATATTGCTTGGCTGTAGGCGGAACACCAGCTGAAAACCTGGAGGACCACCTTTGAGCTCCTCCACCTGGAGCTGCTGGCTTGCCACCGGGAGGGTTGCGGCGTGGTGGTGGAGGAAAGTTTTGTGCGGCCTCGGACCATGGGTTGCCTTTGCGCCCAGATGCTGTAGGATAACGGCTGGTTCTACCACTGTAGGATGCATCGTATCTGGCTTTTTCGGTCGCGTCTCCCAGGACTTCGATTGCACATTGAATGATCTGAAACTTGGCATTCACTTCTTGCTCTCGTCCAGGGTTTCGGTCTGGGTGGTATTTCAGGGCTGTCGTAGTGTTAGCAAAGTTCTGGCACGTCCAAAGGATACAGTATCTCATCATACCGAGTTTGCGATACTGCTTCTTGATTTCCGTTATATCTGCGGTCGAAGGCAACTCCAGGTCCGCGTAATAATCTCGAGTCTCGCCCATTGCGCGTCTAGCCTACGCTGGCAGAGCAAGGGTGAGCTACTAAGATGCTTCAAATGGCAGCAGTATCGACATAGGGCTCTTCTTGTTGTGAAACTCGTATTTCTCGTTTGTCTGGTGATTTGATCGGGAAAGGCTTCGTGCGGGTAAGGTTATTGCGGCACTACAGTTCTGCGCAGTGTGCTTGAAGTTTTCGTTTTGGCAAACGAGTACCAAGCGCCATGCAAAACAACACGAGGCGGGTCTTTAGAGAGCGCTGTAGCTGTGAGAAAAACACTCGACGGTCATGTGTTGAAGTCAACGGCCTCGACGTATGAAGTGCGGTGAATAGGGAGAAAATAACCTCAAGCTTGCTAGCATGCGCGTTCTGGTAGGGGTTGTAGTTTATGCATTGAACTGCAAATGCACGTCGTCAGATCAGCCGTGGGGCTTGTCCCCGCGGTGACGCAGCGCCGAGCAGGTCATGGTGAGGCGCAGCGTGGCTCAGCTTCTGGCCTCAACGTTGACTGCGAACCAAAGTAGAGGGCCAAGGTTTCGGAAAAGTCGAAGATAAAAGAGCTGTCATTCATTGCGATTTCCTTTTCCTTTTGTGAACAATAATTACCTGTAGAAATAGCACTCGCTGTTGCGACGGTATAAGTACACCAGACGGCCAGGCCCCAGTTCAGAGTGTGCTTGGTTGTCGGCCAGCCAAGGCTCGGCCAACACTGGACGGTCACAAGGCTGAGCGGCAGGTACGAAAATTCGGTTGATATCCAGGGCCTAGTCTACAAAAATTTCTATAGTCTCACTACCGGCATGCCCATCCATGAACAGCACATGTGGTGTCGGTCACCATACATGGTGGGTGCATAATCGCTGTCGATCCCGCTGTACAACCCAGAAAAAGGCAAAAAGAAAGTGACAAGAGCAATGTGGTTAGCAAAGGTCGACGGTGACGGGGCAATATCGGTTATTGAGGCGTTGCCAGAGTTTCTGCCGCCATCTTGGCTTGCATCTTCTGGCGCGCAGCCAGGATCATCTCATCCCGCCGCCGCTGCAGGGACGCCTGTCTCTCTTCGCGATTGGAGCTCCAACCCTTGCCCTTGTTGTCGTCACTGGTTGTTATCTGAGAACCGATCTTGTCTTGAAGGTTGTATCGCGTGATGAGGTCGGGCTGCGTAGGCTTGTCCACCTGCCGCGTTGCCGGCGCACCATGAGCCGAGGCACTTTGGCCAGGCGGTGGCGGGGGCTGGAAGGTAACGGGAGGCTGGCAAAAAACATGTTAGGTTAGCGATCAGGGCGCCGCGCGAAAGAAAAAAAAAGCGACGCAATGCCGCGAAATGCACTCACTGTTTCTAGGCGGCCAGACAATATCCGCTCTGTTGTGCTTTGTATGTTGCCGCCGTTGCGCTGGAGGTCCCAGAGTATGCCTCGCCGGTCCGCCTGGGGAAACATTTGCTGTATCCGCTCGACCGCCACCTCTCTCGATCGCAAAAAGGCCTCGGGCGATCGTGTCGTCGTTTGAGAAGATGTACCAGAGAAGAATAGATAGCGAATGACTAGGCCGGCAAAAACCAGCACGCCTACAAAGTAGGGCAGAGAGATTTGTTCGTTGGCCATACTATTGATGCTGGCCGAAAGCTGCTGCCAGAGAGAAGCGGAGCGTCGCGAACGCTAACAAGGAACGGGAGATAAGGATTTCAATCGCGAGAGGGGAAAGCAATATGTCGTACGTCGTTCTGACGTCTTTGCGACTTTAGCAATGTTGCTGTAGCAGGCGGGCGTGGGATTGTCGGAGCTTGTGATGCCGGTTCGCCACGGCACGAGGGGATATTCGTGTCCCTCCTAAAATACCTAATGAGTACCGACCGATTTACTTGGGTAGTTTGCCTGGGTAAGCCAGCCGCGCATTCACCGGCGTTGGCCACGGACCCACTTCGGCAGGAACAGCAACTGCAGTTACACCAGAGACTCCGTAGGCAAAATGCTTTCGCCAAAACATAATTCCTCTTGAGTCTGAATAAGAAAAAGACGAAATCAGCTACATTATACCATCACCATACTGTTCAAATATTCTGCAATCAGCGCAAAAATTCGAAAGCCGTCTTACAACTCGACTGTCGCGTGTCTGCGGCTCCGCAGCCTTATGTGGATACGGGTCATATTGACCGCAACTGGGGCGCCGCCCAGACTAAGCATCACAAAACAAAACAGCTTTGTTTTTTTAAGACGGAAAAAAAAAGGCAAAAATAAACATACAGCAGCCGGTGTTCGCTGGTCGTCACCGACCCAACTACTAATCTGCCGGTCAGTAGGTTAACTTCAGCGGAGCAAACGGGACGCGGTGCTTTCTACTGCCTATGGCCGTATGTATCAGCTTTTCGCTACTCCTGCTCTATAACTCTTCGAGGATTTTCGAAAAGCCTTGCTTGATAACGGGTTTGCAACTTTGGCAGGTACCAGACTGTCAACAGCGGTTCGCACCGAGTTTCGTTGGCCGTCGAAAAAGGGAGGCGCGAGATCCTAACAATGTGCTCACGGGCTTCGATGCGAACGAGCTAGATGAAGAGCAGAACATATCTCCTGCCAGTGGCCACGCGTAGACGAATACAAGTTTGAAACACAGAATAGAAGGAAAGATTTTAAGAGCAGTATGAAGCACATCGGGGCTCGCCCTGCTCAAAATAAAATGGCAAACAAAAAAGTAGTTGCCAAGAAATTCAAGTAATAATTATCATATGTTCCTCTTCACTGAAAACCCGTGACGCTGTCCAACGCGCCAAACCAAGGCTAGTGCGGGTAAATTAATACTGAAAACCGACGACCATGGGTTGCGGAAGCACCAGCATCTTACAGTACACCATGTTTCCCCTTACCACGCGTCGCAAGCAATTGCGGAATAAATCATGATAGAAAACGTATTAACAATTCCCCAGCCTGCCGAGTCCTGCCGTGACACCTGCTTGTCGTGTAAGAAACATAATACAGACCGATTTCACAGCCAACGTGGCTAAATAACCAGATGGCCAGGAGAATTGTGACGCAATTCAAACCATTAGACTCCCAATACACTTCGTGTGTAGCTCAAAGAGTAGACCGAGACTACTAAGCCCCAACAGCCCCAGAGTTGACAGCTGTTTCTAGATCACTGTAATGCAAAGTGATTTCTCGCTGCACAACAGAGGTCAGAGCGTGTCAAGTACCGATTGCTTTGAGACGAAAACTTACTCTTTCCTTTTGCCAGTGGCTGGCATCCCAGACAATGTACCATCCTCTTTCATGACTCGGGCCAAGCATCTGAGGAGCCATTTGCTCATCTTTGGTGAGCCAGATCTGCAGCTTTCGATGCCAACGCCAGTTACGCCCATGCCTGATGAACAACGATTAGCATTTTTGCTACATAAAGGAGAATAAATTGCGTACAATTCCTGTGCTGCCATTTGCTGCTTGATATCGGCGGGACAGCTGTAAAATATCCAGAATAATGTCTCCTCATTGAAACTGGCAGTCTTGGTCTCAATAGCTTGAACGTTGGTGACATTGTAGCAATCAGGAAGACGAAATTTACTGGCGTGAACTGTCGGTTTCGGCAGATTATCGTCAAACAACGAATAAATCTGAGTCGAAATCGGGCTAGAGGTTCAAATTAGTATGGCGAAGGGGAAATGCGAGGTTGTCGTCTTACTCCGGTGATTGAATATCAAGACCCAGCGAGTTTGGGTCCATTCCAACGACCAATGCATGGTAGTCGGGATAATTGTTCATGAGCGTTCGCATACCCTTGAGCCCCCATTTGTCGGCATCGGGCATTCCAGCAAGAGGATCTACAGCGCCTTGTGCTTCATCTCCTTTTAACTTGTTGATAAGGCTATCCTGAAGCGACAGGCCCGGTGAGCCTCCTCCATTGCCAATGTTTGCGAGCTGTTTGCTTAAGCGATCAGCTGCCCGTGAACGACTGTCGTCTTCCGGTAGCTGTGCCGAAGAACCTGGACACGATGATAAGCAAAGTAAAATAACAAACGGTTATGATTGGGCATATCGGTACCTGCACCAATTGCCGAAACCTGCGATCTTGGCTCATTGGCTCTGTTATTTGCCGACAGTGCATTCAGTAAGCCATTCCCTCTGTTCCCTGTCAGCCCTGGAGATGATGCGCTTTGCGCACTGATCCCCAGCGACGACATTAAGCTGGCACTCCTCTCTTCACCATTAACGGTCCTGTTTAGAGGAGGAAAGTCATCCACACTACTTGGCGTGACCTGCTGTCCTAGTTGATGTCCGAAACGTAGAGAGCCCGGATTCGCCGTCGATCTCGGGTTTGAGTTGTAAAGCTCTTCTTGACCCGTATGTTGAGATGATAGAGGAGTTGGTTGGTTACGTTGCACGGGTGCGCTCACGTTCCTTGAACCAGCCGTCGACCACATCGAGGCTTGCGAAGGGTTGCCGAGTTGGGAGTTGTTCGATAAAGAAGGAAATTCGCTATAAAATTGAGTTAGCATCACATTCAAGAGCTCAAAGTCAGACAAAAACCGCGCATAAGAGCAATGATTACTCATTACCCTTTGACCACATCAGCGTAAGCCAGCCGGTCCGGCGACAGGCCATGTGCAGGCACCATAATTTTCATACGGTATCGCTGTGGTCGCTCGAAAGGCAGGTGTATCAATGCTTGAAGGGGACGGGGCGATTCGGTGAAAAGGATACGAGAATGTAAGAGCAGAATGGAAAGAACATACGATAAGTCGAGGGGTGCTGCCTGCTGCGATCCTCCTAAGCTTTGGGCAAAGCTGATACCTCCCCCCAGTTGCCGATTCGGAGTCTGAAAGCCTCCGTTGCTGTTATTCCCCATGGGTACAGCTCCGCTAAAGGCCCAGCTAGAGTTGCTATTTCCTGACGCTGCACAGTGGTCAATTAGCCCGTACGTGACAGTTGCGGAGTCCATCATCGTCAAATCGCTACCGTACCTAACTTTCCGTTCGGTAATCGACTCGAAACAGCACGATTTTGCTGCTGCTGGGGTTGCTGTTGTTGGCCTCCAAAGTTGCCTGGCATCCCTCGGAGTGTTTGCGGTACGCCGCCACCTGTGATCGCTACGTTAGCAACAGACATGAGCTGATGTGTCGCCGAGCGAGTTTCAGTAAACAGCCTGCGATCCCTTCCGTGGTGCCCGGTAGATTCGGCATCTACGCTTTGCGTACTGGATAGCGGCTCTTGCGCAAGGCTCGCGGCCAACACTACCGAGGAGCACAAGGTCGGGTAGCGCGATGGCTATAAGGGGCAGCATCATGCCATCACAGAAGCGCTCAGATCCATTTCTTCTGGGTATTCCAGTCCAGGGCGAGTCGAGTCGGATATGCACAGACGATCGCGTCGCAAGAACTCGAGGATGGAAGGAGGCGAAACCTACCTGGTCGATTCATGATTATCGTTGGCGCGCGTGGTTTTGATCAAGCGGTTTCGCAGGTCCTAGTCGTCAGAGATGGCTGCGCAAGTAATTAATCACGGTCGCAAACTTGAGCTGAGATTTTACAAGCCAGCAGCGTATGTGTCGATCGTGTTTGCTTTGGCGTTGCGTCCGACGAGCCCTGGCGCATCGTAAATGCTGTCCGGATTGAAGTGGGCCCGCTCCAACATCAAGAGCTGGGCCAATCATGAGACTGGAAATGGGGACGTCGCAGACGACTATTACTTTTGGTCGAGCGCCACGTCGCGCTGCAAGTGGTCTATTGGTTAAAGAAGACAATTACGTGAATCTACTATGCACATTGGGATGCAACGTTGATTTGACTTTTTGAGTTGATCACGTTGAGTTTTTGCCGCTCAGTGAACTAGGCTCCTGAAGCTCTGCTCAAATCCTACCCCAGCCACGTGCCTACCGATAAAGATGATCTTCCCGGAAGCGGGAGTGGGTTCATCACTGGTTGGAGCATCAATCAGCTCAAAAATCTCCCTTACACCTTGTAACATCTTTATCTCGCCATTGTCGAATATCAGCCGACCTTTGCAGCGGTGTATTTCGAATTTCTGGGCTTCGTCGGTACCAGGGAGCTCATTCTCCCACAATACTTGCCTGAGCCACTTGTCAACTTGCTCAAGCTGGGTGGGCTTCAGCGTGTCTACTGGGATTGTAATGGTTGATAGGTTCTGAGAGGGTCAGTCCATGTCACACAGCCGCGCACTTCATAAATATGACGCAAGTGCCGAGAATTGAACTCACAGGATCAAGGTGACTGTGCGCGTTGGTTTTCGGTTCCGGTTCGTTGAATTGATCGTAGGCGTGCAAGTCAAGCAGGAATCCTTCCAACTTCGGTACAACGCTCTTTTCCGTGATATGGATCTTGGCCAGGCCGTTTATAGACTGTATTCGGTCCTTCACGCTTTGCAGCTCTTCTTTGGTGACTAAATCCGCCTTGTTGATGACGATGACATCTGCATGCGAGATTTGAACGTGAGCGGTAGTCATGACAGGGCCGTGTCCGTCATGGTCGTGGCCTTCAACCTTGCCGCTGGGGTCGTCGAGGCTCTTCAGGATGTTCTTTGCATCTACTAGCGTCACAATACCATCAAGATAGATTGTGCTGCCGAGGCCGTCGTCGACCCAAAAGAGAGGGGCAAGGTTGCCGGGGTCAGCCAAGCCCGTGGTCTCTAGCAAAATGTAGTCAAATGCGCCCTTCTTCGCCATCAGTGACTCGATTGCGTTGACACCAGTGTCCCTGGTTAAATTAGTTTTTCGTTGCGCTAACTGGGAAAATTTGAAAGCTCACTTGACTGAGCAACAGATGCAGCCATTGCCAACTTCTAGCCACTCTTCCACTTTTTCGTCGCCTTTGTTGACGGTAAGTGACTTTTCAATATCCAACGCTAAATCGAGTCAGTAGAGTCTCCAGTTGATTACCCGAATTTCATCTCACAATCTCCGAATTCTGTTGCAGAGATGAGTCAGTCCATATTGCAAGTCATCGACTTCTGGCGTCGTACCATTCATAATCACGGCAATTTTCTTGCCGTGTTGCGCCGTAAGAATGTAATTCAACAATGTTGTTTTTCCAGCTCCAAGATAGCCTGGATGTTGTTAGAGGCCATTCAAGTGCTCAGTATAGCAGCTCGGCCCAAAGCCTTACCAGTGACAATTGTGATGGGCACTTTGACAGCGATTTCCATCACCTCCTCCAGTCCCGCAGTATCAACAAGCTCTGGAGGAGCGTCATCGTCAAAATTCATGGCGACTTCTCTAATTCAAGCCGAGTAGCGTTCCGGCAGTGCCCAGTTGCCAGGTTTTGGTGATCCAAGAAGGGCGTTTCGCGCAAAGTTGGAAATGCCGCCCACTGTATTTCTACTATTCATGTCAAGGGTAGCTTGGAGTCTTAGCTTGAAAATGCTGATGATGTAACCGCAGGCGAAGACCAGCCACAGGTGCCCACAGGCACGACTTGTGGCGAGTGTGTTGCATGCATTTATCGAGCTTCACCCGCCAAATTATGCAACTAGTGAATTCGCGAGACTTGAGCTCACAACAGGAGAGTCTACATGCGCAAGCAACCGTGCTTCCTGTACCATTGAAAGCTGAGCCTACCCGAACTGTATAAGCTGCCCATTATCTGTAATGGCGCTGGCACCCAGCTCGCCGAGGCTGCCCAGCCCTCCGCCGGCTGCCGAGATCCAAATGACGCCTAATTCACCGTCTGGAGGTCCAGCTGCGACACTCGAAACGACACAGATGGAACAGTCTCTTCTTGACGCCAACTCAAAACGAAGGATACATCCGGGAACAAAGGCTGCTGATATGGCGGCTGGTCCGCCCCTTGTGCCTCTAAGCGAGGTGAATCCTTTCCCTCCGAGCCCTATGCGGCCGTTCAGACGCGGAAGAGTCGCTAACTGGTTGCACGACTACAGCTAGAATCAGCATTCTCGCTCCAAGAGCACCTGGCTGCTCTACATTACAATCTCACAGCGCAGGGCACTCGAGCACTGACGCGGACCACAGCCCACCAAATTGCGCAGCCCCCGGCCGGTATCGATCGAACGCTGTGGCTCTACGAACTTTGCCGATTCCTCATCTCACAATGCAACGCCCTCATTGTCGGCTTTTTATTCGACACACCGCCATGTAGTGCTGCGACCTGCCCAGAGATGCGCGCATCCGAGTGGCAGTTTCTCTGTGCTGTGCATGAACAGCCCAAGAGCTGCTGCGCAATCGACTACTGCTGCCATACTCTCGACTGGGCTGCAAACGTGGTATCAGATCAAAACATTTTCCCGAGCCGCTTCATGATACTGAACGACGCACAAAGCAAACATGTCGGCCTCAAGAATCTGGTCAATGTTTTTCGTCGTTTGCACCGCATCTTTGCGCACGCATGGTTCCAGCATCGCAGCGTTTTTTGGGCTGTGGAAGGGCAGAGCGGGCTGTATGTCTTTTTCAAGACAGTCTGCGACCTCTATGACTTGTTACCTGCAGAGAATTACAAGCTTCCGCCCGAGGCCGAGGGTCTCGAAGCACCAGAGGCCGTCCCCGAGCTGTCTGCGAACAAATCACCGACTGCGACGATTCCTTCAAGAACCTATTCGAGAATCTTGAAGCCAAGCTCACCACCGCAGGAAAATGCCGGCGGTGCAGCAGCCAGTCCCGAAGATAACATGCAGCCACATGACCGAACCACGACGAGGCGGCATATTAGAAGTAGCCCTTCGACAGGCAGCGCCGTGATGACCGTCATGGAGACGGATGAGGAGGAGCAGGACTCGGTGACGCGAGGACTGGATAGCATGCACCTAGGTGTCCCATCGCCGCCCAATATGTCACGATTTGCAGACGAATCCGAGGTTGCAGAAGTACCCGTCGTCGTGAATGAGGAGGCATCGGACAGTACATCAACGGCGCATCTGAGCAAAACAAGCGAGGCTGACGATGAGTCTGAGGATGCCAACAAGACGGGCGCAAAATGGGCCACTGAGGAAGAGGCGAAATCAGGGCCGGCAGTTGATGAAAAGAGCGCTAGAGTAGCCGAGCCTGTTGCCGAGGACCTCTCCACCATGCCAGCGGCATCAGACGCGTCATCATTGTCTTCAGACCCTTCAGCACAACCAGAGGCAGAGGAGAAGAGCGCGGACGCTACATCTGCTGACCAGGACAGGCCAGCGGCAGGCAATAATTCGGTGACAGACGAATCAGACGGGCCAGACCGGGAGGCTACTAATGATGCGGATCATTCTCCGAGCAGTGGCAGCGAAACCACGCCTGCGACGACATCGTCCGCAACCACCACGGCATCACCTCTCACGGATTCGTCAAAGGAAGAAGCAGTAAAAGAAGACCAGTAATATGCACTATTGTATTCTACTGAAGCAACCCACGATTCTTGAGCCCTCTCATCACAACACATCAATGATTGCTACACTCATACAAATAATCTCTAGCCAATTTGTAGGAAACGATACCTTTTATTCCCATGGAAGGGTGCATCCCTGTAAAAATTTGACCAGGATTTACCGACTGTAAATCTCTCGTGTCGATTATGCCGTGTCCCATGGTCCATGGGACTTGGCAATTGGGAATTTAGCCCAGCTGGGGCGGCGCCACGCATCAGCCACTTTCCCCTTTACCTTGGTTTTTTTTTTTTTTTTTCCTTTTTGTTTGCGATGCCAATTACTTCACCCATTGTCATCGCACTCCTCTCTGTACTACGACTGCTATCGACCTGCTGGACGGCCTCCTCCCAGACGACGGACTTGCTGGTGTGGACGGTCCGAGCTGTCAGATGAGCGGATCATGCTGTCGACTGCAAGAATCCAGCGTTCAAGACCCTCGACATTTTGCCCGCAACACGCCCCATACCCATCCATCCATGTTTCGGGTATTTTTTTCCCTTGGTCTATCGCAAGCCTCTTTCTCCACAGGTCTCACAGCCAATGTTTGCAAACCAGGATAGCGCTGCCATCGATTTTTTTCTTTCGCTCCTCGTGTATTCGCATTCCTGGCGCTTTACCTTTAGACCCTCCGTCGTGTGGTCGTTTCTTTTTTCCTCTTGATGGCTCCAGAGCGGGGGTGTATATAGCAGGGGAGCGAAGATAGGGCAGGTCGCCTTGACAAAGAGAGAGAGAGCTGGCCGTTTTGCCTTGTCCGTCCAATATGCTATTAGTTGCTGTATATACTGACTTTGATTCTTTGCTTTTCCGTCCCAGTGCCGGCTAGTAGAGTTTCGTCGAAACTGAATACTGTGATGCTCGATCAATGACCACCGCTCTCATAAGCGCTCATATGTGCTCATACCAGCAGGCTATGCAATGCGCTACCTAATCGTTGCCGCCAAGTAGACTGATATATGTCTAATAATGAATAACCAAAATATGCATCCCTTTTCCACCACACCTGCGTTCGCTGCCGCTTTATTGTTCCATTGCAGCTCCAAAATCAAGCTTATCAAACAGTTTCCCTACAACTCGAATATAGTCAAGCTGCGCACCGTCCGCTGCATTATGCCGTTCATCAGCAAAGTTGCGAATACTTTGCAGTATCGGGCTGAATCCTTCGCCGTCAGGTAGCCACCACCGTATCGCCTTGTCGTCACGGAACAGTTGTGCTATTTTCGACCGAAATGGGAGAGTCTGGATCGACCTGTTTCAATTTGGGTTCAAGTGTCAGCGTTGACTCCCGAAACAAAAGACACTGACTGCGTGTATTGAATCGTCAAGCCAAAATTGTCCTAATCGACCGTTGCACAATGTGCAGTTACATACCCCATAGTTTCCAGAAGCGCAAATCTTCGCCACAACCACACGCGATGGCGCGTATCCCGGGGGAGGAAAAAAGACACGAGTGCCAGAAATATCCCGAGGCCTGAAACAACACCCTTTGGAGTTGCAGGCCAGCACCCCAAAGCTTCGAACAGTTGGCATACGGCATAGCTGTGAAATAGTAAATCCGCCGTAAGTTTGTCGCGAGAAATCGTCTTGCCCAGCGACTTGTGCAATATGATTAGCGAGTGCCATTCCACCAGTACGATAGTCGAGCTGAGAAGAGGGGGATGAAAGAGCACCCCCGGCTCGCATGAATCCACGATATCGTCTGCATCTGGCGCCGGCCGCCACGAATAATCACGAACAGCGTAATCCGGCATCGTTAGCGACGAGTCCCATGTGTCTCTCCAACACTTCAGTTGAATTGCGAGTTGCTCGTGCTCTTCGAAAAATCTCGACTCTAACATCTCTCCGTCTGCTGCATCCGAGAATAAGACAGACATGTCGTATCTGATGATGTGGAGTCGTATCAAACGCTCTTCGGCTCGCCATCGTATTTCATTCGGCTTCTGCTTGATTTTCTCTCCGTAGTACGCGGCGGCATCGGATAACCAGTCTCGCGATAGCTTCGACCGTGTCAATCGGAGGAATGAAATGCCAGCATCGAACCGAGAATACCACGTCAGACAAATCTGGCCAATTCGCGTCTTCAGGATTGTTTGGGGCGTGAATAGTTTCGTTAAAAGCTCCAAAGCCGCTCTTTGATGACCCATCAAATTGAGCCAGTCACCTAGGTATTCCTGTATGAAAACGTGTTAGGAATTATTAATCAAACATGAATGGCATTGAGTAAAGACGATTGCCCGACAAACCTCTATTGTTGCTAGTTGTAGAATACTCAGGAGCGTAGGGAGATTATGCGTCTGCTCCTCTTTTAAACACTCCAAAAGTAGCGTGATACTGCGGTTGTAGTAAAGTAAGAAGTCTCCAAGTTTTCCGTCTGGTTGTTCGGCGCTTCGCAAGTAAGAAGAGAAGGCGACCACGGCATTCAGCAACAGCCGATTCTTTGATGCCTCGATAATCATACCACGAACAAAGAAGTTGTCTGTGTCGTTGGTGAGAGAATAATGATGGGGAGTCACGTTCTCGTATAGATACTGCAGGTGAAGTTTGTAGTCGTTAGGCAGATTGGACAGATTCTGATCTCCCATCAGAAGCGAGTGGAAATTGGGTTGTTGGTGACCGGGAACAAGTTGGTCTACCAGGGTCGATGTAGCGGAAGATGGTGACAGACTGTAATTTCCACGCGAATTGCGATCCGATATTTGTAGAACAAGCTTGCTTTTTAGTGCATGCTTTGGAGATGTGCTGTCTTCATCCTCGTCTGGTATCGTATCGAGAGCCCCAGAGCGCTTAGCGTCATCTTGCTCTGCGTCCTCGGAGTTTGAAGATGTCGGGCTCTGAGTCGAGGCCGAATTGGAGGTGGATTCTTTCTGTCGAGTGCTACCCTTGGATATTGATGCATCAGGATAGACGCAGTCTCGACCCCCTTTGCGACAGCCTGGAAGAAAGTCAGGTCAGAGATGTGCGTAATACAGACAATGTTGGAAACTCTTACGCTCACATATTGGGCGAGCTTCATCGCACTACAAAGTCGTTAAAAACCATTACCAGGCCCAAACGAAGATGAAGAATTACCTTAACTCTGCGGCCTCGGCAAGTAAAACACCCAGATCTTGTTCTGCGGTGCTTAATCTGTTCTGTTTCCGTAGCGGCTGCCGAAGCGGATTTTCGCCTCCCTTTGGATATTGACTGCTGAAAAGCAAACGAGGGCCCTGGAAAACCAGTGAAATGTCCAAAGTTTTGGTAATTGAGAGGGACGGTATTGATGGGCAAAGGTTGTCCAGCTAAAAAGGAATGGTTAAGCTCTTCTTGGCTCCTGGGCGCGTGCGCTTCTGCGCCTGCCATGACCGACGAAAGAAACTGTGGATAGTTGTCCGCCATGACGCCCCTCCCACCAACTGCAAGGAAGTCGTATTCCTGATGTTGGGTATGGCAAGCTGGCCTAGATGCAGGGCATAGTAACTTGGGGTTCTCAGCGTCGCAGACGTGCCTTGTTGCCGGGTTGTTCCGAATTGCTGAAGAGTAAAGACGAGAGGAGCTCAGAAACAAGAAGGCGAGGCGTGACCAGGATAGCATGTGAGGGCTGAGCCGATAAATCAAAAAGTTTATCCGTAAATCAACGCAATCATTCAAAATACACCCTGCTCGTTGCTGGAGCGCGCATTCAGAGGGGTTGAAGTCGGCGCCGTTTCAAGGGAAGGCCCCAGAGGGGTGCAATAGAATGATGGCAGTGGAAGAGAAAGCTGAACTGCTAACGCGGTTGTCCACTAACAGCCTGTTATATTAAATGGGAAGGAATCCCTACTTCAATGAGGCGCTATCCCTCTTCTGCGACCTGTGGAAACCAAGGGAATGGTAGCATAGGTCTGGCCACTGTAGGTAGACAACGGAAGTAGCCGAACAACGCGTGTTATTCTTTCAAAAAGAGCCACAACTTAGAAAGAGAGCTGTTCAAGCCTGTCGGCGGAGGCGAGGAGCGAGAGGTTGGGCGTCCCTGCAAATGAATTACACTGCTTCTCAGGGCAGAAGACGTTGAAAGGGAGGCTGACGGCTATTTTACCAATAAATCTGCGTTGAGTTCGTGTCCGTAGCTCATGTATGATACCACCGCGGGGTTTGTCGTTTAATAAGAGTGTGCTGAAAAGCGCTGAACCTTGTTGCAGATCACACCAATGGATTGGCTGCCAGCTCGGGGGTCGTTGACTGGCTGGGGCGTAAACCCGGGACAAAGAGCTGCCGGAGACTGCGGTAGATTTGTAGGATTAACTGATCTGTACGTGAGAGTATGCCAAAGAAACTTGTCGGAAGCGGAAAGGAAACCGAGGTGACGTGAAGGAGGAGGAACCAGAGGCCAACGGAGGAGAATCGGCGGGTAGAGCAAGATGGCTCCGCCCAGAGCAACAGTCGTAGATTTAGACGAGCACCCACCGTGTCAGTCTGAATGAAGCCTAATTGCCGCAATCGCTATATAGTTTGGTGGCACAGAAAAGCATAGGAGCCTTGAATCTATGAGATGTGATCAACCTGTCGAGATGGCTTAGCGAGTCAACATATTTGTCTTTCGTGGGCGTGTTACACACTCGGCGTCGTGGGTGTTTCAGACACCCAGAAAACCTTTGATTATGCAGCGACCTGCAGAGGCTAAGGCATCCCAAAAGGAACCGAATGACGGGGAACTAACCAGTCATTTGCAGGCAGACATTCAAGGGCAGCCAAATCTAGCACCGTCCCGCTAGCTGCAGCAAGCAGGGTGGTCACCTGAAGGGGAAAGATGGGCCTGGTCACACTGGGAAATGCGACGAGTGCTGATGAAATGGTAGCGCGGAGGTGTGAATGATTTTTTCGAAGAACCCTGTCGAGCTACAATGCAGCAGGATGGAGAGTTCTGCCCTGACTCATCCGAATAGGGCAAGTGACAAGGGAGCGACTAATGAAGGAATAGTACAAAAGAGGCCTCAGAACTCAATATGAGAAAATTGAAAGAGCAGAGAGGAGGATGTATGAGGTAAAGTCGGAGAGGGAGCTTTCGGTTCGTCTAGTTACCATGGCCAGCTCAAACTGGGCAAGGGAAGCCGTTAGTGCTGGTAGCCGTCCAACCCTTATATCATTATCGAAGATTGCTCTTGTTAGTGCGATCATTCCAGGCACGCAATTGAACAGCCCGCGTAGGCCTCATAGCACAGGAGAATGGAGGGGAGGAGCAGGCAGAGCGGAGACAGGAGAGGAGCGAAAGCCTGTCAAGCCAAGGGGACCTCCAAGAGCACCTCCAAGAGTACCCCCAAGAGTATCATTTTGTGAAGTCTAGTTGCGACGACAGTGAGGGAGCACGCTGATCTCTAAAAGGGTAAATTGACGAGAGCCTGGTGTAAAAGCGTTCTGGAACAGGGCAACGGTTCCCAGCTGTGGAGTGCTGATAATCGTTGCCGTGTCGTGGCTAGACAAGGACAGGGCACGGTGAACCACAAAAGACCATCGTCAGCCATCCACCAGAGACCACATAGTCAACTATGAGGACCGGTAAACTGGCTGAAAGATGGGGTTGGTCCAATAGGTAGCACTGGTGGCGGGTAGTATGTATGAGTGGTACGCACTAATGGCGGCGATCTGGGACATTGCTACCGGCCACGGAGGCTCCGCAATGTAACAAAGAGAGGGCCAGAGCTACCTTTTCAGCACAAGTGGATGCTGTTTTTTTTTCTGATTATTATCAAGCATTGAATCGGTTCCTATAGCGTGATCCGGCAGAGTGATGTTGGGACGAGCAAAGAGGTCTTGCGTGAGCGATTCGTTGTGCACGGAGCGCAACGACTGTGAGTTTTCCCGTTGTCCCTGTCCGGGTCTGGCCGAAAAGCGCAGCAGGCGCGGCAAAAGTGCTGATGAGGTGGCATCACGCATTTGGTGATGGCAGCTGAGAAGGCCAGGATGCAGCCAAATATGTAATCCGTAGACTGCGTCCGATCAGCCAAGCCACTTCAGGCGGGCAAGGTCCTGTGGGGGATCACCGTCGAGCTGTATGCGTGCGTTGAGTGGCCTGTCGTCGTTTGACGATGGCTGGCTTAAATCCGGTAGGCAGGGCCGCCGGGTGGGCTAACCATAAGTTGAAAAAAAAAAAAAAAAGGCCATGATGATGCAAGATATGGTTACAGGGGAAACGTAATGAGCACATGGGCTTGTCGAGGAGGTGTAATCCGTAAGTTTCGGTAATATCTTTGGTTCGGCTTTGCCGTTCTGATCCCGGTGACGGTCTTCGCTGGTCATGTGTGTGTTTGGTTTCGGGCTTGGCATGTCCGTCTTCCTGACAGTATTGCCCAACCAGGCAAGCTGCAAGTACCGAGTAAAGCAGGATAAAAAAAAACAGGTACTATGTATTTAGCAGTGCAATAATGTATTATGTAGATAACGTCGACCCCATTGCAGGTGTGCCTTGGTTGCCAGTGGCTTGGCAATGCACTCGCTCAAGACAAACGCGGCAGTCGCTCAAGTACCGTGCTGAACTTGGTTAGTTTGATGTGCTCCAACCAGTGTGAGACCAGAACAAAGGCAAACGGGTAAAAGCAAACGGGTAAAACGGGACAGACGGGATTGGCTCCCAGCCAGCGTTGTGAGGTTTATTAATTTGGCATGTCGATGCCGGGCCATCTACCATTGACCAGTATGTACGTGCTTCTGTCGGCTGGCCATGCATCGTCCAGCACACCCACACTCCACATATCATGTCCAGTACGGATTAGATGCCTGCAAGGTTCGTTGTCGACTGGTCCAAGCTTTGGGGTTCCCGCATCCACGGCAGTTGACAGGATTCAGGCAATTCAAGCTAGCTGGCTCGTGATAGTCTGATAGACGAGCTAGCGAGGGATGCCATGGAACTTGAAAGCCATCAAGCCATGTCTGGAGAAAAAAATTCATTAACTAGCAACTACTTAAGATTTGCTACTTGTAGCCTGTAGGCAGGCGCAGGCAGCCAGGCAGCCACAGCCGCAAAGCCACTTCCCCTTCCCTGCTTATTAGTGGCTCGACCCTGCCTGCCCAACAGCGCCCAAACGGCCAAATCTGATTTTGACTTTTCAATCAAGCAGGTTTGTGCGGCTTTTCCCCATGTCCAATTCCCTTTCTCTCCTCTGTCAGTTAATGGGATCCACCAAGAGTAGAAAACCTTATTCTCCATTTCCGTTGGTGTGTGGTGGTATGTAGTAGTAAGCCACCTTGTGGTGGTGAGGGTCACAAGGCGGGCAGTAATTTGTAAATGGGCAATGGTAAATGGCAGCTGCGAATTTGCAAAACAAAAGGAAGCTCGTACCAGCCGTCCTCAGATACCAGATTTTTTTTTTACCGAGTACAGGGGATGCTATTTGCCATGGTCTCTCACGTAGACGACAAGCCCCTAGCGACAGCCTCGATGACTTGGGTGGTAGAGAGTATTTTTTTTATCGCAGCTCGTATTTGTCGCTTTGAAGCCTGTAATTTTGTCAGTAGACCATCATCCAGACTTGTACGTCCGGGCAGATGGCATGGACTCTTCCGGCCATCGTTTTTCTCCTCGAGGACGATCAAAGACATGGGAGCGCCAGATCTATATAGCCAGAGAGCTGGTATCCATGACATGTTCTTTATGATCCTGTCATATGACATGGAAGACATGGAGAGTGATATACTGTATAGGATTCCCGAGTTAACTCCGCCCCAGACGATTTATTACGCGCTGTAAAACTGGGATCAGTCTTTTGCAGCGCCCTGTCACTGTCAGTACCCTAGCAAGGATTTCCCAGTAGCCTGTATCAGTAGGCCCATCTCCTTGGCGCGACTTCCGCTTCGCCAACATGGCCAAAACGTATAAAAATGCTCTGAAACATGGCAAAGTATCAGGCCTATATAGTATAGGCATGATCGGAAAGCTGAATCACGGCACCCGTGATTAATATAGATTAATATAGATTGACCTTGAGCCACCCCTTGCTTCTCCCCAACACATTTATTATGATAAACTTGCCATCTTTCCTTTGGTTACCATTTTATTACAGAGTGTTGCAGTTCCCAGGGCTACCCGCAGTCGTTCGACCTGTCTTGGCCGCGTCCCCACCGCTGATGGTGATCCTTGACAGAGCCGGAAACATGGCCTCGCAAATTCGAAAAAGATTCGATAGTACGCGTCAATCTTGCAAGTTGCCATTTTCAGACTACACACGTTTTATTCGTAATTCAAGGAAGCAACTGGACCTCGAAATTCACGCCAAGTATACAAAGTAATATGGTGAAAACGATGGACCTGATGGACGGCTTTGGTTGGCGGGCGGCAAAGTTTAAACTACAACCGTCCCCGCATAGACTTTTATAACTATTAATTAGTTAATACTTTTAGTTATTGCCTAGGTAAATAGTGCCCACTACGAATAAATATCCGTACTTGGCTAGCCACAACAATCCGTGCGATGCGTGCGACAGGGGTCACGGCGTACCTGGTAAGAGGCCACCCAGTGGACAGAAAATATGGCGCTAGTCTAGGTACCTACAACAACCGCTAATCATGGGTGGAAAGCAGTGTATACCCGCCATGTTTTTTTGTCCACCACTTGGGAGGCCAACTACCTAGTGCATTCATGCACGAGATGCCACTAAAAGGCGATCTAAACAAAACAAATACGAAGCACACACATATTGACACCATAATTTGAGCTGCGACACGCCCTTGCTGGCCATTCATCACAACAGCTTTTCAGCCCATTGTCTTGCAGAAATGAGACTCATTTGAACCACTATGGCACCCCCTTTTGCAATGTCCAAGAGCATGCTGAGCTGAAAAGATAACAGCGTTCAGTATCCACCGGGCTGCAGCGATGTGGTACGTCAAAACTCCACAATTGCCAAAAAAGTTAAAAAGTGTGACGATGATTTTTTTTTCCCTGATCAACATCCCCTTGCTCCTTCACGCGGCGATTTCAAGATCCCGTTCGCGTGCCGAAAAGGCTCCGTGGGGCTGTTCAGACGACGGGATCCCCAAAAGAACCAAGTTCCGAAGAGTAGCCCCGCAGACACAAACATGGTATTCAGTAATCAGTAATCCGTACCGACCAAATATTCCAACATCTTTTGTTTTTTTTGCAGGGCAAAACTATTTATGGGGCTTTCGACCCAACGGCCGTAAGAGGTCAAGATATGCCCGGAGTCGTACCTATCAGTATTACGTATACAACCGGACGGCGGCCCAACATGGGCAATTACCGGGTGCCAGGAGGCCGGGTTCCCGGGGCATACTTATTAGTGCAGGCTCTGTAGGACTTGCAGGCCACCGGCAACGGGTGTACAAGTACGAGTGCCAATGGTAAGTTAACTGGTGCTATCGGCTAGTCACCTAGTCGCCTAGTTTTGCTACTGCAGCTTCTGTAGTTGTTAGTTCCTGTAATGTCTGTGCTAAATAGGAAAAGCCGCCAACGAACCCCCCACAAGTACCCAGGACCTGCTGGCATGAATGTCCATGTTTTGAGTCATCGTGATCCCTATTTACTTGTTATCCCTTTGTTCCCCGCGCTGGCCCACTTGGAGAATATTTGGTACCTGGCCTGGCTCTGGTGTACCCATTGTTATAAGTCAAGATGCAGCCCTGTTTCAATAACTTGTAGGGCTTTGTTCGCTTTTTCGGCATACTCGGTACCAACTACAAACTAAAACAATCAAGCTTTTGCGGCTCGAGCCCGAGAGAGGGGTGGGATGAACAAGACATCCAGAGCCACGTCACAACTCCTGCCCAAATTGCCAAAACAGTTGGGAGATTTCCAATGTTGGTACCGACTTCTCCATCGTTTCCCGCTGAATTACAGCTCGGTCGAAACCCTCGTGTATTCTCTTTGGTGAACGAGGGTACTTGTCTTCTCTTTTATTGCTGTGGAAAGAAAGCATGTTCTTATTTTATACACTGTCAATTAGCAAAGACAAACCGCCTCATCTAGGTTTCTATAGAAGCCGAGTTCTCGTCTTGCCTAGGGGGTTACCCGCGCCGCGCATCTTTGATCTCGACATGAGAGTCTATTTGACTCGAGCCTCAGTGGACGAGGCCCGGGCTGAATAGAGAAAGCACTATTCGTACATCATCCAAAGCCACAGGCTGTCTAGGCGGCTTCAGATACCCGTTCTTTGCTAGCTAATAAAACGTGGCTTGTCCAATATCACACATAGCCGTCATGCAGCCCAAACTCTAAAATCCATGAATACGAGTTCGGTATCCCTCAACAATGCAAGGCTTTGCTCTACCGAGGCTGTTATTGTGCAATTCGAAAATCTCTACTGCTTGTTCAGTAAACAAATATTTGCAGAGGCCCTAGCATCGAGATCGCCATGGTTTCTGGTAATGTAAGTGGCGTTGCGATTGTCTATCAAATTGTATACTCCCACGGGAGATGTTAGCCTGCATCGAAGCCGTCAGTCTTTCGTCATGCGTATCGATCATACATTCAACTTCTGAAAGACGCATCTCAATTCGAGCTTTCGAGGTACTTAGCCGCCAAAAGCTGTCACAAGGCTAACGCCACGAGTGGTCAGCTCCTGGGAAAATGACTCGACCGGGACTCGACCGGGTGATGTTCCCCAAGGACAAGCCATACCCGACGGGACCCCATCCGCTATCCGGGCAGGCTGCATGATCTTGTGTGAAGATTGGACACTGACATGAAAACTTTCTCAATCAGGAACTTGCAAATTAGTTATAGAGGTTTCACCAGTGGTACAAGGATTGCAAGTATTACGTGCGTGCACATCATTGGTTGCACAAAGGAGCAGGGGAGCAGAACATCGCCGCAACGTATCACAACATGAAGCATACTAGCATACTCTTTTATTCTCCGAACGATTTGCGGGGGTTTTGCGGGTTGGCCCAGCTTGTCCGCCTTGCGTTCCGCTTTCCGATTATGTCGAAAAACGTTTTTCCATTACTGGTTTTAGCTTCGCTGATTCAATAACTTGATTTTTAATTTCGCTAATTTGATAGATCCTGGATTTCACTTTGCTCAATTGAAAAAAACTATCAAAAGACATTTCTATTCTCTTGTGGTAATCTGAAGCCCGACACTGGTATCCTAGCGGCCTAAGCGTTGTGATTAACAAATCTACTACATTTGTTGATGGCCTCCTCACTTATTTTTACCACGGTCACCCTTGAGGTGATGAGTCAATTGCCTGTGCCAAAGACCCGAGCCAAATTACATGGGGGAGATTCGGGAGCACATGGTCAGCCGTCTGCCTTGCCGTCCTAAGTACCGACACAAGCATTGACGACTCAGCTAGTAGGGTTACACCCGTGGACGGACGATTGTTGAGCGTACCAGAAATGAGTTGGCGGCCACAAAAGGCCACTTTTAAGCTTTGCCACGACGTGACAACGTGCAGCCATGGCCAAGGTCGTTGGGGAAGCTAGTACTACATGTTGTGCCTTTTAATATCCCAGGTTGCCAGCAAGTTGGCCGGGTACTGGCTGGGCCGGTCCATGCACAGACTGGCGGCATGCTATGAAAGATTCTAATACATTCGCGCGAAACCCCTTATCTTTGACGTAGCCCTACGTGTTCGCCTCTACGAATATGTGTCTTGTCTGTTTACTTTGAGCCGAGGCTTCCGGATAGTAGCTTGATGCTCCTCTTTGGTGCGTCGAGATCTCGATTCTGAAGCTCTTTTGATGCGTCGATCCCGTCTTCCAGGCTCTCCGTGATGGCGTGCATACCCGCAGTCCCGTGTTTTGAATGGTCCGGAGGCGTTTCTCCGGCGCTCGACACAGCCATTCACGTTTTCGAGGGTGTCGATGAACAAAGTCGTACAGCCGTCTCAACGTCAGACGACCCCCAACTTGTTAGCGTCTCCAAAGAACACTTGCCAAGTCAAATTTCTGGAGGGGCCCTCATCAGTGCGAGAACCGTTATAAGATGGGGGGCACCTGGGCGAGGTTTGTGTCTTGAAACTTGGACCATCTACCCCAGCTGTTGACAAAAGTCAGACAGAATAGGTACGAAGTATCAGTCTGTGCAGAGTTGCGGCAGGCATGCCGATGGGCCACTTGTGCCACTGCGAGGCTATCGATCTCTGACGAAGCACGGGCTTTTTTTTTTTTTTTTTCTCCCGGCGCGCAAGAGCAGGCGACTAAATATACAAAAGGCAAATGTTGTTATACGCGCACTGTTTTCCGTGAATTTGATGATTTTGTGATGCGTTTTCAGTCATTGTTGCTTCTGTTGAAGCAATTTCGTTGGCAACCACGGGTACGCCCTTGGATGTCATGGCAAGGCTATGGCTGGTGGGACCTGGGAACCCCATACACGAGCCTCATACGTAGCATGAAACAAAGCAATCATCTTTGCGCAAAAACCCTCGTGCTGCGTAACCAAAGTTTCGCCAATAATACACCTTGCGCGGACGAGCGTCGTGATAGCAAATAACCAGAAAACAAAAGATTACCTCACCAAGCGCATCGTTCTCGTGAGCGCGAGACATTTGCTCTTCGTCCAATTCACCCGTTTGTCGAGCTTTTTTC